AACACGCAAAGTTGTCTGGTTTCCAAAATGGAGGAAATTGTTTGCAAACATCGTCACATACTGTTCTACAATTGGAAACCAATTTGACTCGAGATACTGAACAATTGTGTGTGAATGACGCTGAGCAATCTGGACCAGTTGGGTCTTATTAGCATGAATTCATCTTTGGTGCGAGAATCTACAAAGGAATGCCAGCAATCGTAAAATTCGTCCCACTCTTTTTTGTTTGTAATGATAGATTGACATTTGGTTAAGATGGCTTTGTTGATATGCCACATACACAAGATATGATTGCTTCCCGGAAAAACATCGGATATCGCTCCAATGAGTGCTTGTTCTTTGTCGGTCACAAAGGTCTTTGGTTGATTGGCGTGGGGCTGGAGGAGTTGGTGAAGCTGTTCAAGTGCCCATGTGTACTCCTGGCGATCTTCTTTGTTCATGAAACAGAAAGCAAGCGAGAAGGACGAATTGAAGCAAGTTGAGCCAACAATGTGTAAGAGAGGCAAGTGGTGTTTATTGGTCTTGTATGTGCAATCTAAGCCAAAACAATACGGAAAGCGACGACCCATTTCGATTGCTGTCGGATGAGCACAAAACAGGGATTCCACGGTGCCATCTGGTCCAAGCTTCATTGAGTAAAACCAGTTTTCTTCCCAAAGTCGTTTGATCAGAGTCACTATGGGTGTTGTTCCTTTGAGTTCAGTCTTTCGAGAGCGGGCTCTCTGATTGTATATGTCTTGCATTGGTCGATGTGCGCTGTCTCCCGGAAGCATGAGCCGAATGGTTTGAGGACGGACATTAGCCTCTGATAAATCATCCATTAATCCTTCCTCTGTAAGTGTGAAACGGCGCAGGCGAGGTAGGTCGCTTGGTCTCTTGAACGGCTTGTGATTGTGACGAGCATGTTGGACTTTGACTCTCCAATGACCTGGCTTTTTCCAGTAGTTGAGAGATACTCCAAACTCACAGCCAGATTTGGCTGTGCTACTCTTTCGTGGTTTTTTCGTGTCCTTTTCCGACTTTGATGTGCCCGATGCTTTATGAAGTTGAACAGATGCAGATGCCTTTGAAGCACGTTTCGTTGTCTGATGACCACGAGTACAATAGAAGTATCGGCTCTGGCGATGGGGACCTTTGTCAGACTTGATAACAAGGGCATAACCTTGATGCCTTGCGACAGCCTCCAGGTATTGTTGACCGAGCTCTTTGGAATTGAAGATCTTGCCTTCACGCGGGGGATGCAGTTCACGTTCTGGTTGAACTCCTAATAGGTTATAGGTATTAGACATAGACATATATCAGGCGGGTGTAGTTTTAAAACCAAACTTCTCGGAGGTTGAACATACCTTGAGGAGGCCAGTCTCCATCAATTTGACCACTTTCTTCATCATCAGTTGTATCTGACAACGATAAACACAGGATCAACTCAAACTCATTATACATTCAAGAGCAGGTACACTTACAATCCCCCCATTCATTATCATCTTTCTCCGACTCATCATCTGACACCTCTCCTTCTGGATTGTCTTTGTTGTTCTCATCATCATCTGTTTCACCATCTGCATCCTCTTCACCATCCATTTCCATCAGGTCTTCGAGTCCTAAATTCAGGTCATTGTTGTTGTTTGAGGTGTGAATCTGTACACTGGAAATAGGGTGGTGAGATAGTGCCGCAGTACTTGAATTATAAGGTGCTGAATTATCATGTCCAAATTGTGCAATTGGCGCATTCATTTGATTACAGAAGTAGTAATCAGACGGATAAGAGTGAGTTAGCTGTGATGAAGCAATGTCTGGGATAAATTGATCAAGAAGGTGATGATTATTGTAAGAATCATGATTTGGATATATATTTGAGGACATTAGATCACAACTTTGATTTTCTGATTGTGATAAACACTCAAACCTGAATAGCTACTTGGTCTTGATGGTTGAAGTGAAATATTGAGGAATTGTGGTTTGTAGGGGATGGATCACAAGCCGAGCAGACTTGCAAATTTCTTCACTCGATTGTTTACAGGCATAGTTTCATAGCAAGGGGTCTCAAGGGGAACAAGCACTTGTAGTTCACAATGTCAGCTCTCTGATCAGAGCTTCAAAACGATCCCAATGGGATGACGCCTACTTCCCATCAGAAAAACCGGTGTCAGACTCTTACGGATGCCTTTACAGGCAGCGTACAGCCCTTTAAGGTGTTTGAAGGCAATGTACACCTGTATATTACCTGTACAGCTTCCAGAGGAATCCGACCTAAGGAAAACCGGTGTCATATGTGATTTCAGGTCGGCGTGGTTTATCAATCGCCTATAATTTTTGTGATCTTATCTTTTTATTTTGTTTATTTTTTTTCTGAGGGACAGTGACATTACTGGTTTTTCCCTCTTTAAATTCCATTGATCACCATCCTCCTTTGAAGTTGCTCCACCCACCATCAACTCAAAGTCATCACTTCAGACACAAGTGTTGTCTTTGTATCATCAACTGCATCATGTTAATATGATTTATCATGACATTAAACTGGGCAACATCATGGTACACTTCTCTTTCCTTGATATTGATCTGATGATTGTTGTTGATTGGTACTGTGCATTTTGTCAATATACTTCCTTCACTATTTTTCATCAAATGTGCTGTTTTATTATAGATTCTTCTCTCCAAAGACTCATTGTTATCTTTGATTGCTGTAATCCCCTCCTTGTTTATTGTGTTTGTTCACAAATTTTTACACTTAAACATCCTTTATCACAGCTTTGCAGGGCTGATTTGTCCTTTGTTTATTCAATCTGTGTTTCAGTGTTGTCCATCTTCCTCCCATTCTTGATAACCCTCACTTGTGATTCATATTCACTAATTTCAATGTTTTCACTTGTGATCTATAGTTCCTTTGTTTACAGATTGTTTCCTTGTTAATCACCAGGTCAATCATCTTTTGGATTTTTATATTGAACTCAATTCCTTTCTCTGAGCCTTCAAATAATACTTTTTTTGATGTTCTCCCTCCTCATGTACCATATATAGTGTTTTTTGCAATGTAATAAACAAATGATTGATGGTAAATGTAATTATGTGAATGCATTCAAAAAGCCAAGCCTGATTTGTACAGGCAGACAGTGAGCCATGATGAGCCTATTGTCATTCTGATGTGAGTCATCTCATATCACAACAAGGTGAGACAACTCACTGGATAAATGGATGACTTACCTGACTCAAAAAATAGGTGTGCCATCACCTTGAGGATAGGTGGTTGTGTTAGGTGGTGCTTCCACTGGCGGTCATGTGTAACTCACAAAGAGTATGCTCTTATGAACAGTACATGTTTGAATGGCAGAGCAGGAATCTATTTTGTAATGTCTCATTGTAGTAGTAGTTATTTACATTCACCTTTATCACTTTTGTGGTGCGCTTATATGCGCAGATTATAGTAATGAGATGAATGCGTAGCTCAGGTTTGGCACTTGAGGGAAAACACCGGAGGCCGCTGAAGTGAGGTGGTCAACAAGTTACATTTCCTGGTGTACTAGTTTCCTATCAGTTTGCTGTTCAGTTAGTGTAATATGCAGATCAGCAATTTTGCACTTTAAAAAAAGGGAAACTGCTGTTGCGTATTAACAGGATTCAAAATATATCTTATGACGCTATTGTTTTTACTATTGAGCATTGAGGGAGATGCTAGTTACACTAGTTTTAAAAAAAATTGTCAAAAAAAAATTATTGAGCAGGGGCCCAAGCCTGGTGATTGAGCATTTTTAATTGAAAGTGGTGCCAAAGCATAACCAGATTCAAAAAAAGAAGCAAAAAGCCTGCAAGCAGTGCTGATGCTGTGTGGGCTCAGCTTGATTCAGATAATCTGTAGATCACCATCCAATTGTAATCAAAAATGCTCAACCACAAAGCTTGGGCCCCTAGCGTAAGGGTGGCTGGGTGGCAAATGCGTGAGCTGAAGGTCTTGCTTATAATAATCACGGACTCCCCTTGTCGTCTTGTCTCTCTCCAGCTCTCGCCACATTGGAGGTTATCGAAGGTGGTGGTTGGTTGACCTTCAATATGGAGAAGTTGACCGCACATTCTACAAGGGCCTACAAGGCGGGTAGAATCTGCCAAATGAGGTCGAGGTGGGAGCGCGCTCATCTCCGGATGTGTCATCTGAAATGAGTGGTGGATACTCAGGCGGGAGCTGGGAAAGTGGTTGTGGCTCGATTCGGCTCGTGGCTTGGACTCGCTCGCCAATCACAACAGAGTATGCTCTCGAATCGGTAAACGCAAGGTTAAAACAGTATGAATCTCTGCGAGTGACGACCCTTTATCGCTGATTTCCTTCAAAACTTGTTTTGCGATGACTTCGGATAGCGAAGTTATGCAAAAACGTTGTGATGTACGTTCACGACATGTGAGAATCTAACAAGAAAATACCTGTCATTTTGTGATTGATATTCCTGATTTCACATCATATGTCCTGGGCACCACCCGAGTCGACTTCGACCTTTTGCGAAAGATACATTGATTCTTGAAGACATATCCCAGGAAGAAAAAGAAGGCAAGAAAAGAAACCATTCAACAATACACTCCCGTCTTTCGCAATTTAAGAATACTTTCTCCTTAACCAGCCTTAACGCTTTTTTTCACAAATCGAGGAAAGAGTAAGGTGTAATCAATTCAAATCAAATTGATGCTAGAAGATATTGAGTGACTTGCGTTTTGTACTTCATATTCCTTTCGGCCGCTCAACTTGAGTATATCTCTTTCCTGAGAAGTTAGAACCGAATCAAATCCCTTATTTTCCTTTATAATTTCAAAATCAAAGTCCAATCCTTTACCGTTGATTTTAGTTTAATGGCCTGATTGTTGTTTTGGATCTCCACCATTCCAACGACTCCACACAGTACTTTCATTCTTTCTTTCCAGTCATTCTTTTATCCTTTCGAAAGCTGTTTTAAACAGCCTACGAATGGAAAAACTACGAAGAGGTCAATTCGCTTCGAATCCTGCTATCTCAAATCAAATTGAGCTCCTCAGAACTCGAGCTGTTGAATCTGAAGATGAGCTGTCGAAAATGGATAAAAGGCAAAACCCCGATCATCCGAGTCGACCCACAACGGAAAATGCTCATCAAACCACTTCAAAGCCTGCTTCTGATCCCAAAGAGCATGTAAAGTCACCCCCCACTCAGAAGAAATCTCAAAATAAACAACATAACGAACCGACCAAGCCACATAAAACAACACATACAGCTACAAACAAAAAAGAACAACATCGTCCAAATCACTCTCATAATCAACAAGCTAATCAGAAGCACGTTCCTCAGCGACAAGGATCTAATCAAAAACATGTCCCTTCGACAAAACATCCCAATAATCATAAACAACATCCTCCACCACATCAACCAGTAGCTGCCGTTCAACACAAAGCTCCACCGCCTCCAGCAGCTCCAGTTCACCAACCAGTAGTCAAACCAGCTGTAGTTCCACGTCCACACAATGTTGCCCCAGCCCCCGTTCAACAGGACAAAGTTTTACCACCACCTCAGGTAGCGGCTCCCTTGCCAGTTGGCAATCAGAACCCTGTTCCCATTCGTAAGTTCAAGTTTTGATTGACACTTCATTCAATCGGCCTGAGCTAACTTGCAGGATGTAAATGCATCTGATAGCTGTACCGATCGTGAAACCAGAAAACACATCGGACAAGGCTCTTCCAACCTTACCAGTGGTTTCTGCGGTCACTACGCCTAACAATAGCGCCACTGTTCCTGTGCAGGACGAGGGGAAGAATACCAGTCAAGGATCTAGTTACTCTACGCTTGCGGTACAGAACGGTAACAATACTCACAATTCCAATGTCACCTCACCTTTTGTTGATCCGACTCCACCGGAAAAAGTTTGGGGTCAATCTGCGATCTCTGACTCAACTACCACCGGACTTTCAAAGGCAGAAAAGGCTGCCGTGATTTTTTGTGTACCGCTGGGTGCTCTAATCTTATCTGCGGCTTTGTATAAACTTTGGAAAATCCGACGTTCTAAGCGTTCTAGAGTTGAGAGTATTTTAGTCACAAGATCTAGACCTACTACAATCTCGGACGTGATTGGTGGTCATGAAGCTGAAGAAAGTAGCTTTGGTCATCATTCTGCATTTCATTCTATGCAAAACGGATCACAACGTAATTCATCGTACCATTCGGCTAATACTCCACCTATGCCGATCAATGTGGCGATGCCTATGATCAACCGTGGAAGTGATGAAAAATTGAAAGAGAAGCCGATCAATCGTAAACATGAATTAATGGAACCTAATTTGAATATTCGAGGCAATGATTTAGCTTTCATCCGTCAAAGTGAAGAAACTGGTTATGAAGACAGTTTGGAGACTCGAGTAATGAGTCATGATGCAAATTCTCAAAGTGGTAATATTGCTATTGTTGCTAGAACCTTTGACCCATTTCTTCCGGATGAACTTGTGATCAACGTGAGTCAATTAAATTTCATGATCATGTTTTTATGCTTGATTTTGTGAACTAATTTCACAACGTTGTCAATTTCTTCTTTTGCTCTGATAGCCCGGTGACCGTGTTAGGGTAGAAATGGTATATGATGATGGTTGGTGTTTTGGTACGAATTTAGACGCAGATCGTCATAGAACGTCAGGAGGAAGTGCGGTCGTTTCGACTGGTGTCTTTCCACAAGACTGCTTGCAAAGACCAACAGATACAGATTCGGTCTCAGATAGAAGTCTTCCCGATGCTAATGCATCATGCCTGAATACATATCATACTTTCGGTAATCCTGAATCTGGTACCATAGAATGTCTTGAAACTACACAACAATCACCAATTCACTTTACTCCCAGATCCAACAAAGTCCCAGATAACCTCAAGAGTGATCAAACACCAAAGCCGACTCCTACTAAATCTTTGTCTGAAAAACCACCACGTGTTAGTAGTATGATTCAGGACCGCGACACTCAACTGCTTCAAGAGCTGGATACGGCTCTTAATCTCTAGATGAATTTTTGGTACAACTTCAAGTTCAAATAGAGATACTTCAAGGAGTCACAAATGGCTTCTCACAGACCTCCAACTACTTGTTCGATTTTTTACTTTTCACCTTCATCGCGTAATCAACTGGATATAAGTCCAGCGATACAGCTAATCTCTCTCTGTGGTTAGTGACTTATTCAAATGGACTCGTGGGTTCAGCATCCAGAACATCTTTCGGACTGTAGATCTGAAGCAGTCAGGTTTGTGTGAAGAAGTCAAGATGTTTTAGATTCTCGGTCCTTTTTTCTTTTTGAGTTCAAGCTGCAACTTGATCAACTTGACCTGTTGAACGATCTTATTGATATGGTCTTGGAGCTCTCCTTGATCTTCCCTTGAATATTTTCTATCATCTTTCATCATTTACTATATGCTAGTAAAAATCGCATCCTGTTTCACTTCTCTTGATTTTCATGACTCTTGAGATGTGCTTTGGATCAGGAGTAATTCTATGCATTTTATTTCTTTCTGACATATTTCGATCAATCTCGACTTTAATCCTCGTTCTTATACTCGTTTTTCTTTGTTGGTGATTGTGGATCAAATTTTCAATGACACATCTGGTTGTTCTTCTAAATCCTATGTGATCAAATACGCTCGTTTACATCATTTGATTGTTTTTTGACTAAAGGATATCTACCATTACCTTTTTGTCGAATGCGTCCCACTTTTCCCCTCTTCCCCTCTTCCCCCCTTCCCCCCTTCCTATCGCTGTTCACGTGTTTCTTTCTTGTTGATCTATTTGTAATTTCTTTCGCAAAAATTACAATTTGTGGTCATTGTTTTCAATTTTGAAATCTTGAGTCCCTGGAAATTGATTTGAAAGTTGTTGTGTTGCATATTCTTTTGTGTATGTATTTTGGGATCATCCTTTTTTAACAAACTTGAACGCATTTATCAATGAGTTTAGAAAAGCGAGCATGCATAGATCTTGAGGATCCGATAGCGGTTAGAGAATATATGGAAAGATGATACTTGTCTCCTCCTGGGCTTTTGATATCACTACTTCTTGGGCTTGACTCTGAGGATCACCTGAAGAAAAACAAGGGTGATGAATACTAGATCAAAAACCACAGTTGTAAACATTCTCAAGTTGCTGGGGTGCACTGACCTGCCAATGACTTGTGATTGGGGGCTGTGAATACAATTGAAGGATAGATTTAGCTAAGCACAGACCACACTATGAGGCCAATTGAATAGTGATGGCAAAGCACAGCGGAATTTCTGGAAGAAGTCTTCACATCCACTTTGGGTTCAGATGAGCCCTGGGTACCAGTCAAACAAGGAGAAAAACAATTGGTTGCCAGGTGTGGGAGTGGAATGGCAGCCTGCATAATTTGGTTAATAGTTCAGATTTGCTTAGGTACAGACCAGGCCAAGGTGAGAATCTACAATGAGAGCTGGACTGGATATGTTTTGTGTCTAGGATTGACTATAGCCATGAACCTCAACTGTAGACAAAACAAATGGTCTTGAATTGGGAATCTGTAGGGGGGTGTTGTATCACCAGTGTTTGATTCAGTTTCACACAGTCAGTCAGAAGTTAGAACACATCATTACTTAAGTAAAAGGTTCAATGTATGCATGTATTGTTGTTATATGTAATATGTCATCATGTCTACAACATCACATACAACCAGTATTACTCTTACCTCATATAAGCATATCTATTTCAAACATCTCTATATTAGTTTCTATATCTATTTGTTCTCTTCACACCACCAGTTGTCTGGGCACAAGTTGTTTCCACTTCATCCCAAACTTGGATCAACTCATCCAGATCCTATCAATATATATTTGTCTACGTTTCATATAAGTATAGTATCTAATTGTGTTGATTCCTATCATGTACAACACACTGTATCCTTCCAAGTGAAATATGATGATGCTTTTATTGATGGTTGCCCCAAACAAAATTTGGACCTTCAAAAGCTCAAGTGTCTCCCCCTGTTTATTGAAGTGAAATTGTGCCAGGTGATTGATACATGTGATTATGACTTCTAAGGGATAAGTTCCATTGTTCTATGCTTCCTAAAGGGATGCCTTGAATTGCAGTTTGAGTCTCCATGTATTCCTCTGAACCTGGCTTGCTTTGAGTTACTGACTTCATCCATGAATTAAACAAATAAGTAATACACTGCTTTGGAAATTTATTCTTACTCTTGTACCCAACAAGCCCATGAAAAAGAGCTTCAGGATTATCAGCTTGAGTGCCACACTCAAATTGTGCTGAATCATAGTTGAAGATGTTTTGAGAATCTTTTGTATGAAAATTTAACAACCTCCATTCAGAAAACTTCTTCTTGAGAAAATTCCATGCATTCATTATCAACCTCTCAAGTTGGGAATCAGTGAAGTGTTGTTTGTTCAGAACCCTTATCATGCCTAGTACCACAACAGTAACTCTGTACTCTGCCATGCTGACAGCTTTTGCTATGATACCCATCTCGTGGACCACTTCAGGTGCTATATCTTTTAGATGTGGATGTCCATTCATTGCCAAGTATATCTGATTTAGATCCCTGATCAGGTCTTCAAAGAAAATATGAACAGCTCTACACATTTCTCTGCCAATGGGTGTATGAAACTGTGCAGCATTGGAGCTCAGGAACAAGACATCTTGTGGTGATTTGGCTGTATCTCCATATGAATACCAATACTTTCTTGAAAACTGCTCTGCTCCCCAGAATGCATGGTTCCTGATATCTATCCTTCCATAAAGCCCACCTTGAAATGAGTTTGAATCAGCTTTACATACATCCACAAGTCTTTGTATATGTTGAGATATTCCATGCCTAGGTATGCCAGTGGTTTTTCTATTTTGTGACCAATATAAGGCAAGTAAATAAGCCAGCAAGAAAGGTACTTTATTGGGGTGATTAATTCTCTTCAGATACCTCAGGTGGAAATAAGGTTCCAATGCATATTGTGATTCAAATTTAATATCTTCCTGCAATGAAAAATCTCCAAGTTCTGCATTCTTCCAGGTCTGAAAGAAGTTTTCAAGGTAATCCCAGCCGTCATTCAAGAGAACTTCAAGATTATCCTTCCGGCTCCCTTCAGCCTCAAAGACCCTTATAAGACCAAGAAATACCATAACAACCCCATAGCTAGCATTCTTCACTGCCTGAGTTGCAGCTTTAATTGCTTCATGCTTATGTCCACATTTGAACTCCAAAGCCTTGTATATTTCATGAAAAGACTCAAATATTAAGTAACAAAGTGTTGGAGACAAATTTGCATTGTGAATCCCAACCTTCTGAAACAGGAAGAACTTGTTATTTGCACTGGGACTCTTCCTGACTTTCCAATAAGATTGTGAATGGACTCTTGGCCTTGGGACCTTGTTTGTAACTTCTTGTAAATTGAGCTTCCTAGGCAAAGGAACCCCCATATCAATTGTCTTAAATATATTTCTATCACTGTTCTCTACAACCTTTTGAATTTGTTTCTTCTTTTTTCTTGATTTGGATTGATCTGAAGCTGGTATCTGTTCCAATCCACTCTCTTCTTCCACTGGTGTTTCTTCTCTTAGGACATTTTCAATTTGTGAGTTTTCAATGGATGTGTGCATGTGTACACTTCCTTTTGATCCTGGAACTTGAGCAAGATAACATGAATCTGAGTAGAAATCTTCTGGTGGATTATAATCTGGAGGATAATCCACTTCCATCCAAGAAGTATCTTCTGAGGGACATTTTGGACTACCCAAAATTCCAGTTTCTAATTGAAGCCCTGTGCATAACCCAAGAGACAAGAACTTCAGAAAGAGTACAAGGAGAGGGATCCATGGCCACCAGGGTTTTAGTTTTCCATGGTTGTAAACTATCATGAATATTGTTGGATATAATGATTTTTCTGTTGCTGTCATGCTGGCACCAAGGAGCAGAGACATCTTTATATGTGTGTGCTAATATGTGATTGAAAGTTAAACCTTATCACATGGAACTGGATGGTGTGGTGATTGGTTCAAACATGTTAAGGATTGAGAATCACCCAGATCAAAATTATATTTCAGTGGGGTATCATTATGATTTTCAGATTTTGGTGGGCTTGATTGTTTTGTATCCTTATCATCTCATTAGCCGCAGTACTGTGAGGGTTGGGTATTCAAAAGAGTACTCAAAGCTCACTAAAATCTGGCAAGGTGGGTTTATAATTTTAAATAATTATAGTATATTTCAAATATAAGGTATTACAATAAAATTATAAGGAAAGAGAGAGGAAGAAAGAGGAGGGGAACTGGTCTGTTTGGATGAATCCAGACAGACTACAGTTAAATGACTCCTAAAAAGGAGGTTCAAGGGATTAATTATAATATTATATAATTATTGAAAGCTGGATCCAGGGCTTTCCTTCAATCTTCAATGGGACTGATTGAAGAGTGATAGAGGTCACAAATCTGGTTGTTATAAAGTCACCAACTTATGGTTGTTCCAAAGGTACACCAACCTTGAGTTGATATAGGTCACTAACCTGTAGTTGTTCTGAAGGTACACTAACCTGTGAGTTGATATAGGTCACTAACCTGTAGTTGTTCTGAAGGTAACTAACCTGATGTTTATTGGAAGGTCACTAACCTGGTAGGGGAGGTCTACTTAGGGGAAGTAGGGATCCAAAAGAGTGAAGAATAAGATTACTTTATCTTTTAGTCAGGAAGCTACTTTAAAGATATGAAGTGAATCACTAGTCTTATATTTATAAGACTTTTGATTATGTACTTCAAAGGAACTTTAAAGGGTTCTTTAAAAGAGATGTGTAATAATAATGCTTGAGGGAAAATCCTTGAAGGCTGAGAGAGGAGGGGTTTATATATCCTCCTCTCCAAACCTAATTGTAATGATATTTGATTGTATCATCACTGTGGTTTAGGGTTTAATAATTACTAGTAATTATTATTATTATTAATATAACATAATTACATATACGTGTTATGTATTTTATGTAGTATAAGCATTTTAACTCTTGACACTGAGTTATGAGGTGTAATTGGTATTTTATTACATGTTACATATGTTTTTAAGTGTATATACATATGTAATTGATGTTTGTATATGTTTTATTATATGTTACATGTGTTTTATAAGCTGTATGTACATGTAATAAGGTTTATAAGTAAAAGTACAATATTATAAGTTAGTTTTGGGTACATGTATATGTACCCAGGGCTGACAAGTACAAACTGACAACATTCATGTCTCAAATCTCCATCTTGATGTGCACAAGGCTTTTCAGGAGACATGATGAGCTCATATTAAGTTTCAATATTGTGGTACCAGCACTTTTTGAGAACAGAGAAGCTTCCAAAAAATTGGCATTCAATCCATTAGCCCCTCTCAAACCTGACCCAGTTCCAAAAATTCCTGGTTGACCCAGTTGTTTTTTGGTGGTAACTTTGTGTATCAAGTGGACATTTTTTGACAGCTCCCAGTCCAAAATTAAACCGGGCCAATTTGGTTTTTTGAACCTGGGTCAGGTTTGAGAGGAGCCAATGACCACAACTCACAAGCTCCAGGGTGGATCAAGCACTAGTCTATGTATGCCTATCACTAAACTAGAGTCTTGAACTGAGCTTCAACAACTATCTGCTTGACTTATGAAAGAATCTCTGGCCCTCTTTCAGACTTTAAAATCATGTTTTTCAAAGTTTCATACAGTTCATACCTTGACTGGACTACCTACCAGATATCTGGTGGTATGTTGTATACAGAACCAATTTTGTGTGAATATGTGTGCCAGCTAGAGTGCATCATTTCATGACTATTAAAAAAATCCTACTGCACAGGGGCTGCTTGATTGGGTTGCTGGGAGTTTTTTGCAGGATTTCCATATACAGTCATGGAACTTTAGCAAAAAATTCAAAAGCACTGTTTGTGGGTGCAGTGGTAAATGTCCTATGTTTCCCATCTGCATCTGGAATACCTGATTGCTTGGGCAAGAGCAGAGAAATACTTACTCTGACATAACCTGAGTCAACCACAAGAGTCACAATGGTTTCAAAAATGAAATCCATAGGGTTATTTCACCTAATATGTCTATTATGTCAACTGTTAGCTTGTGAGTCTTTCCATTGTTGAAAACATCTGTGAGTGGTCTATGTGAAATCCACAGAACACCCCCAACACCTTCACCATGATAAGAATTGTGGTACATCACCAACTTGGTTGGTCCAAAGTGAACACTGTGGATGATAGACTATACCCAAAGGCATGACAGTACTGTTGTTTTTCATGATACATTGGAGATATCTCATGTGGCTGTTTTTGGGAGTTATCCTTATGTCAAAGATACTGTTTCTTTGACACATGCAGTGGACAAGCTGAAGAATTGGAAATTTTTCTTTTCACCTCTTTGCTTCTGTTCTCCAGATGTCGAATCTCCCTGCCATCTCTGATATCTCACTCATTTGGACCAGCAGTCTATATCATCTCACATCCTCACAACTTTTCTCATACTCCTTTTTTAGAGCCCACCCACCACCAAGAAGGAGGTTTCAATCCAAGGTTGTAGCATAAGTCACCCCAACAGATTGGATTTGGTGACAGAGTATCTATTTTTGAAATCTTTTTTTTGAGATCTACTTTTTTTATCCAAGATTCTTACCATGTGTCTGTATGTCCAAATGTTGTTGTTTGTTTGTAGATAGGTTTGCCTAGCTCACTGTTCACAACACCGGGCCGCTGCGCTGCGCTGCGTAACAGCAACGGGGGGTTGCGGAGCAGCGCAACCTATCAGATTTCAAGCCATAATGGGCAGCGCAGTCAGCAACCGCGCTGCCCGTTGCGTTACCGTTGCGCAACCGGGGGGACAGGTGGGACAGGTGGGACGGCATAGCATTTGATTGCATCATGTTTATTAGGGGTGTACTACGTGTATATTGAAAGAAAGAAACTTTTTTTTAAACTGATTCGATTCATTTACCCATTTTGGTCTTCAACTTCCCACCAAAAGTCTTGATTGCATCGTTTACCTCGGTATACTTATGTGCTAAAGGCACCTCTTGAAGGATCCAAAGCCTCAATCCCACACAACATTCAATAGTTCGTGGGATTAAAGATGCACGGTCGGATGAGCATATATCTGCTGCAGCAGAGAAAGTCCATTCAACTGTGGCTGAGCTCGCCGGAAGAGACATATAGTCTCTGGCTAGAGCAGCCAAAACTGGAAAGACTGTACTGTTTGCCTGCAAAGAACAACATAAAGCAATGATGAATAAATTGATCATGCAAGGTTTTATATGAGAAAAACAAAAAAAATACCTTCCACCATGGCAAGATTGCTATGCTTTCACGGGCGTTGTCTTGGGCAGACATTGGATGTGACACCTTCAGGTAGGCTGCGACTTCATCTACCTCAACCTTGGGCTCTTGAGCTGTGAATAGCTGAAACACGCTATTGACCAAATGAGAGTCCGAGTTTTCCTTGGCCGGGGCTGGATTATTCTTGGGCTTAGCGGCTGACACCAGTTCTTTACGTTGCTTGTCAAATTTTGTTCGAAGGAGGTTTTCCGCACGGATGGTGTGGGGACTTTGAGCCCCAAAAGCCTTCTTGTAGAACTCGAGTCAAAAGAACGGGTTGAGGAGACTTGCCATTACAGTGGTATCGCATCGTAAAGCTTCTTCACGGTATTTATCAACACGAGATTGCATCGAGATAATCATTGGTAAGAGTGCATCACCCACTTGAAGGTCCTTTGCACGACTTGCAAGGTGCACCTTGAGTGCGTAGAACTCGGGAATGACCATCGATCTGGTGGGCCCATCCCCCTCCATTTGTTTGGTCAGGTTGAGGAAAGGCTGATGAGAAGCAAAATCATAAGTAAAAGAGTCCGACTTAGGAGTTGGTAAAGGTCATGGACTCACAGCAAGTTCATTAGTCAATTCCTCGAGGGAATTCCAGTTGTCCGGTGAGAAGTAAATCTCGTGGAAGTATCCACGAGGTTTTTGGGAACTCCTGTTGCGTCTCTTCCTACTACGCACATGTTCCAAGTCCTCAGCAAGAAGTTTGTTGACCACCTAACATGTGACAAGTGTATCATGTCAGCGCTAAAATACTATGGGAAGCAGGAAGATAAACCCACCTTCTGTGCCTGCACCAACCTGTTGAGGGAGTCAAATTCCGCGTTCCATCATGTGGCGTTGTAGCCCGGAATCAAAGGCAACAGTTTGAGATTGAGAGCCTTTGCCTTCCTCGCGAAATGTCGCCTCCAAGCCGCTGATTGAGCCACTCTGCGCGATATGAAGTTAGCCTACAAACAAAAAGAAAATAGCAGTCAGTTCCAATTTGGAGATCGATATGACCTTAAAGCGATATGTCAACTCACCTTACTGATCAAAACGTTGAGCTTGTTTGTGTGCTGTTTGGAAGTGGTGTTCTTGAAACACTCAGCACCTGAAGGCTCAGGTGCAGCTGCTGATTCAAGAGGGTCCTCCGCATCGTGATTATCCTTGACATCTTCATCATACTCTGGAGCCGAGAGTATGACCTCATGTTGTGAATCATGGTCAGTCTCGTACTCATCTTCTTCATCAGGTGTAACTTCAAGGTCGTGATCAGATTCGTCAGTATCGATATTGATGACTTTGGGTTGCTCTTCGCCTTCGTCTTTGTCTTCTTCGGCAATGACGGGCAACTTGCCAGTGATTGGAAAGGCTCCAAGGGTTGACTCACGCAGCTGGGTTCGTGATGGGGAAGTTTGTCCGAGTTTGGCTAGACCTCCTTTAACGGTGCAAGATATCTTGTGGAGGAAACACCGTGCATAGTCCGTTCTAGGGCTCCATGTGTAAGATCCTGTGGTAGAATTCGCATTGGTGTGTGATGCGTCAGGAAGTTTGTCTTCGGAAATTCGGAATTGAGTGTCCATCTCTTCGGCCATAGTTATGTTGTTCGAACCGGAATCGGTGACCTGGGCGAGCATGTGGTGGAATCAAAAGGGGAAACCATATCTAAATTAGTTTATTGTTCTAATGAAATATGGAAAAAAATGAAATACTCATCTTGTAATGAAGCTTATGCTTCTTCAGTGTGAACACCAACCAAGGGACGACTTGGTGTGGAGTTCCACGAGCTGAGTAGTTGTGTAATGAGGGTGGAAAATGCTTATAGCGGGGAACCACGAGAGTGGTTCCTCCCAGAATTGAGTTGTAGAAAGATTTGCATAATACTCTACAACTCACCGCTCCCTAAAGGATAAGCTTCTCTGCACCATAACACAACTCAGCTCTCTCTTTCAAGTTTCAAAAGTTTATTTCATTAATCTTTAAATTTCCACCCACCCACCCGGCAAAGTCGCAGGCGCCAGGTTTGAGAGATGAGACATTTTTCTCATCAACGCAAACCTGGAGGCCCTGCGGCGGCGCCCCCCCCGTACCTTAGAGTGACATAGAATCTTATGTTAGTCTAAGGGGGTAGGCGGAGATATAGATGATGTAATCAACATCGAATAACAAACTCCAGTAGAGTGGATAAAGTGAACCAACGGTTGAGCTAAACATTTGCCGTTGTGGTGCCAAGCAATCAGCTTGAGTGTAAGATGTCGCACTTGAAATCACCAGTTGTCGTCGATGAAAGCCACCAAAGCCCCTAGGAAGGCATGGATGTTGTTGGCAGTGGTCCAACCATTGTGAATCAGGGTAAACCTGCCCTTGTTCCTCTGCCACAAACACTATGTCAGTGAATTTGATCTTGGAAGGAGAAGGAGATAGTTGTCAAATACATCACCAATAGACTTACCAAGATCTCTTTCAATACGGTATCTTGCAATGACGTATACATCCCGGCTGCCTCTCTGGCCACCCAAGTTCGTCCAAAGATTTTGATGTTGCTTCTGATATATCGGAACGCCAGGCGGAGGTGGTAATCCTCGATACGGCTCCAAGGCAACGCCCCAGCGAGAATCCACACCGCAAGGATCTGATTCAAGGTTTCGTTTTTGAACTTAACCTTGGATTCTTTCGGATCAAAAAACTCCATCATTTGGCGTTGGCTTTCAGCTTTCTGCTTGCGTTCTTCATCGTAAGCTGAAGGCGGAAGATTTGCACCTGCGTCAATAGCATGCTGGTGTGCTGTACATACTGGTTGACGGCGAGTGACGGTGATGTAACCGTCTCAATGTGCCTTCAGGTTGCCGTTTGAGTCCAAAGATACTCGGCATGTTTGGCCGCACCAAAGGCAAGGATAAGATTGAGGTCTCTGGTCTTTGTTCTACCGACACGGTAGGACAAAGTGGTAAAAATGAAACACTATGAGATTCAAATAAGAGAATATAAAGGAAAAGACAAAGTTAAACTTAAACTCACATTGTTCTTTCCGAATTCCGGTTCACCAAAGTAATCTATAACCGCATCATACTCTAACTCTTGATCATCTTTCACTTTGAGAACCTTTGCTTGCTTGGCTTGTTGGCGCTGGGTGAGTCCATCATCCAAGTCTTGATTCATCTCGGTGTCCGAAGGTACACCTTCTTCGGTCAGCTGGTCATATATTAGATTGACACTGCTGTTAGTGATGTGGAATAACTGTTATCGCAAGTTCAAAAGAACTTTGCTTTCCTGAGGCTGTGTGTTTTTTGATTTGCTGGCCCTAGTCCTTTTCTTGGAAGTGATCGTCTGCGAGTTAGGCACTTCGCTTTTGCCTGAATTCTTTGCATCCTTAGATTTTTGACTCGATTTCTTCTGGCGAGACGTAGTAGATGATTGTGAATGTTGTGGAAGAGTTATAGTGATTCTGCTATCAGCCAAGGGCTGAATCATGGTAGAGAGACTTTTACGAGGAGTCGGTGGACGGCTGGAGCGACGTAAAGGAGTGGAAGACACATTATTCTGAGATTGTGAGGTATTATCCAGATCACGTTCGTCACCTGGGCTACTAGCCATGACGATTGAATAAGAAATAAGTTTGAAAGGATGAAAACCCGATAGAAAGTGTTGAAGGCTGGGCGATGGAGGGGAACTTGATATTGCCAACTTCCGGGACAAGGAAGGTCTGAAACGTTCGGGAATGAAGCATAGGGCTTCTTCAATCAAGGGTGATATCATCACCCTTGATTTGTTGAGGTGGATTTGCCTTTTTGAGATTAGTTGGGGTTGCTGATGAAGTGAGGTTGTGATTTAAGGTGAGAATGTGCTGATTGGTCAATGGATCGATGGGCAAAGGGTTGTACCATTAAACCCTTTGCCCAGCTACCCGGCCCGCTGCGGGGTTGCGCTGCCCGAGCCACGGCTGCGTCCGCACCGCAACCCCTTGGTTTTCAACTCAAATTGAGCAGCGCAGTTGGCAGCTGCAGAAACGCTGCGGTGCGGCACATAGCGGCTGTGGTGCGTTCCACTGCGTTGCGCGATTTTGGCAGCTCAGTGGCCCGGCGTTGCTGTTCAGAGCTCCCCCTCTGCAGTTTCTGGTGGTTTGATCCTACCCCCCTCAGCTCATCTTTGGGCAGATGCCCCCCAAGAAGTTCAAACCTCCCAATACTTGGAATGTTCTGGTTTACCTAGGCCATACAAAATACACATAGAGTCCACATCTATTACATTTGCAAATCAAAATAATATGTAATTAAATTTGATTACCTCATCTGATATCACTAAAGTTGAGAATGGAACATTAGGGGGTTTCAAGTCAAAAAATCTTTGTGAAACTTTTCAAAAAACAGACAAGTTTTTTAAATTTTACAGTGTTTTTTTTATGCAAATATATGGTCAACAGCATTTAGGACACCTAAAAAGGTGTCCTGATTTTTTTAAATTTACAGTATATTTTGCAACATTGGACAACTTGTTGGACTGTAAAATACTGTAAATTTCTTGACTTGGAACCCCCTATCGATTCAAGATAAATCACCAAAGGACCAACAGTGAATTGATTCTGTGGTGAATTCTGATGATTATATTGTTAATTGTCAATCATGTCCTTATCTTTCTTTGCTAATGACCAATCATCCTTTTCAATTTCATTGATATTGTGCAAAAAAAGTTGATTCAATGAGAAAGTTAAACCCAGTTCTTTTTTTCCAGGTCTGTCAAAATAAATGAGATTTGATCCCTCTAGAATAAGGGGGTTTCAAGTTAAAGGTTGTCATGTATTTTACACTAACCCTAACCCTAACCCTAACACATTCGGGGTTGGGTGAAAGGCCAACCAAGGTGTAGCCAGCAGTTCTGGCGCCATAGAATATGTAGGAATTCAGCTGAATTCAGCCACATTGTATCAACAAATGTCACAGATTTACTTTGCTGAGCTACCCAGGGCTAAGATAGAAATCTATGGTGTGTTGACGGATAGCTGTGACAGGAATCAAGCCAGCCAAACAAACAGGCTTTTCAAAAGCCTCTTTGTTTGGACAGACAAGTGTTTTTGAGCTGGTAGGCGGGTAGACTCAAAGAAAGGTGCGCTGGGCTTAGGGCACGTTCACTTAAGGAATTTCTGACCAAAAATCACATTCTGTAAAATTTTTAAAGCAAAAATGAAACATGCGCCACCAAATAGACACTTTAAAATTTGCAGAATGTGATTTCTCACCAGAAATTGCTTAAGTGAACGTGCCCTTAGTGTCACACCACCCAGTTTTTGATTCTTCCAGAAAGATGAGAAAAAAATTTTGCTGGCTTTGATGTTCTTTGAACAGTGGCTGATATTCAATCCCTTTTGAATTAAATCAGATTTAAACTACAACTTGGGTCACCATCAAGCAGTCTCTGCCCAATCCCTAATGTTGTGAAATATCCAAATTTGTAAATGAAAACCAAACTTGAAACTCATTAATAGTGATGTTTAACTATAACTTTCACTTATAAAAAACTTTGTCTAAGGTCCACTCACATCAGGGTGGTTCAGGTCAAACAATTTTACAGCTTTGACTGTAAAAAAGAAATCCCAAATCCATAAATTCATAAATTCTTGTATAAATTTTATGAATTCAGGATTCCATTTATGTAACAGCATTCCAAATTTGTAAGACCAGCCAATTTCCAGCCATACAAAAACCCAAAGAACTATCAAAACAAGACAAATAATGTGAGGTGAACAAGTAAAGAAAGCTATCAAGACTGATACAATAAGTAGCAAACACTGGCATAAGAAAACAGATTATGAGTCAATGGCTTTTCAAGAAGCTGTTGATCACTGTTGACCATCTTTTTTTTTACAGAACAGGAGAACCTTTTACAGAGCAGAGTACCATAAAAAGATTTCCCCGATTTGTTAAGGAGACACCTTAAAAATCTTGACCTGAGTTCGCCTATTGAGCCTTTAAATTATAAACCAACCTATGTACACCAAAAGCTTGATTTCAAACTTTTACAAGTCAAGAAGAATCCTATATGACGATGAATTATTGAATCTATGAAAAACCACCACAAAGAAAGCATAAGAGATTATTACATGATCTGATCATTTTATCCTATGGTACACAAAACAACTTCAAAGCTATGTAAAGAAGTAACTGCTGATCAACTCCTCTTACTTCATATTTCTAATCAGACAAACACAAGAACTGACCAGTCAACATTGAAAAAGAATCCCTCAAGAGCCTTGAAGCCATCACAAAGCTGACCAAACCTTGCTCACAACCATTGATCTCGTCGTTTTTCACTTTCATCACGCTCCAGATCTATTCAAGGCATGAATGCTTCTCAATCCATCTAATCGTATCAGCAATCAAATAAAGACTACCACAAACAACGACCAATTCATCTTGACGTGCCTGATCTCTAGCTTGACTCAAAGCGTTTCCTAACTCATCAAATACTAATCCTTCTTGGATAGGTATAGACAAATCAACCATAGATTTCATGATCTGATCAGGTTCAACTGGTTTAACCCAACTCATTCCAGTTTCGATTCCAGGTGATTTAAAACGAGTGATAAAAACCTTAGGTTGATGAATTTGATAATTTAATTTACTTAAGATCGATCGAATCATTTCCGTCGGATCACGTGGTGAACTAAAGCCGATGATCAATGTGATCGGTCGAGATTCTGATGAGATCACTTGACTTAAACATTTCGCTCCAGCCGGGTTATGAGCTCCATCAAGTAAAAGTGAGACTTTTGATCCAGAAGGATGAGCCGGTGGTAAAGAAGTCCATTCTAATCTACCTCTCCATCGAGTCGAAGCTAAACCGGTTTGGATGACTTGATCCGTTAGTTTTCCCCTTAAACTCGGTAGTAATTTAAGTGGATGTGGATGTGATCGTAGAAGAGAGCATAAGAGGACAGTTGTATGTATGTTGTTAGATTCGTAATGAGCTAATGGACGAGAAAGAGATTCGAGAAGAATCGATCCTGAATTGTTTTGCCCATCAAAAGGTATGAGTTGAGTTGAAGTATGAAGGAATGATTCAGCTGGTTTAGTAGGTATTTCGATTTTTTTAACTTTAGCTTGGGTTCCAAAAGGTTTAGATTGAATTTGCTGAACAACAGGATTAGTCAAAAATAAATCAGAACCAGTAGACTGAGTATGAGTCTTGAAGATTTCACGAATCGAATGATTTGGATCTTCAATTGATTGATCGGCTAAAACTAATGGAACTTCTTGCTTTGCAATCCCAGCTTTCACCTTTGCAATCTCTTCTAAAGTATTACCTAAAAAAGTTTGATGATCAAGACTGATTGAACTAACCACACTGATCAAAGTATTTGAAGTAGAACAAACATTGGTAGCATCATTCATTCCACCTAATCCTACTTCAATTATAGCTATATCTAAATCTGATTCGTTTGTAGGTCTATGAGCAAATAATTCAAATGCGATTGCAGTAAGGATCTCAAATCCAGTGGCATTAATCTTTTCAGACTTTGATAAACTTTCAACCTTGGCTTTAATGTTTTCAAATTCGATTAAATTAACTTCTTGACCATTTAATCGAATCGAATCTGATAATCTTAATAAATATGGACTTGTAAATCTACCTACTTTATAACCTGCATTGGTTAAGATTTCATCCAAATATGCACATATTGAACCTTTACCATTCGTACCTCCAACATGTATGATGGGAATTTTTAGATGAGGATCTGAAAGTCGTGAAAGAAGTGAAGTGATTCGTTCGAGTCCGAGTTTGATAGACATGAGGATTGAGATTGGTTAAGGAAGCGAGACAAGCTTGAAATCGATCATGGAAGCTTGGAACGCTGAACCGTCAAAACTGATCATGAAACCTCAAAACCTGTAATACAGTCTACAGAACTGCGGTAAGACTTTGAACCACGACTCAGCCCTTACCTTTTTCTCCTATTAAAATCTTTCCATCCTCTTGCGCTGAACCCGACCGCCACCGCAATCCAATAGTCTTTCTCCTCAACACAGCACAACTTAACCCAGTGCGCGTCATCGTTCATCATGGAAAAGGTTAGTAATCTTGATCTAACCAAATCAGTCTTCCGAATCCCCTCACTTCGACTCTCTTAACATGATGAATATTTTAGTTATCCCTGTCTAACTACTCATAACGAGTGTCTGGCGAGAAACTACTCCACTAGTAACTTTTGCTCCTCTTTTTTAAGAGGACTTGGAACACTGAAACCAATCTTACAACTAAGATCTATCTGTTCATCAGCTCAAGATGCTTATTAAGAATTTATACTGACTTGACTCGATTCTTTTTCTTTATCAAACAATTTAGTCTTCATGAATAACGATTGCTATTATATATTTCGTGGTTTTGTTTTGTGGTGAGATCTCAAAGTATCTGTTGTATGTTGAGCCACCAGGAATGCATCTACAGTACATATGCACTTTACTTTGTTGCTCCAGTGAGATCAGAAACATGTATCATAATCTATATGGTCATGACTTGAGCCATCTGATCGTCAAACTAGACTTGACTTTGAGCTCAAGTCTGGAGGAGTTCACGGGTTCATGTCATTGTAGCCATATATTGCAATTTTGTTTGGAAATTGTCCTTAGAGAAGAGAGTAATAAAACACAAAAAAGATCAAAAATGAAGTCTACATGGATTTGCGTGAGCGTTTGTTGAGCGTTTGCCTCTCTCGACGAGAGAACCCAAGTCAGCACCGTAATATAACACAAAAGAGTCCAATTCGTCAGGTCCCATTGCCTCACGAGTCGCAAGGGGAGTGAAGACAGTTGTCAATCCTCGAGAGTGACCTTAGCTTACCAATTCTGATAACATTATATTCAACACGAGAGTCATAATCTGACACGAATTGATCATTCTCCAAGGACACGCTCGAGACCATTGATCTTATCAGGAACCAGGAGTAATAGGTTCTAAAACAGTCGTAGTATTTGTCGAATTCTCAACATTCCTACTCGTAGGTCCACCAGCCGTAACTAAAGAAGCCAAAAAAAAAGAAAACCAATGAATGAATTCCAAAACGAATTCCAAAAAAGTATGAAATCAAAGAAATCAAAGAAATCAGAAAATCAAAAAAAAAGACGGTACATACCCCAAGGTCTACGATCCATCGGACAAGCTTGTTTACTTGATTCTTCACTTATCCATTTTAAAAGACAATGCATATGAAAGATATGAGAACATTCACCCCAAACTTTTTTAAATCGATCCCAAAAGAAAAAAGAAATCAAAAAAAACATTGTAGATGTCCATCAATTTCTTTTAATTTTAATTTTTTTTTTTGATTTTTTTTTTGTTTTCTTTTGATTAGATTTTAAAAGGTTTAAAACTTACTCAATGGACAATCATCACCCGGTATTTTACAATCTGGACAACAACCTTCAAAAGCAGATCTACAAATCCCACATAATTCTTCGTCTTCTTCTTCTTCGTCTGCTTCTTCTTGGGATGAATCTTTGGTTGGGTTGGATGGATTCGATTGATTTGGTTTTTCATTTGATAAATTCCATCTCCAGTGTGCTACTGCATTGACTTTTTTAATCTTGATTTTCATGATTGGTTTCTTTGGAGATATGTCTTGGTGGTTTCTTTTGATGATGATGATGATGGACACGACTTTGAAGTTGAATGAGGTCAATCAGCCTATTATCAGGTAAACAGCGAGTCCTTTTAACGCACAGTTCGATCGCATGCACTATCTGGATTCTGGCCTGAGTGTGCTTTGCGTGCACATCCTATGTGCACGCCTGCACGCACTTTCACGATATAGGATGTGCCAGATGCGGGTCAATGAATATCAACTTTTCAATAAATCTTTGGAAATGTCATGAGACGTGAAATCCGATTAACCAAATCGATCATAAAGGCTTTCAGTTTTCGAATCAATTCAGTCAGGAAATCCTTCTTTTGTTGATGATTTGAGTCTTGATGAATCGATGATTGATGGATTTAGTAGTATGGGATAAAATCGAATTAGGAAATTTCTAATCTTGAACCATGAATATGATGATGATGGAAATGCTGAGAAATCGTCATAGGAGTCAAGTCTATCTTCCAAATCCGACTTTAAAGAGTTCAAAATTAATTTCAAAATTAAAAATTAAAATTAAAAGCTAGTGTTAGAAGTTAGTTGGAATCTTAAAGGAGTTCTACATATACTTCAACCGAGTCAACAAACATCTTCACAACTCATTCATTCATTCTCATCATCATCATCGTCGATCAAACTCCTATTAAAAACCAACCAAAACTCTTTCGATTTCCAACAACCTCAAACTCGATCCTCAATTGATCTGATCATCAAACTTCATCCTGTTCAAGTTTCTTCTTTGGATCATACCCACAAAGTTCAAAACATGGTAACTCATCAAACCTTTGATTTCCCAAAACTTTCGAATACATAACTCATGATGTTTTCTTTCATTTCAAATAGACTGATTCATTGGCACCAAGAGTCGTCAAACGGATTAACAAAGAATTTAATGTATTAAGAACTCAACCTCCTGAAGGAGTTCGAGTCATTGTGAATGAAGATGATATTACAGATGTGAAGGCTTGGATCAAAGGTCCTGCTGAAACACCTTATGCTGGTATGTGATCAGTTTGAATCTCTTTTACTTCTACCCAGATCACTTTGACTTGAAATTGACCTTTTTCTTTTTTTTGACCTTTTTTCGGGCTTGGGAATGGGTGGAGTTTAGATGGTTATTTCAAGATTGCTTTCGCTTTTGGATCTGAATATCCTGCTGCTCCTCCACGATGTGAGTTCAAGTTTTCACAACCCTACAATATCCCAAAAAGAACCCTACTAAGATTTATTCATGATTTTCTTTTTTGAATGAAATTCTTACCAAACTAGGTACCTTTTCAACCAAAATCTTTCATCCAAATGTAGGACCTAGAGGCGAGATTTGTGTGAACACATTAAAGAAAGATTGGGTTTCCACCAATACCTTAACTGAGATCTTGATGGTGGTGAAATGTTTGTTGATTTATCCGAACCCTGAATCGGCATTAGATGAAGAAGCAGGTCGATTGCTTTTAGAAAAGTATGATGAATATTTTCAAAGAGCTAAGCTATGGACTGAGATTCATGGTCGGAAATCGTATCCTCCTATCGAATTTGAATCATCTGATCTTGTTAAAAATCATAATAATGATGATGATGATGATAAAGTTTTAGATACGAATTCTAAAGAAACTAGGTTTGTGGATCAGTCTTGATGTGATTCAGTTTGTTGACGAAACCAAACTTAATGGATCGATTTATGTTTGTTTTCTTTAGAGTTCTTCATCATGAAGAATCCAACTCGACTGAACCGAAGCTTTCAGGCATACCAACCTCACCTCAACCGTTTGCAGCCTCTGCACATGCTAATCATCTGCTTACAAGTCCTAGAAAATCAGATTTAAAACAATCTATCGAATTGGTGGGATGTCAAGATAAGAAAAGGTTAGGCGTTGAACCGGGTCTTGAAGCGTTGGATTCATTAACTAAAGAAGATGAGAATCGGAAACCAGAAAAAGTCAAGTTGAACCCTACTTTAGCAAACGGGAATCATTCTACTAAAGATCTTAAAGATCGTAGAGGTAGAAAAAGATTATAAACCTCTTGTTGGATTTCTTTTGTATCTTTTTTTTTTCGTTTGGTTTTGATCTGTTGATGGGTACATAACTAGCACCGTTTGGAATTTTTTCTTTCTTCTTTTCTTGGAAATGGAAAACATAGAATTATAGTTTATTTTTTTTATTTTTTTTTGTTTAATTCTTTATCTTTTGATTTTTTTTTTCTCTTTTTCTCTTTTTCTTTCTCTATTTGTATTTGGAAAGTTGTTTTTTTTTGTTTAATTATTACAAAGATTATTATTGTAAGGTTTGGTTTTACATTTTAATCAATTAATGAAGAATCAATCAAATCAGAAAGGTTTGTCTTTGTCTTTAGGAAAGTTATATATGTATGTATGTATGAGTGAATTGATCTGATGGAAAGAAAAAAAGTTATTTTTTGTAACAGTAAGAGATGAGTTTTATTTTTAAGTTTGAAAAGTTTAATTTAATAAAAAAATTCATGACTTTGAATGGAATTGGGAATGATATAAAGAGATGATGGGTTTGGATTACACAAATCATTTTAAAGGATTGGTAATTTTTAAATTCTCATTGAAGGTGATGATTGACTGGTGTATTTAGGCCATACCAATATGGTTCTGGAAATTTCCAAAAGGGTTTTCCCGGTGCTAGGAGCAACGTAACACGGGTTGTGGCCTGTATGCTAATGGTGTTCTGATTCCTGAAGAAAAGCCTTTGTTGCGCCGCGCGTTTTCCAGAACACAAGGAGGCATCTGGTGTTCTGTTGGAAGAATTTGTCTGGAGATTTCCAGAACAAGATTTGTATACCCTAGTCATAATAGGGGGATTCAAGTTGAGATCTTTTTTCTAAAGTTGGCAAAATGCAGTTGCTTGTTTTAGTTATATTAGACTTTTATCAAACAAGCCTGCTCCATGTTGAGGTGAGGGATGGTGAGGTGCTACATATGATGTAGTGATGACTGGGCCTTAAAGCCTTAGCTCACCTATTTTTGGTTTAGACCAGTTGAAGGTCTCTAAGGTTTCTATGAAACCTTCTTCTGAGATGACACTTTGAGAGCACAAGACAGACTTTATCACTTCTGTTTATATGGCCAGCTAGCTCTAAGAATGGCTCTTGAAAGAGTGAGTGACCATATAAAAGAAAACAAGAGAAAGCCCAAAACTTGCCTAGCTCAGCCTCCAGAAAAGTCCAAGAATGGCTCTTGTAAAGAGTGAGGACTATCTGGAGCCAGGCATCAGAGAGAAATGTATAGTCCAATCTGTCCAAACTCATTCCTAACACCCATAGCTAAATCCCATGCCTGTAACCATTACACCCTCTTTTGCTTAAAAACAGTGCACATTTTTGGAAGAGAGAGAGAAAAAAAGAAGAAAAGATCTTAGAAAGAATGGTATGAATTGCCCCAAAACAGACTATAAATTGTTTAAACTGAAAGCAGAAAGTTATTTTGAAGAAAAAGCAAAGGAATAAAAAAGGAAACCACAGCAAAATAGAATATGTAAAAGATGGTTGTCTTGATTTTGATTGAGTTGTGAGTAAAATAAAAGGAAATCACATTGATGACTGTAAAATTGGTTGACTGTTGGGAAATAAAACAAGAGTTTTGTGCTCACAAAGTGGCCAAGGTATTGGTTTTTGACACGGATTGTAGTAAGGCAATGGTGACATACTGAGGAGGGGCAACTTACTTTTGAGCACTTTGGCCAATGCCATGTGCTCCTTCCTTCATCCCATGATCAATATGGTTTCAGCTTTGAGACATGAAACACAGTAAAAGCCAAAATTTCCACTCCTAAATTTCCCAACTTATCACAACCTCAATCAGCACCTGTGAAGAAGCAGAAGAAAAATAGTACAGTTGTGGTTCTTGATGAAAGTTATTTGATCTATCTCACCCCTTTTTTAATACTAGAGACTATGTGAGCATGCCTGTACCAGTTCAATTGTCATATCATTTCAATTTTCAACTCTATTTTTCATAATTCAATTCAAATGCAACAACCAAAAACAACAGGTGGTTTACAGCTCTCATTACCCCTAGTTGAAACCTCAGTACTTAGGTACACCTTATTTCAAGGCTTTTGACTCTAACTAGCGATATATTGAAATATTGTATTTATGATGCACTGAAGAATGTAATAAGTGGCAGTCTTACTTATAGGAGCATGTAAAATATTCCCTTGTACTTGGATCCCTTGCTTGTAACTATCTTGTAGTATCAGGCACATCTTGCCTGTGCAAACACACCTTTTCATCTGTGGCAGAGATTATGGTGCCTAGCTGTGAATTATTAACAGGCAAGATGATTTAGAAGCTTGTAGGAGCACACAAGTGGTTAAATTCAAAGAGATCACTATCTGTTACTTTTTCTGAACCTGCAGCTTATATCCTAGCTTACAAATCTTCTAACACCAAGGCTATGAAGTAGTTTATGCTTTCTTCAAGTTATTTTCTTTTTCTATCTCCCTTAATAATTTCTTTTCATTTTGATTCTCTCACTTTCTGTTGTTTGCTTTTTGGACTATAGGGCCAACAATCAGGTCTCAACGTAATCTACCATAGCACGGTGGGTAAACCATAACGTTATGAGGTGGTTCTTGCAATCTTATTATTCAGCAAATCCCCGCAATACCTGATGAAACATCACCACACTTATATCCTTCTTTCAGTCCAACAGGGTGTTTGATTTTCGGACCCATTTTGCCCTGTTGAATTATACCTTTCACTTGTCCTGAAATATATACTTCTTCCAGCACTCGGGCTCTCAGCTTGCAACAATAACCTTTCGTTCTTTCGTCATTCAGCAAGCATTGCCAAACTCTTCTCCGGACTTAGGAATCAAGGCTAACCTTATGTTGAAGGCGCCCTCAGCCGAAAAGTCTATGTACATACCAAAAAAATCGATGTCATATCCGTGAGGTGTGGGCATGTCTTTTTTGCAATAGGGTTGCGGGGATTCGTTGAAACATGATAAGTTACCACAGTCAGGACACGCACGGGTTTAAGAGAAAAATCAACGATGAAGAACTTTCTTGTAAACGACTGAGGGAAGCCTCGAGAATCGAGATTGCACCTGATTTGACCAAACGTCTGAGTGCCGATCTGTTTGAAAACCTTACTTGTTGATCTGTTTGAAAAGCTTAACAGACTGTCGATCTATCAGGCAAGCTCAACAGATTGCACTTCACCTGACGGGAAATATTTTAACACGATCTGCCGGCAGGGACTCGCCAGGTCCTGTTATCGATCGTTTCCAAAGCTTTGGTGATACACTCGAAGTTTTTGCTTCAACTCGTAACTTAGTTTCCCTGGTTTACATCCTAAATACCTCGGGCACAGATTCACAGATTCGCGAGTTGTGTAGCCCTCTGTCTTACCTGAACTTCGCGTAATCTGCGCCTATGGAGAACTTATAGACGTTTTTCAAAGATCTGGTGAAATCTCTTTCAGCTTCACCACGAATCATTGGTCCAAGGAATCTGCTCACATTTCTCTAGAATACCTAGGAATCCCCGGTCGATTTCTTTTAGATCTGTAGCTGACATGACACCGTGGACATGACGGGATCCTGTAAGATACAAAGTTATGGCTGCATGGCCAGGATGGGCTGTAACAAGCAACCGGCCTCGCGCCAAATTGGGCCCATCTCCGCTCGCAGAGGATATCACAGACCCACCGGCCGGAAAGGCTAATGTCGATTGTCTGGATAACGCTGCAGCGGTATTGAACAAGATAAAGTGGGAATCAGTTTGGATAAGTTTTGATACTCCCTGTAAGCTTTCGTATCTTTCTCCGTCCTTATGGATTGCTGTTTCTTTATTCATTGCTGAATAGACTTTGACCAGATTACCGTTACTTGACTTAGGATTAGCTCTCTGATATCATTTACACACACATATATATATAACGCTCCTCCGCTTTTTACTTGAATCTCAGCATTTCTCTTCGGCCACCTAGTGAACAATTTATCAGTCTAGAACTTCAAAATGTACCCCGAATTAACATCCCCTTTTAGCTCTAGTAACATTACGCGTAACTTCTCTCAAGGAAATGTAGCCACGTACATCATGTCAACCACGGCTAGTATATCCTTATCAAAGGCATTTTTCTTACTCCTCCTCCAATGCGCTTTACTTCATCCGTCTTTTCAACATTCCAGGTTGTCCTTGAAGACACGGATATGCTTGACGCCAATCAACTTCCTTACATTTCTTAGCTTATCCGTACAAACTTTTTCTGCGCCCACTGGCCCTGCTAATATATTCAAGGATATGTGCTTGGGTGGTTTCTTCCTCTGCATGGCAATCAGATCATTAGAGTGGGGCTTTTCCAAAGGCTCGTATTATACAAGGCCCTTGGTAGAAGTTGATGGCATAAAACGATGGGAAAAAGTTAAAGACATTGACGAGACTCATAGAAAGCAAGAAGAAGAGCCTTGCAATGTGTTTAAATTAGCTACTTGGACGTTGCTACAGCTCTTTTCGTAAGCTTAGTACCACTCAGTCTCACATTCAAACAATCTCAACATATCCTTCACTGACGACATCCCTTTGGGGTCCTTTGTGTACGTAGACTCCGAGGACTGCAATTTACATACGGTCCTGGCATTGCTGCAAACAACCAAAGTACTTTTGGTTTATTGTGGAGGATGTTTCGCGTCAACATTCCACTAACCGCAGCCCTTAGTTTTCTTATCTTGACTCGCGACTCCAGCCTTGGTACCCCCGAATCAGCTCTCCTGTCATTGGATGTTCCAAATTTTCCTGGATTAAAACTTTTATCGGAGGGTCTTCATATCACTTGCTTTGGTATATGGGTAGCATGCACACTTGACAATATGTACAATATCCTCACCCTTTTTGTTACATGTATTCACAAGATGGCAGTATTGTCAAATTGTCCTCAAGCACTACTAGAGCTCTGCGATCCAAAATACTTCCCATCAATCTTCAATTCGCCACATAAATCCGATTCAATCGCACACTTTTGGTCCAAAGGGTGGCACACAGTACCACAGCGTATGTTTTTAACTACCGGTGGCAAACCAATGGTCTGGATCATGAAACGATTAGGCGCTAGTGAACGGGTCCAAAGACTGGCTGTAATGTTCGGCGTGTTTGCCTCTTCTGCAGTCATTCATGAATATGGTAAGTTGTTTTTGCTATCACTTGACCGTGAGGTCCAGGAAGATTTACGGTGTCTGACCTTTTAACTTTTTCGCAGTGTCATTCAGCGTTGCTCGACGCTGGAATCCTAGCTTGGAACTTACGACTTGGTATCCCGCCTCGATTGTTTACTTTATGCTACAACCGTTCGCTATCTTGGTTGAACCTTTTGTGATACCCCTCATTCCAAAGAGAATAGGAGGTGGAATGCTTTAGGTGTGGTTTTTTGGTCTTCTTACAGCTCCCCCATTTCAAGATCAATATTTGTCTAAAATCAAAATGCACTCTGATGTCCCACCACTTTCGGAATGGTCCTTGTTATATCTTTTCAAACCTGTAAAATGATGATCAAGTAATCGCTTTTATCTACACGAATTTCCAAATATAGAGATTTATTTCTTGTCTAGCAGTTATTGTAACCTTTCAAAATCTTAACACCATCTTCACGACATTACTCCTTTTCCTCGAAATCCGCAGAGTGCAAAGTGAACTCCCAGTGTTGTCACTTTGATTACATTCAGGAATCAGATGCAAGCTCTAATACTATGGAAATTGCAATTGCTCAATGCATTTAACCTTTGTAACAACACAACTGAGGGACTACCTATTTGGTCGATCTACTTGGACATCGATCGAATTCAAGGGTCAACTCATCGCAATTAACCTTACAGAACCAAACCTAAGTAAAAACAACAATAAATCATCATCCTCATTTACAAGCTTCATCTCCTCATCAACTTCAGGAAACTCGAATGCTCCTCGTGGTTTGTGACATTGTAATTTCCCTGCTTCATCAAAAATTTGCAGTCATACATAATAAAAGGAGAGATTTAATTTGTTTTATATATACATAATCTTGAAGCTGAAATCTGACATTATGTAGAATGGCATTGGGGTTTGTGAAAAATGAAATAAAATTAAAAGGTTTGATGAATGATGGAAGATTGCCAGAATCAATTTGGTACATCATGATTGTTCCCATGAAGCGAAATCCAAATGACTTGACATTTTGATGAATCAATCATGTGCTAGGCGAGACTAAGTGAGGTGATTTTTCTGCTCAGTTTTGAAAACATTCCTTCAGTTGAGGGTGATTCGAAAATTGCCATCACGGTTGCCTCATAGCTCATTCGTGTTTGATCCGCATCGCCCTCTAAATAAAATGAGGCATGTGGCACATTTCCATGAAATACAAACGCTTCATCGGGGGTTTGATGAGACAGATAATGCCACCTTTGACCTTCTCTATACTTCCATGCTTCAAATGCGTTTGAAGCATCTACCGATTTGATCTTTTTGCCAAAATTCATAGCATCTCCTTCCAAAAGTGAATTCAAGCTACAGAGACCAAGATGATTATCTTCGACAGTTCGAAGCGGCCTCCAAACGGTATACATAACCACATCTTTACCTTGCTTCAAATGCTCTCGGAATTTCACCTTCGTTGGATCGGTTGATTTCGAAAGCTCCTCTTGAAACTGTTTTTTGAAATATTTGGCCCCCTTCGGTGAAATATCAGAGTGAATCGTTGGGATTAGGCGTTGGGTTTCTCTTCCAAAATCAGCTCTATACGCGTCTGTATAGGCGACTGCGAAATCCGCTTGTGTCCTAAAGGAGTATGATCGGAATGTAATTAGTTCAATCGTTTCTGTTCTTCTTGATATGTATAAGTTTGAAGACGATATCTTACAATTCTTTCACAAGGTCAACAGAATCCGCTTGGAACGTCTTCCTCATTTGGTCTCTCGTATACCAGGAGTCCAACGGTGCGTCATTGTCAAAATGTCTTCCGGAAACCCAGGTAAATCCATGAGTTTTCAAATTCGGTTTTTCGTCCATATCACGAAGATCTTGAAGAGGAACTTTGATAATCTTGGATCTGTCTTCTTCATATGACTTGCTTAAAGGTTCCCATTCGTATTGGAAAACTTCTCCCAAAACCTTTCCAGGGCCTGATAGAAAAAAAGTGATCAAAGTTAATGCGAGTTTCGTGTGATTATTGAGCCATAAGCGTTCTTTTGGGAAAGTAATTGATGACCCACTTTTCAATTCCCTCTTTGAAATACTTTTGCAGGTTATGAAGGAACGATAGAAGAAAATGAAAAAGACGATTCTTTGAAACGAAGATGAACACATTTAGGATGATTATTTGAAACCTGACTGTTGTGTGTAAAAAATCACTTTGAGGAAGAAAGTCGAGGGAGGGTTCGCTCGATTATCAGATGATCACTATATATATATGCTGATAATCTTCACCTACAATCATGGAGTGAGAAAACACTCTTTGTACTTCTTTCACAAGCCTCGTCAGACGCATACTGTTAGAAATCCTGATCAAAAGGCGCTAGAATGCGAGTTCCAGGTATGCGTGACTGTTTGATTTAGGGCTAGAGCAAAAGTGTCTCATGTTCGGAGCATCGTTTTAGATCGCTTGGGGGCACCCACCGAGCACCAGGGGATTGTCGGAAATTGGGAGTTGAAATGTGACTGGGAATGGATGAAAATATGGATGTACAGGAATCAGTCAACACCCAATTCAGCTAGCTTGACACAAGGCTCGAGCAAAATTTAGGGCTTTGTTAAGTTGGCCAGCCAATTTGGTATATCTTTTCTTTGAAACATCCAGCAGCTCAACGTCACACTTGCTCGACTGAAACAATTTCCTCTGACTCGAGAGGTGAATGGTTTTTAATCCTCCTCACACACCAGGCGCGTTTAGTAGTGGGCAAGCCGCAAAATATCTACATATGAAGAATATGATTTCTTGGTCCACAAACGTCGCATGCTGATATTCCAGAATGCATCTTCTTTCGGGCCCGCCAAAAATGTTACACAACAGTTTAGAATCTTTGAACTCCCAGCGGTATGAAGACCAGGATTCATCAAAATTCTCATAGCAAGCGTGCAAATATCATTAGTTTCTCCATTGTTTTACATTTATGACCACTGTAAGTTTATATATAACGTCTTGATAATGAAGACAGTTGTGTTGTATGAGGCTTTTTTCCGACTTGAAAGTTGAGACCCCCACACAATTCTTGATGAAATGTACAACTTTACGCATTGAAAATATTTACGGATAAAAGAACCTCGTCAAAAACTCTATACACGTCAAAAGCTCCCGACCCATTCTTTCTCCAAGTCTCTTGTTATCTGACATCTTCTCATGATCTTCACTCCAATGAAAATTTTCCTCCTTGCGATGGTGAATCAACAAGTGCAACAATTCTAGTCTCAAAACTAATTCGAGTAGGTTTCCTGGCCTGCTTGTCTTCCAAGGTAAACGAAGCATGAGGAACATTGATCCCGTGTCCATCTCTACTGTCATGCTGCACGAATATATAGGCCTGATCCGGTGTTTGCTGAGATATATAAAACCATTGCTGTCCTTCTCTATACTTCCATGCTTGAAATGAATTTAACGCATTTGTTGCCTCAATTTTTCTATCAAAGTTTATAGCATCTTGTTTCAAAAGTGAACTCCATTTACAAATTCCAAGCGGATTATCCTGAACAATTTTGAGTGGCCTCCAAACGTTCAAAATCATCACATCTTTACCTTTCTTCATCTTTTGTCCAAATTTAACCTCGCTTGGATCCTTTGATGCCAATAGTTTTTGTTGAAATCCTGTTTTAAAATAAATGGCTCCTTCTGGTGACATATCAGAGTGTATAGCTGGAATTATCTCGTTAGTTCCGACTGAAGATGCGTCTCTATAAACACTCCCAAATGCGATTGCCGATTTTGATCCTGTCCTAGAAACAAGATCAAAATTTGATAAGTCAGATGATCTTGATTATGATTCAAAGATGAAATAAATTCTCACAAATCCTTTACAAGTTGAATAGAGTCTTTTTCCAAAAAAGGTTTGAGTTTATTTCTACCCTTTTGCTTCTTAAAATCTGCCCCATCTATGGTAGGTCTATCAGAAACATAGGTAAATCCATCGGTCTTTAAATTCGGTTTTTCGTCCATGCTACGAAGGTCTCGAAGAGGAACTTTATGGCTCTCTGTTGTAACAAGTTCATAAGATTTAGCTCCTTCATTCCATTTGTAATTAAAAGCCTTTCCAACAACTATTTCATGCCCTGATATATCATATATATTTCATTGTCAATCAAAAACAGTTGAGTCAGTATTGAGGATGATCATTTGATTTTTTTTTGGAAAAATAAATAATTACTAACCTTTGAGCTCTGCTTTTGGAATGATATTACAATCTATGAATGAACGATATAAGACCATGAAAAAGACTAATTTTCGAAATGAAGATGAACACATCATTGTTTCGCATATGTGTAAGATATTCCTCCGATATATAAATGAGAAAGTGAGGAAATATTCCTACAACGATCATCCAACAATCTAACGTATAGGATGAGAATATTCTTCTAAAAAGTATGGAGTGAGATAAAACTCCATGTAAACTTCTGTCACAACCCTGCTCAGGACTCAGACTCACACTGGGTTCTGAAACTGAGTTTGATTCGACGCTAGAGGAAAAGTGTGACATCTTCGGAGCATCATTTTACGAGATTACATTCACGGGACGTCTTTGATCTAGATGAAACCTCCCAAGTGTATGGAGTAAACTCCACAATAAACTTGTCATAGATATCCACATCGTCTATCCTGAATCAAAAATTTCTCTTTGAATTCTGATTCAAATTCGAACTTATATGTCTAGAAGAGCACAATTTTCGATTTACTTTTGTTCACCTTCTGTCAATTTATATACACAATGAAGACCAGGAACGTTTATGCAAAATTCCGGCTGTAGGAAGACAAAATATTGCTTTGGTTTTTTTCAACTTGAATGCTCTCATAGTTCCTCAAGAAGCATGAAACTATAGGCATTTAGGAATACAACATCAAAATCCCTCGTGTAAAATGGTATCCGTAGAAGATGCACTGACCCATCTTCTCAGTGAAGGTTCTTCAAGTTGATATTTTTTCAAGTATTCCAGTTGAATTGATTAACAAGTGATTTGAATTTTCTATCGAATTTTGAAATCATTCCTTCTTTTGATGGCGAATCAACAATCGTCATAATTCTTGTCTCAAAACTAATCATAGTGGGTTGTTTGCCATGCTCTCCTTCCAAAGTAAACGAAGCATGAGGGACATTGATCTTGAATACAAAAGCCTCATCAGGTGCTTGATGAGGCACAAAGTACCAGCTTTGACCTTCTCTATATTTCCATGCTTGAAATGAGTTGGAAGGATTTGTTGGTTTGATTTTTTGATCTAACTCTATAGCATCTTCTTCTAAAATTGAATCCCATTTAGAAATCCCAAAATGATTATCTTGAACTGGTAAAAGTGGCCTCCAAACTTTATAGATAGCTACATCGTTACCTTTTTTCAATTTCTTTCCGAATTCGAGCTGATCAGGGTCTTTTGATTCCAATAATTTCTTTTGAAGTTCTCTTTCAGAAAATTTAACTCCTTCTGATGACAGATCTGAGTGAATAGCAGGAATAGTTCTTCTAGATCCACTTGAATATTGATCCCTATAAACACTTGCGAATGAGATTGCCAATTTTGATCCTGTCCTAAAAGAACCACAAAACCAAAATTCAATAAGTACAATGATTTTGGATTCTGTTTTGCAAAAATCAAATGATGAACTTCTTACAAATCTTTCACAATTCGAATAGAATCGTCTTCTAAATCAGCTTTATATCTATTTTGGACCTGTTGATACCCAAAGTCTTGATCTATAGTATGTCTACCAGAAACCCAAGTAAAGCCATCGGTCTCTAAGTTCGGTTTATCCATATTACGCAGGTTTTGAAGAGGAACTTTATGAATTGTATCAAGATCATATGATTTTGTTACTTTATCCCATTTCAAACAAAAAGCTTCTCCCAAAACTGTCGAGGGACCTGGTTGAATTACGTATATAGATATCAAAGAGAAAATGTGTAAACAAAACGGGTATTCAAAGGGGTTGTTTTGGGAGAAATATATGATCACCAACCTTTCAATTCTCTTTTTAAAATACGATTACAATTTACCAATGATAAATAGAAGAAAATCAAGAAGATTACTCTATTGAATGAAGATGAATGGACCATTATCTTGGTACGAAAAAAAATCTCTGCTCGAAATATAGAATAGGAAATCAAGGAGATATCTCTACACCAATCCTGTCAAATTATCATCACATCGATGTAAATCCCGATGAAATTCTCCTAATGATCCCGAAGTGAGACAAATTCCCAATCCCGCCGAAATTCTCCTAAAGATTACGAAGTGAGACAAATCTCTATATGTGTAATTCTGTCACAAGCCTGATCAAAAGGAAATCTAACCTAAAGCTACTATAAATTAATCTAAGATCCTCCTACGGATATTGTGTGACTCTTCGATTTCAAGCTAGGAGAAAACTAACTTATCTTCGCAGCATCATCTGTTTAGTGAAACTATGCGACGTCTAAGATCCAGGTAGGCACAGTCATGTCAACTTGAGTGCCACATGCAAAGGGTACGAGTTGCCCAACAGTGTACAAAACTTCCAAGTACGTTGGCCTCCCAGCGCAGCAAAATTACAAAAAAATGTCTTCTCAAGTTCAACTGAATAGATCAAACTTTCAATCGAGTAAAAGGGTCAAATCCTTCTCACACACCAGACGCGTTTGGTACTGGGCAACAGATCTATGAAGAATGTGGTTCCTTGGTGTTCACAAAGCCCACATACTGATTTTGCTCAATTTATTTTCTTTCACACCGGCCGAAATGTCGTGTAAAATCTGACAACACGTCTCCCAGCGGTATGTATTGCAAGACTTATGAACACTCTCTACCAAGCATGCAAACATCAGGATCTCAGTTGTATGTTATGGGGCTTTTTCCCACTTGGAACTCCTTACATAATCACTGATAAAATCTTTACGCATCGAAAATATTCATGGGCAAAAGATCATCCTCAACGACTCTATCCGTCAAAAGGTCCTGACCCGATTTTTAATTCAAAAAATACTTTAGCCCTCAAGTTGCAATGCTGCACAATTTCACAGAAAAATCTCAACCATGTGCTTCCCAGATGAAGTTCACCTGCATTTAAAATCAATCAAGATGCCTTTTTTTTCATGGGTAAACTAAGGGTTTACGTTCTTGGGGCTTGTTTGGCAACTTGAATGCCCCATGTATGTAAAACTATACATTCATCATACACATCATTCACATCCATTGATTCACCTTAACAAAACAATAAACATGTATCTTAAACCAAAAACTCTTTATAACACCAATCCATGCTCTTTGTTAAAATCTGTCTTCCAAAATGAAAAAAAGACAAATCACAAACTATTAAACAAAGTGAGTGAGCAAGAGGAAAAAAAGAACTTCAAGATGATCTTCTGCTTTACAAATATTTTCATTTAATTATACAAATCTTTTAAATAAGGCTGATAGAGATAAGTGAAAAAAGATCAACTAACTACTATACCTAATACAAAGAACAAATCATTTCACATAACTAAACATAACTGAAAACATAACACACACACACATGACGACAATCCAGTCTACAATAAAACTAAACCAAACCAAACAAAATGATAAGAAGAGGGAAAGGTTTTTCAAGGTTCATATAAAGGAGGATGATCATCATGATGAGTAGGATTAAGATTAGTTGAAGATTCTAAAACCAAATCTTGTTCAATTCTTTCCACTTCTAAAGCAGTTTGAGCAGCTAAAATCAAATCTTCATCTGGCATTGTATCTCTTCTTTGTTGTGATCTAGAAGAATCCACGTGATCCAAAGTCGGGATTTCTGAAGTTGTTTCGATTGGAATAAGTTCATTTGGTTGAGTCGTAGGTGAATAAGTGGCTAAATGAAAAAGAAACAACAGATTTAACTTTATTCGGCAATCATTTTCAACTCAGGTTGGTGAAGATCTTTAACTTACGCAATTCTTCCAAAACAGTAGTTCTTTGACCATTAGCTTCCGAATGTAACCGTTTGACTTCTTCTAAAGCTTCATAAAACTCAAACCCATGACCTTCATTAAAGACAACTTTCAAAGTAAACAGAATAGGATGATCCGAATTATTTGTAAATCGACTCGAAAGTAATTCTTCAAGATTACCACCATTAACAGGTAAAACTGTAGAAAGATGATAATTAGCTGATAACCATGGTTGAATAAACCTTCCATCTAATGAGTTTGATAAGGGAATCGTCAAGGTTTTGATGGATTGATCTTCTGATTCATGATTCGAAATAAATAAAATTCGTTGGTTTGTTATATAAACCGTACCAGGATAAAGTTTTTCGGAATTCTTTAATGTCAGATTAGAAAAGAGAGATGATAATGGTAATTTTGATTTTGATGAGTTGGATTGGTTTTGGGTTTGATTGGAATCGGTGGGTGAGATCGGTTCTCCATCTGTGGTTCCTGAACCTGGTAAAGTTGGGACTAATGAAATCGTGATCCCATTAACTGTCAAAAAGATTTTCTCATCTAGATAAGTTCAAAAAGAGGATGATAAGAGAAATAGTAAGTTTAGTGAGTTGGGTTTGGAATTGAAATGTGAAAGATGAAGATGATTTGATGATTGACCTGGAAGTGGGATAGGTTTGTTTTGATTGTCTAACATTGAACAATTGAGTGCCATTTTGAGTTCTGATTGTTTTGGTTTGGTTAATGAGATGAGATGAATGCTAAATGCTGAATGCTGAGGTTGAGTGTTGAGAATGCTGAGAGATGAGTGTGTTGGGTGATGATCAATGAAGTTGACAAAGGTCGTTATCACTTCGGGAGATAAGGTACCGAGTCGGACCTTTTCGGCCAAATTACATTACAGTGTGTGTGACATGTGCAATTTCCCCCAGAGTTCAAATCCAATCCAAATCAATCCTCGTCCTTCATCAACTTCAACTTCAACTTCAAATCAAAAATGAAATATCATCAGACTCAAACTCAACATAGGCTCAACAATGGAATCGAAACTGGAAATGGAAACCGAATTAGAAATACAAAAGATAAAGGAAAAGGAAAAGAAATTCCAAAATCAGATGAACAAAACACTTTAGACTCTTTAAATCAATTACTCAATCAACTTTCAATTCCAATCTCATTATCAAACTTATCATTCACAACACCTTCTTTATTATTAGCAATCTTAGAATCTTTATTAGAAAGAAGATTTTTAAATTTGAATGGTATGTCACTTGATCTTCATCCTACAATTTGTTTTTCTAATAGTTGACTTTTTTCTCGTCGGTGTAGATCCGATTAGAACATCCAGAACAACTCAATCTCGTGAAAAATGTTTAAAAATCTTACTTACAATCCTAGATGAATCATTAGATTATGAACTAGATCAATGGTCATCAAGTTCTATTAATTTAACCAAACTAAATCAAAACCAAACCCACGAATTGATAAAGTTAGTTAATGGTTTGATCAAACTTTCAATCAAATGTAATAATCCATCAATCGGATTGATAGAACCTTCAATTCAATCTGATCATCAAATCACATTTGACAATTCTATTTCAACTGAATTGAATCCCATCAAATATAAACCTAATAAAACAAGTCTACCTACCAGTACCGCTACTCTTACCACTCAACTTGCTTCATCCTTGTCTTCAAATGCTTCATCTTATTCGACATTCAAGCCCACCCGAATGAATTTCAAATCAAATTTCAGCTCACCCATCGCATCCCCACTATCCCAATCCTCACCAAACCATCAACGAGCAGGATCATCAACAACAAGTACACTAAGAAGATCATTAACTAGACAACATATCTTATCAGAAATCGAAACCGAAACCTCCCAATCATACGAAGAATACCAAAGGAGTAAACCACCCACATTAAAGAATTTATTAGAACCACTACAAGCTCAATTAAAAAGACCTCAAACGCCTCGTACTGCTCATAGAAGAGTAGTCAGTAATCTTCGAAATAAACTTGAATCTTATTTTGATGATCCTAAACTAGACCAAGATGAAACGAAAAAAGAAGAATCGCCAGAAGAAGAACAAGAAGACGAAGAAGAGGAGATGGAAATGATGAGAGGAGGGATTGGGATGCTTACATTAGATGGAATAGATGATGATGATCCATTTGTTTCGATTGAAACTCGTAAAGCTATGGGTAGTCAATTTATCAATTTACCAATCACTCCCTCGTCTACTAAAACTAAGGATGATTCATTTTTGAATCATGATACTGATGATGAGCTTACTAACTTGAATTTTAACCCTTCAAAACCTTTTATACGTTTTACTTCTTCTACATCCTCCGTGACTTCAAATCAAACACCTTTCTATGAAGATACATATTCTCCCAAGATTTTATTAGCATCAAATGGAGCGAAACTATCATTAATCGAATCCGATATTAACAAATTCGAAAACTCAAATCAATCCATCGAAATCAATTCAGATTGGATTACTGAAACTTCTTTACAAAATGAAAAAGCAGTAGAAGCAGAAGCAGAAGTTGGAGTTCGGATTAGAGTTTCAAGATTAGAAACTTGGATTGAAAATTTAAATGGAAAAGACAAATTCAAAGAAAAGATTGGGTTAGGTAGAAAAAAGTTTGATAGGATTTGTGATGATGAAGCAGAAGCAGAAGACGAAGAAGAAGATTGGATTTAAATGTTAAGGATTTTGGGGTCTTGTTAGGAATGTATAAGAATATAGGGCCTTTAGAATTTGAAGTTTCATAAGTTGATAGGTATTCTTAGAATCATTTTACGGTTCATTTGGTGTAACTTCATTGGATTGCAGGTATCAAATCAATTTAAATCCTTCTTCTTGTTCTTTTTCATCTTTATATCGTTATTAACGTGATCAAATTGAAAAAACTCAAGCTTTTGTATACGCAAAGCCTTGATAGGATATTATTTCACAAGATCCATGTACATATCTTAATTATATATAACTTTATTTGCTAACCAATGTATGTAATCAAAGAAAAGTTTGGGTCGGAATTTGTTGGATTTAGAGTGATGTACCCTCTTGCAAGTACATAATAAGACACTTCAATACAATTACATGAGAACTTTTGATATTCTTCTGTTCTGCATAAGGAAAACTAGATGCCCTTGCTTTTGGAGAGGAAGGGCATTTATTTAGTGGCAGAAAACTCTCTTTCTTCCACTTTACACTTTTTTGTCTTGAGTGATTATCCCTCTCCTAAAATGTGCCGATCTGCCAGAAAGATGAAAAGGCTCAAGAGGCAATCAAGCTGTTTGGGGTGAGTCTTGGCATGCTTTCATTCAGGAGTTGATCTGAAGCTCGCAGCGGTTTTGAAAGCAGTGGGGCACCGGTACCGTATTTGCTCCTGATCCGGCACACACAGATCGGGAGTGTACTTAGCTCAAGAGACAGGAGGCTGACAGGTTGAGATTTGACTGGGCCCTGGGGTGAAATGGATTACGTTTTGTTGACGTCGATTGCTACATGAAATACAAAATACAGAGATTGCATAGATGATACAGTCCATCTGCTTCACTTCGATTCCAATTCAAGCTTGATTACCACTTTATCAACTTCAACACACCAATCAATCCATTCTCAACAATCATCTTTTCGTAGTACATACATCACTTCATCTTATCATCAATAATATATGATGTTATCTCCATCTAGACCACCAGCGATCTTACCACAACCTATTGTTGTTAAACGAAGAAGAAAATCAGGAAAAGGTCAAGGTGAATCATCTCGTGAAGCAAGTGCAGGTAAGTCAATTGAACCCTTCTATCTCCTTTTCTTTTATTATTTCTCTGAAGTGCTCAGCAGCTTTTTCTGACTTTTCTGGCTGTATGATTTCATCAGAATCTAATGATGAAACGGCGAGTTGGTCATCATGATTCTCCGCGCTCTTGTTTCCCTTTGATTGCTTACCCTTACCTTTTTGAAATATCATTCTTCAATCTTTCTACAGGCAACCGATAACGATACGATGGCAGATGATACTGATACGGCTTCTATGACGTCACCTAGAACTGCTAACACTCAATTTCGTACACGAGCCACATTTGAAGAAGCTCATTTACCACCTGCCCATCCTCATCGACACAAACGACCCCAAACCTTAGTAGCAGCGGCTACTGTGAATAGTAGTATGGCAATTCTAGAAAATCTGCCACAAAGAGAAGCAGCTGGCTTAAAGTTTGATAACCTAAGTTACGATGGTAGTTTAGAAAGTGGGATCGATAGTGGTACGAGTACATACGATGGAGATGTCAGTAGTGCACCAGGTCCAGCAAGTAAACGTGGTCATCCAAAACATCTTACTCATACTTATGCTTACAAAACTGATCTTACTGGTGATTCAAAACCCACTAGTGTGGCTAGATCATCTCTTAGTCAAATGAGCTTAGCACATGATCAATCAGATGCAATGGACTTTGTTCCTACTGCTCAATCTGTGGAAGCTAATCCTATGTCGGCTTCGGATTCTAAACCGTCTAATCCTAATCTTCCTCCTGCTCCTCATGGATTTCTTTCTCGTTTACGTCCAGAGGATTTACAAGAGAAAATGAAGGAAGCTATTGCTGAATCTTCTAAACAACGTAGTGTTGGTTTTGTTCTCATTAATAGTTTGGAGTCGTTGAGATTCGATTTACTGATTTCGATTGTTCGGTTTTCTCAGTACTCTATAAACCCTCCCCCCGTCAATCGTCCTGTAAGAATCTACGCCGATGGAGTCTATGGTGAGTGATTTACCAACCCACAAGTCCGATGATCCAGTCCACAGATTTACTCACCCATGATTCTAAACCAACAGATTTATTCCACTACGGCCACGCTCTCCAACTTCGACAATGTAAACTATTCTTTCCAAACGTTTATTTGATGGTAGGAGTCTGTTCAGATGAATTAGTTAGAAAATTTAAAGCTTCGCCTGTACTTACCAGTATAGAAAGGTACGAAAGTGTAGCCAATTGTAAATGGGTCGATGAAGTGGTTGAAGATGCTCCATGGCAAGTTGATGCTGAGTTCATGCAAAAACATCAAATCGATTATGTTGCTCAGTAAGTGATTGTTTGAAGATCCTGAAACTTTTTTCTCTCGATGACTTTTACTTAAGGTTTTGATCTTGTTTTTTAGTGACGAAGAACCTTATGCAAGTGTAGATTCAGATGATGTATACGCTTACGCCAAATCCCAAGGTATTTTTCTTCCCAAATCCAGAACTCCTTGAACATTCCAAGCTAACGTTCAAAGCAAAACGATGCATTTTGTCCCAGGTAAATTTTTACCAACTCGTCGAACCGACGGAGTTTCGACCTCTGAACTTTTACAAAGAATAGTAGAAGGATATATCGAAGGAACCTACGATAACAAATTAGAAAAACTAGGTGTACCCGAATTATGTAGTAATAAAGCTTTGAGTGAAACAGGTAGTGGTGGGATTGCACAAAGAGCAGGATCAAGAACTCCAATGGTAATTCCTAATAGTCCTAAAGCTGGCACTGCTATAGATGCAGAAATGGATGACGGCACGGCTACTGCTAATGAAGCTCCTTAGGAAAATGAGCACTTCTTCTACATCTCTTTGTACTCTTATTTCTTCGAGAACTCGTCGTTTTTGCACAAGATTCAAGGTAACAGATCGGTGGTTTGGTGGTATTGATTTGAAAATGAAGTCAAGAAGAATTTCTCGAATTCCTCTTTAAATTCTTCTCTGTATTGGGTTACTTAAATCTCTGATCTCGGCATTGTATGTATTTCAAGATTTCTCGTTGCAATTCTTTCAAGATTGTTTATTTTTCTTTGGCTTTATTGAACTCATCTTTATAATCAAGCAAGAAATGTTATATAGTATATATTTACTTATTTTTCGTTTTACATCATAAGTGATTCTTTTTGACTAATTTGATTTTTTTCTTTTGAGTGTATGCGCATTTACGAAGGGATCATTTTAGTGGATATCCAGAGCTCGAGGTCAGTTTTTCAGTTTTTGCTTAGATTATCAGGATTAGCCCAAGGTTCTACTGATAACTGCAAGCGATGGTGGTGAGGTTTGACGAAAGGGGTTAGATTCAGTTCACTTGACTCATTTCTGACTCAGCTTGGGCTTAAATGGGTTGATAGGTTTGATTTGATGGATTGAGAGCTCTGATGAATCAGTAAGCTTATTCCCACTTCAGGGATTCATTCTCATTTGATGATCTAAGCCGAGCTCTCATTAGGAGATCTTTAAGATGGCCTGGATTGATCACCTGACCTGGCCCTGACCGATGTGCTTGAAAAACTAGTCTACACTTCTTGAAGGGAATCCACTGAGGTGTCTCGCTCAACAAACTGTTGATGATAATGTGCTTTGTAGTACTTGACTTTCATCATCCTGAACTGTTAATGTTGACTCATTCACATCGTTTCCTTTTCAAGGGAAGAAGGGAATTTGTTGAAGTTGAGTTGAAGTCTCACAGGCTAAGTAAGGCTCATAGTGTCGTCCCAATACAGCAATTGTCGTGTCATCGAAGCCACGTGACTCCCTGAATAGAGTTTTTGAATCCTTGACAAAACTAGATTAAAACACTGTTTCGTTGAAAGCAGACCGAGGTTAGGTTTAAAAAATAGATATAAAAGTCGTTCCGATTTCTGGTCCTCTTCCCCCCCCTCAAGTTGACTTCATTCCCACCTGAACCACATTTTCGTAGCTCTCCCTCTACATTCAAATACTGTTTTTTTTACACTCGAACCTTTTACTTTTGCGGTTGAACCCTTTATCACGAGCGTTACTCTTTCCTTCACTGTGATCGTAGTCGTCTCTTCAATCCGCTACTTCATCTTTAATCGATTCCTTGATCGTGGTTATCAAGTTCGACTCGCAACTTGCCCTAGAACTTCATTGTATCTAGTGGTCTTGATCTCTCACCTCTCATCCTCTTATAAAGTCATCGTCACCTCATCTCATCACCTCTCACGCCACTCTTATCTCTTATTCTCTTTAACGACTGCTGTTATCTTTCCTCAGCTTTACCTTACATCCCTCTCGTACCGCCATCATGGCCTCTTCTACTTTCGCTTTGCCCGGTCCCCCTGCTTCTGCAACGCTTGGAAGTTCAAGCTTCCCCGATCGACTATCTCTACCGCAGGCTGGGGGCCAGGACGCTGGCAAATCTACTCATCATCCTGATGATCCCAAGGGAATCATAACCAACGTTCAAGGCATCGTTCCTACCCTTCAGTGAGTTGCCGATGCTTGATATCGATCACTCATGCCTTTCTTTTAGCATCCGACCTCGCCCGTGTTGTAGATTAGTTCAATGCTCTATCCGTTTCATCTACAAACGGACTAATGTCTCGAGCTTTTCCCTCTATCTCTTTCCTTGCAATCCTTCCCTCTCCCCAGAAACATTGTTGCGACCGTCAATCTCGAATGCCGGCTTGATCTCAAAACAATAGCACTTCATGCTAGGAATGCAGAATACAATCCCAAGGTAGCCCCAAACCCCATGCCTTCCATCTGATTGCTCAGGTGGCTTATTTGCTCGTTCCCACATCTTTTAGCGTTTCGCTGCAGTGATTATGCGGATACGAGAGCCCAAAACAACTGCTCTGATCTTTGCCTCTGGCAAGATGGTCGTCACTGGTGCCAAGTCTGAAGACGACTCTCGATTAGCAGCACGCAAATACGCTCGAATTGTTCAGAAACTTGGTTTTGAAGCCAAGTTTACCGAATTCAAGATTCAAAACATTGTGGGTTCGTGTGATGTGAAATTTCCGATTCGATTAGAAGGTTTGGCCTACAACCACGGGCATTTCTCATCTTATGAGCCCGAGGTTAGTTTGATTACCCTTTGTGTGCTCGTTTCACACCTTACCCTTTAAGACCTATCATGCTAAGCTCTTTGAGCTGTATTTGGCTACAGCTTTTTCCTGGTTTAATCTACCGTATGGTCAAGCCTAAGGTTGTGCTACTGATCTTTGTATCAGGCAAAATCGTCCTGACTGGAGCCAAGGTACGATTCTTTCTCTACTCATACCCTTCATCGTTTCTTTACCTTACTCTTCTTTCGCTCTTCTCTTTCAGGTCCGGGAGGAAATCTATCAAGCATTCAACAACATCTACCCAGTATTGTCTGAATTTCGGAAGCCTTGAACTCCAACCTCTCCTCGTCGTCATCATCATCCCCTCACTCATCCTTACCTCGACCGACCTACCCATCTGCCTCTCGCCTTCTCTTCTTCACTCCTCCGCTTACTCTGTTAAGACCGACCGTGAAGACTTCACTTATTCAAAAATTACAAAGTCAACACTTGGTTGAACGTACATGAACATTTGCCATAATAATATTTGCTTTTATTCACCAATCACACTTTACATCGTTCAACGGTCTCCCTTCCTCTCCTTTTTGTCTGCCGACGCGATTTTCTTCTTTTCTTTGGGTTGTTTCCTTTTTACCAAGGATATAAAGGGGGTCCTAGGGTGTTTTTTTTTTTACTTTTTTTTTCCAATCATCATCCCTCTTAAAACTTGTGTGTTAACAACCCTGTATTCACTGTTTTATCAGTTCTTTTTTTCACACAATGGTAGAAATCACGATTTTATGTGAAAAAATGAAGTACACTTAACTATTAAACTGATTAGTTGTTGCAATTTAAGAGATTGATATGATACAAAACTGTCCGCTACTCGAAGCAAACTTGATCACTTTTGAACTTGGACCCACTTCACTTTTTGGTCGGCACATTTTTCTCAAGTGTGTTTTTCAAAGCTTTCACCTTTGTTATCAATCTTATACCATGTCTTGCATGGGCCCCCGGCAATAAATGACCATCAATCTAGCACATGCCTCGGGCAAGGTCTTGCATTCCACTTCACAACCTCTGTCTTACCTGGACTTATATGCCTTCCTTCACCTCAACATTATGATGACTTGAATGGTCATCTTGATTGGCAACACTGAAAAAGTCCTACTGGTCTTCATCCTCTCTGTTATTCATCAGGCCTTGAAGAACTTCCTCAATGGAATCTGTGATCTTCAAGAGTTTGCTGCATCACAGCAATCCATCCATTAAGATGCTTTGAAGTTGGTATGGGATTAGTCAAGAGCCCTTAAAGAACTTACTCACCTCTGATATGACATACCAAGGATTCATGACGATAATGAATTAAAGATTGAATTTGAAGTTGTCTCAGATACAAAACAAAACATATAATGAAACAATGAATGACTGAGGAGAAGTATAAGTTGATCTATATAGCCTTGCATCAAGACTACTAGAACACTCAGTATGGTTTTAAAAGCTGTAGAGGAAGTCAGTTTTGAATATTATTTTTTTGGATTTGATGATTTCACTTTTGAAATGGACACATTCACCATGTAAATATCCGTGTGGCACATCGACGTGCACACACGGAGAGTTTTGAAATAAAACTCCAAGTCTTTTGGTCAAATTTAGACTGAGATTGTTGTTGAGCACCCTTTGTGCTTTGTGATTTGTTCAAAGGATTTGCAGAATACTTTGTTGTCAGCAGGGGTCAACTGACTTTCAACCTCCCAGGTGATAAGGGGAAGATGTGCTTGTTGTGGCACCTCTTTGATGGGTTGTTACAGGGTCTAAGGAAAGTCTTTTGTGCGTGCATGTCGACGTGCTACAAGGATATTTACATGGTGATTGATAGTTAGATATTTTCAAAACCGTTTTTAAAATTTTCATGAGATTAAATCATAAAAATATCAAGAGATTGATTGATTACCCAATGACTAAGTTTTTTTCATTTCTGTTAAGCTTAAAATATTGATGGTATACAGATATTGGTTGAGAGGAACACAGTTGTGTGCGTATGTGTGAGGAAAAAAAGTGAAATTGAGATTGAGTTGTGTGAGCCAGTTTTTGGGACAAAATAAAAAAAAGAGAAAGGATGAAAAATGAAAAGCAGATCATTAGCTAGGTGAGCCTTTGATGAGATTGAAACAGATGATCATCTGCGTGATCAGTGACAGTGATATCTAATGATGTTATCAATCAGATAGGCAAAACATGTCAGATATCATTCAGATGGGTTATGAGTTATAAAAGATGAGGTTTACACATAGTAGAGTTTTGGTGGTCAGATTGATGATGCGCAAGGGTTAGAAAGATTGATATATGTATTCAGGTGTGGTGGAAGTAGTCTTGCAGGTCATCAACTTGTTCAAAGGGTTGTTAGTTACAATGTGAGACTATGGAATTGTGTCTGTTGTGTTAGACATCTGATCATTTGATTCCTTGATGATCGAGTTGACTCCAGTCATGGTCAATGATATTGTTATTAATCACAAGTGGTAACTTGGTCAAGTTTGAATCAAAGCCAGATATTACTGGCATCAGATTGGAAGCTGTCAAAGGAGGTTCCAAGTACGTTCCACAATGAGAAAACAAATCTTCTTTCATATTGTCATAAGGTTTTGAGCTTCTAAGAATCCACTCAATAGTAATTTATAGGTGGCTCATAAGGGAATTTCTTTAAAACCATATGTATCTGTAGTCACAAAACTCATAGGACATGCAGTTCATGAAAAGATGTTTGGCTTGGGTGGAAATTGATTGTATGCCTCTTTAAAAGTATAAGTTTGATGAAGCATGTATGTTTATTAAAATCTACTACCTAAGTAAACCAGAGTAGCACTTATGTTTGAGTTAAAATTATGGATCATGAGAGGAAGGATAAGACAATTGCAATATCTTTGTCACCTATCATGGGAATTGTTTCACAAACTAATGTTAAGATGGATTTGATTTTGAATTCTTGAGGTTGTATGCAGTTTTTTTCAACTTTTTAGAAAATTGCAATGTATATGTAGGTAACATATCTTTTTCAAATTGACTGAGAATCTGATCAAAATCTTGGAGCTTCCTCAACTTCTTTCCCTCAAACAAATTCATGGTGAGAGTGGGATTTTTGACCATTGCCACTCAACCATGAAAGATACAGACCATAAAGAGTGTGGATCAGGCCACAGTATGGCTCAGTGGACCTATTGGTTTTTGTAGAGACCAATGCACTTAATAGAAATTTTACTTTCATGTCTATGTCTAGCTGTCTTGCACTTGGGGTGAGTAAAGTTGTAAAAGGGCAGGGTCATCACTTCAGCACTAGATTTCAATGTCAATTTTTGAAGTGAACAGCTATAATCTCATTATCATCCACTTCATTGAGAACAAATCTAAAGCCAACATGTTTATATTTCTGATGCAACACACACTCACAGAGAGAAATAGAGAGACGTATATACAGTCCACAAAAGAGGTTAAGGGAAATCGGGATACACTGCTAATCTGCTCCCAAGCACTTGCCAATCTAAGCAACCGTACACAACAAGCTCACCCATAAAACAGAAAAAAAACAATATGATCCAAAAAAGATATATATATATATAAGACTAGTACCGATAGATATGTGAAGAAGAAAAGATAGAAGAAAGTAATAATGTTACGTGATCAAACAACAGCCTTTGTCATTCTTTTTAGCTTTCCGACGACCACTCGATCCTCGTTTCTCTTCTTCGTTTTGTTGCGTTGTTGTGGTAGTACCATTTGCTTGCTGACGTACTAACATGGCTGCTCGGGTTGCAGACTCGAAAATCGCATCTACTCCTTCATTCTTCAAGGCAGAACATTCCATATAGCACCTCGCATTGATTGAATTAGCTACAAGCTCCGCCTATTCCAAAATAATCCCTTGCTCAGCCACAGCTTAAAGATGTCAAATAATGTAAAAATCGTAAGTCCCCGAGACACGCACCTGTCGTTTCTGGACAAACTGTTCTGGATTTGCACCCCCGTCTGAATCCCTTAAATCTTTTTTACATCCAACTAGGATGACTGGAATGGCTGCACCACAAATCGAGCGAACTTCTTCGATCCATTTGACCGTTACGTTTTCAAGAGAATCGGGTGTATCGATAGCAAAGGCAATGAGAATGACATGAGATTTAGAATAAGAGAGTGGTCGTAATCTCTATGTCAAAAAGATAATGGAAAGCAATTTGATTAGAACATGGTAAACAGGTAAAATCAGATGAAAAACTTACTTCATATTCTTCTTGACCACTAATGAGATGATAGGATAATCCACGATAGAAGTGGCCCGGTGGTGGAGAATAGGTACTAATCGTCAGTAATTGAACTAAAATTGGTAGACTACTTGAGATGAAACGACCGACGCTGTATCCCATAGAGCCAATTGTACCGCTTTACCATCTAGCCTGATTTCAGCCACGTAATTTTCAAAGATCTAAAAAGTTTGCAAAGAGATGATGATTTAGCAAAAAAAAAAACGAATAGAATAAGAAAAGACTTTTTAACTAAACGGTAGGTTCATAATCTTCAGGAAATTCGCCCATAGCAAAGACACTGAGAAGCGAAGTCTTCCCACAAGCACCATCTCCGATGATCACCAACTTTCGACGAATTGCTGCAGCTGCTGTTTGAGATGATGATGAAGTTCGAGCAGGTGGAGACATTGTGATGATAGCGAAGGGATGGAAAGAGAGTATGTAAAAAGGGTTGAAGGGTTGAAAATTAAAGAAAAAAGATTACTTAAAGAGAAAGGAAAGTTGAGCAAAGATTTGAGTCTGAGATCCAAATCGAGTTTAAATTGGAAATTTAGCAAGAGGGCAGTGCAGCAAGTACAGAATCTGTATCAAATCAGCTACAATTTAGTACTTACCTTTATATACTTAAATCTCTGTACTTTATTCTTCTTGTACCTCACTAAAACTTCAAATCACTCATCACTCATCACTCATGATCAGGACATCCGACAGTCACCTCATGGATTCAGGTCACTCCGGTCCAGACCCCCTTCGACTCTCCAAAACTCACATCTCGAAATTAGTTAAGAAAGACTTGGACCTCGACTGTAGAATTAATCTCAAGCACAGCTTTCAATATTCAAGCTCATCTCACTGAATCGATATAAAATCATTAAGCAATTCACACACCAATCTGAATGCAGCATTGCTCAGATGAGAAACAAAGATATTATCTGTAGAGACTTTCACTATCACCATTATGTTTGGTATGATAGAAGACACGAATGTGAATTTAACACTGTCTGTTCCCTATCAAAGCTGCCAGACTGATCCATTGTTATGTCAAGTGAGATCCAGCTGATTTGAGAATAGATGATTTTTTTTGAACTGTAAATCATGGTGCAAATCCTGCTTTTATTTTCAATCAGGTTCCGTTTCTCTGCTGATTTGGAGAATCAAGAGAATACAGAACCTGTAAGAACACTTTTGGGTCAGTTTTGACCATTGTGGCAATGACTTTTTTTCAAAAAAAAAAGTGGTCAATCATCCTCAAGTTAGCCGTATATAGAACAAATGGGCAGTAGGCGCTGCCATGTCATGCTCTGAGCTCACTGAAGACCTTGAGTGTTTTCAATGCTATGAAAAGCTATCCAAATTACTCAAGTTGAGAAATGATGCATGCCAAGTTAAATAGAAGGATTTAGATGTCTGGGTATGTACTCTGAATAAAGCACTGAATGGGAAGAAATCATGACACTTTCAGAAGAAATGATATACATTGACCATTGGAATAACATAACCAGTTGTCTTAAATACTCAATACTCTTTGCAAAGAAATCTAAATATACATGATCAGATAGATCTACCAGTTTAAAATAATCTTTTACATAGTTAGAAATCAATTTCATGACACTCAAACCTGACAAGCATTGCAAGACCAATTTTCCATATGTGAATTGTTTCAAATTAATTTTGTCTTCTCTGGTGATCTTCAAAAACACTATCATGAGCCTCAACAACCACAATGCAAAGCAAATATGATTCAATCAGATTTGAAATGTTTGAGTTCAGTTTCAAGATGAAAGTTTCTGACTCAGGCTGTGAGGATACCAAATTGTGGATCTATACAACAAAAAGTGATTGATCATGAATTTGTACATTGGCAAAGTGATCTAAGCTCAAGTCAACTGTGAAATGGGAGCTAAATTTTTCCATGATTTAGTGGTTGACCTGTTCCATTTCATAACCTATTGGACATTCCAACAAATCACATAAAAGCTTATATGCTTACATCCAGACTTGCTCAATAATCATAATTTTGAAAATAAGGTAAAATGTCATCAAATTGAATGATTTAGAGGTTTGAGTTGAGTTGAAATTCTTAATCTCCAATGGAAGCATAGTTTTGAATCAAGATTCCAATGTTGTTTGAAGATTGAATTTTATGATTGCTGGTTTGCTTGTTACTCAAGGGGTTTAACTGCCTTATATGTTGATTTGACAACAATGAAAGTAATTATAGATGGAAACCTTTGATTTTTTGTCAAGAAATCCAAGTGTAATAACTTGATTAAAGTTTAAAAGACCTTGGTGAGCTTCCTAGCAAAAATTGTGATCCACAAGCAGGCCACACTTAATTGACGAAGGACTACTTTGCTTGAAGTTGTACTCCAGTCTATGGAGAAGGTCTATTCTGCAGTTGGTTCCAAAGGATCTTTTATATGTTTCTGCACAATTGTGACTGCACTTGGCAAGCATCATGTGACTACAGCCCCACAAATTGGGACAAAAGGCCAAGAGTCATCCTCTATGTATCAAAACTAATAGACACTTGTCTCACCATCCTTCCTGGCCACTAAGACATTCTCCTCAGTATATAAGAAACCAAACACCCAGAAACCCTCTTACCAAATTTTCAAATAATCATGTGGTACAACCCTCCAAGCTCTTTGTGTGGAATGGTTATGCTACAGTGGTGTCTAATACTGCACCACAATTGCCGCATCCCAAGCATACTCACCACAGATTTCAACTTCATCATACTTACTGGAGTCCACCTACTTATCACCGTACACTAGCAAAAAGATTGATCTCACTTTTCAGCGGAAAAGGGTTCAAATTAATATCACCAAGAGGAGTACCCACAAGATCCTAAATGGGTACAATCCCAACAGCCATCAATATAATTTGGGCTAGCTGGAATATCACAGAGAAGATCACTGACAGTGAGGTTATCACTGATAGTGTAGCATCAGATCACTATCCAGTAGCCACTTTCCTAGACTTGTTTTTCCTTCCACCAGTGAGCTCACATAAAAATATTAAACACACTAACACACACCGTGTCCTTGTGGCAGTCGGCCGACGACAAGCACACACGGAATGCCTTTGAGGCACAAAGGCAACTCCTGTGCACTGGTCAACAGGCAAACACCACACAGACATGGTGACAATGTATTCCTGTTTCAGAACAAAATCCAGGAACAACTGATCCTCCCACCCATGTACTTAACAAATGATGACAGTGATCTTGGTGCAATCAAATTATCAACAATCATCTTGGAAGCAGCTCAAGATCAAGGTAAACAATTCAAAAGAAACATACAAAGTTACACAAGCTGGTGGGACAAGGACAGGCTCAGCCCCATCATCAAGAATCAAAACTGCACCAGACAGTGAATGATCAGGACGGATCTACCATAGACTCATAGGTGCTATGCTAAATGGCAAAAATACCTCAAGTCACAGACTCTCCTAGCCAAGACAACACATTGGAAATCCTTCCTAGCCAATAGCTCAGGAAATACAACCTTTAAAGTGTACAAACTGACTAAACCATTGTCCTCAAGTGAGGTGTCCCCCCTACTTTGTCAAGACGGTTCCACAGTAGCAGACATACAAGAACAAGCTGAACTTCTTCTCAAAGGTACCTCTATAGGTCATATAGAAGCCAATCTATCAGATATCCCTCACAAATTTTTGAATCAACAACAATCGCCTGTATACCTGTCCCCAACACTCAAAATCCCAGAATTAGTTAAAATCCCAGAATTAGTTAAAATTGTCAACAAAGCTCCTAATAAAAAAGCAAGAGGTCTAACATGACCTGCTTCTGATGCATGATAAATACTTTATTTAGCTTTAAAGATTGATAAAATAAGCTTTTTGTCATGTAAATGTTGCTACATGTGTGTATGCAAGCGCAAAAGTTGATATTCACACTATTCTCTTCAATTCCTTATACCTTTTCACAAATTCTCTGTTACTAGTGGTTTAAAGTGTACATTATTAAATGGAACATTCCACATTGATTGAGCCATGACCCATCCTGATCTGACCAGGTTTGACATATGTAATTAGCTGACAGCCTTAATTTTTGACAACTTCCACCCCTTTTCACCTCTTGTCACATCAATACCAATTTCTTCTTCATCATGAGATTGTTGTAGATCAATCCATTTATAAACACAACCTTATAAATCATTATAAAACTCTCAGCATCCATAAAATCCCTCAATCCAATCATTGGTGGCGCCAACAAAGGCACGGCTTGGAGTTGAGTTCCATGACTGAGTGGCAAGTTACATCAGACGGTAGCATAAATGCTTATAGCGAGAACAGTGCGAGCCAGCAGGGAAAAAATTTCCCCCGCGCCAAACCGTGAAAATTTTCTCCTCCTGCGTTCTCTCTCACGTCTGGAAAACAAGCACTAGTCATCAAGATCTCTAAAGTTTCTATCTTCAAATCCTTTTTGTGTATTTGATTTTTCAAAATACCACCCACCCACCCAGCGTGCTTGTGGGACGGTCCCGGTCTTTGCGCGAGGAAGAAAAGATTTTCCAACCCACACAAAACCGGGCCGGCCTGCGGCCGCCATCCCAAATCCGGCTTACTCTCAAAGTATGATATGCGATGAGAGAAAGCCAGGATGGTATTTTTTTTTAGGTTACATATAACAAACCCAACAGATTAGCAAGTCTAGAAACTCGCCTTCACCAAATGGATTACATATGAATAAATCCCATATTATTAGTACCCTTGTTTACCATCCTCAACTTTCCCTCTTTCTTGAATAATTGCACTCCTCCCTTATCATGAATCCTGATGATTAAACTGATCTGATCATGCTATTTCATAGCTTAACCTTCTTGAACCCTCAAATCCATTACTAATACCCTAAAAACCATTTTCCAACCTTTTGTACACATATTGTCAACTTTTTCTTGAATTCTTAATCTTTCAATCCTCTTCTTCCATTCTTTTTATAACACATTTTATTCTATTGATCATAAACTAAATGTCACTCAGCATCAATCTCAACCTTAATGATACTTCTCCAATTGATCCTTACTAATATTACTATTTTTATGATTTCTTGACTTTTTCTTATCTTCTTTTCCCCTTATCAAATTGTGTAATTGATGTATAAATGATTAATAAGCAACTACAAAACCCCTGCTGACCATCATTACAACTAACAAAATATGAATTTGACCAAAAAAATGTCTTTTACCACAGATTTTTAAATTTTATTTGTCATCACCAGAGACAGGAGGGACAGATGCAGCTGGGGTCAACGCCCAAACCAATCCAACACAATACAACTTTTTGGAGATTTTCCATGTCATATTGGTCAACCCATATATTCAGACCAATACCCAATACAATATGAGGACAAAAAATATCCGTTTGGCCATGTCATGTCACTGAAGCAATACAAGCCAATACCGTAGTTAAAAATTGGTTGCAAGGCTTTTCAAGTAAGAAAAGGGCAAATTGCCTCCATCCTGTATCACATTGCCAATACCCATTATGAGAAAAGGGGACTTCTTATGTTGGGTCAGGTGAAGCAACATGGAGAAATCCAACTTTGATGTTGGATTGGCAATACAATACCAATACAATACCAACTTTTGTGTTGGATTGGTTTGGGCATTGCTGGGGTTGATGCTTCAGCAGAGGTACCAGAAGGCATGATAATGAAAGAGGCAAATCTATGGTAAGAGTGATACCAATAGTCCATCAAATGTTTATGGTTTGAATCAACTTGACAATAGGTTGTCTTCAAGTTCTTATCTTTTGACTTGTGATGTTGTCTCAGACATAGAATTGGGTCCATCTCTACTTATTTATGCAATGAAATTTCTTGATCATAAAATTTCTATAGTGGTCTTGATGCCTTCTCTTTTGTGTGTGAGAAACCTCACTTCAAACTTTAGCTTGAGATTGTGCTGTTGGGGCCCCTTGGGGGTTAGGGTCAAGCTTTGGGATGCTCCTGAGCATGTTGGGGAGTCATTGGGTAGGGTTAGGGTAGGGGAGAGCCACCTGAGGATTGGGCTCAGGCTTGGGATGGCCACCCCCTGTGTTTTTTGGCTTGGGGATCAGGTTGAAGTTTGTCTTTTAGTAACCTTTCTTGGACCGTTTAAACAAGAAAATTCAGGTCAGGGGCACAGTGCAGAAAAGTGCCTTAGGTGCACCTAGGCATCAGAGATTTTGAAAAATTGGTGGCCAGCGCGCCCTTTAAAAATCACACCAAATCTAAGAAATCCTACATCCTGTCACTAATATTGGAGTTATTGACAACAGCAGTAGGACTTGTATACTCACTGTGAACTCCAAAGAAAATTCTTGCTCACCTTTACATGGCAAAACTGTTGTGGTAGGTGGCTTCAGTAACTTAAAAATCAGAAAAATATCAATGAAAAGCAACATTTAGGCCTCCAGCTTTTTTTTGGAAAAAACACGCCCGGTGTGCCAAGTGGCGCCTGGGTGCAAGAAAAGTAGAAAAAACATGCTTCCAAAAATATCATTGCGCCCACAGCCTGAGAGAAAATTTGGCATATGCAATCACAATTTGGACCTATTATGTATGTCACAAACATGTCACTCAAGAAGCTCAATTTTGACCTAGTCACACATCAGGATGATCCCTGAGACCTGCCAAATCAGGGATCCCCATGGTACAACCCATTGGGTCAGGGGGTTGTTCTGGCCTTCAAAGGTTCCCAGAACCGCGGGGATCATCAGGCCTGGGGGTCATTCTGAGGTCAAAAAAAAGTGATTCTCCTTGGGGAACCCAAGGAAAAATAAAGCTGTGAAAAGTGGACAAATACAAGCTTGGGAGAGCTCCCGCTCAGCAGTATTTGCTGGAAATAACCGGAGACTTGGGGATCCCCGTAGTTTCCCAGGGATTTGGTAGTTGGTTGGGGGTCAGGGTACGGGAGCCGGGCTTGATCTTTGGGACAAAAAAAGCTTGGGGAATACCAGGGTCGGTCCTTGTTCTGACTTTTGGAAAGTCTGTCACCCAAGCTCAATCCCCGGAATTTGGGGGTTGGGGCTCATAAGTTGACCAACGCTTTCCAGGGTCCTCCAAAGACCTTGTTGTTGGTAACTTGTTATTAACACAGTGGAATGGGGAAGTTGGACTTTTACATATGTTGTGTAAACTGACAGGTCGGACTATTTTCATTATAACTTTGATCTTTGACAGTTATGACATCATAGCTGTTTACCACCAATCTTTCTAACTTCCCATTTCAGTCACAATTGTCGAAGTCATTATCTTTGAATTCATAGTTCATTCATCTTTTACAAACAGTGGTATCTTTTCAACCCACCCTCCCATCCCTCTCAGTCAATTTAGTTTTATAAATTCAAAAAAATCATGGTTCCATATATTATCTTTCATATTTCTAAGAAGGGAGTTGTTATGTTTGGTTATATATTTTCTTTTTATAAGTTTTGTTATATTATTTATGATATGTTTCTTTTATTGTGTTATTTTTACTTTTTTATTCTTTATTCTTTTATGTCAGCAATGTAGGTTGATTTGAGTTTGGTTCCGTTACTATGTTGTTCAGGTTATGTTTCTTTATTTGTTTTAGGTGGTCAAGGGTTATTGTAGCTTATATTCAGGACATGTTTCTTATTTCTGTGTCCGCTAGCCGCCCCGTTCAAGTTGTGGGCGCGTGTTTTGAAAAGTCAGGCGCATTTGCCAAAAAAAATTGCCTCACACCCCTGTGCGACGGTGCAACACACCCTTGTCTCAATTCTCTTTGTTTTAGATAAAAGCAGTGGAATACATATATTTCATCATACAAATCTTTTACATTATATGGATGGAACTTTGATCAGACAGGATAAATTGAGAAGTTTTGTAGGAAATCATTTGAAGAGATCATCGGCACTCCAGGCCACTCCTGGACTGTCTGGAACATCCATAACATGCGACTCTTGAGCCAGACTAGATGAACTACTTTTCTCAAATAATCAGAAATCAAAGATGGAAGTGATAAATCCAGTTTCATCCACATAAAGACTGGGATAAATAGGGTCCAGATGAGTGAATACACCTTCTTCAAAATATTCCAATTCTTCGGCCAGGCCCAAGTCTTGCTCAGCAAGAGCTTCTTCAGTATTGATATTGCTTTTTGAAGCTTGTTTTTGGGCCTGAGGGCCCTTGTTTGGAGTTGGGCAGACTCCACTTGGAGCTGTTTGGACCTGACATTGAAGTATGTGAGAGGGAGCTGAAGAAAAAAAATCTGCCTGTTGGCACTGGCAGGCTCAAGATCCCTTGCAGCTCATCCCTGTTGCACCCCACGCACCCCCCCTTTTTGGCTCATTGGGTGTGACAGGTGCGGTGCAGCGTGCGCCCGCACCCCTGTTTCATTATTCAAGTAATTTTATTCCCGGGGCTTACGCTGCGGGCTTCGCACCAAAAACACTGTTTGATTGGTATTTTTCTATACCATAAGGGTACTCAAAGTACTATGTGGTGCCACATATCTGGCGTCACATACTTTTCAAATTTCATTTTTGACACCGAAATTACCATAACAAGTTGAAGAAAAGGACATATTGAATTATATTTGGCATATTGTAATGTCAGCGTAGGTCATTTTGCCTCTCAAAAACAAAATTTGAAAGTATGTGGTGCCACATACTTATGTAGCGCCACATACTTGCTTTGAGTACCCTTCATATCTTTGTGAGTTTATGTAACAGGCCCATTTCAAATGATTCTTTTATGCGCTCGAGATGTGCAAGAGTCAGCTTGGGAAGTTGTTGAGTTCAAGAGTTCAATTTAATCCAATATAACTCAACAAAGTCCCTCAATGCTGTGACAATCGAGGGACTTTGACAAAGCTTGCCAGAACTTACCACATTTTGGGTCAATCTGCTCGAGTTTTGCGGGAAAACCAGCTCAGAATTCGACATGCTGTTTGAAATTGACAGTACGTAAGTTAGGAATTTGATCAATTCTAGCCTATTTCAGCCCATCTTTTGCTCGACGTGGATGTAGGTAGCTTCAGTAGCGAACCCCAGCGCCAGTTCAGACCACCAGTCTTTATCAGATACTTTCATACACGACTCACAAGTTCTCTTCCATCCATAGTCGAATCCAAAGCACTTTGTTACTCATACGCAACACTCCCGGCACCAGAACATGATAAAAATTCTCTTGCTTATATTAGCTTTCCACGACTGCTTAATTTCTGCCTCTTCATTGTCATTCCAACTTGAAAAAAAACCCGAACCAACCCCTGCGGAAGCCGATGCCTATAATGGGATTGAAGGAGCCATGGAGGCAGCAGTGGCCCGCTACAATCGCTTTGTCAAACTCGAGGTCGAAAAACAATTAAAAGTCGAGTATTCACCGACCGTTGAGACAGCCAGGAGCAATCACGATCTGGGCGTGATACAGTTTGGCCCCAACTCAGAGTATTGGACCGAACGACAAGCATTACACGAGATTGCACATACTTTGGGAGTGGGTTTCCGAGCATTTAACGAGAGATGCGAAAACAAAACCTGGTACAATGCCACAAGCGTCCTTCGGCAATTATCGAAAGACCCACAGGCCGAAATAACTTGTGGTGGACAGCATTTTTGGCCGTACGGCATGAACTACGAAAAAGAGTTTTCTGAAGAAAATGCGGATATTCATTGTCAAATAATCCAAGAGATGATATATGATGGAATGAAATAACCTATCGCTGGCCTCAAACTAGAATTGTAAGTCGTATGATCTTCAACTGAGAACCGTTGCTTTCTGTATGCGTATATGGATAGTTTTTTTCTGATCTCAGTTTGTTGCTAATATGTCTATTTACAAGGTCTAGTCAGGCTTCCGTTGATGTGCTTCAAGGCAAACATTTCACTCAACAAAACAGAAAGGATATCTCACATCAATTGAGAGACGAGATGCTGGGTATCAATATTTATGATGTGTGATGCTCTTTTATTGTCTGAGAATTTTAGTAATCGTCTCTTACAGCTGTTTTATTTCGTGTTTTGTTGATATTCTCTATATCTCGGAATCGTTATCTTAAGACCAAAGGATGCAAGCTGCCCGATTCATTAGTTCTTGCTACCCGGGTGTTGCTCTTCTCGTTGATTTGTCAATTCAAATCAAAACTTAATTTCTTTGATTGATCACTTTTGATTTCCTTGACTCCTTGACTTTTTAATGAAATTTGAAAGTCCGATTGCACTACAACTATCCCCACCCAATTCCGTCAAGCTGAGTGAATGCTGCAGTATAATGAACGTTATCCAGAATAGTACGAAGTTATCTGATTGTGCATAGAACAATAAGCATCTTTGGTATCCCCACTCAATTCACTTAAATCTTTGTGGAAGCTTTGTCAAAGTACAAACTTGTGTTTTGTGCCCTTCCTTCAATTGACTATTCCTAGATTACCCATTTGCTTCAATCATAGCATAATGAAAGCTTTGTTACAATTGTATTTGTATGAGAACATGTTATTGTGCTTTTTTGCTTTTCCTCACAATTTACAAAAACTTTAGTCCAGGGCAAGTTAAAAAACCTACATATCCATAGCCTTGCGGTAAACGACATGGGGTGCTTTTCTTTTGAAATCGAAGTCGAGCTACTCACAGGTATCAAATATGTATAGAAAACTGACCTGATGTAGTGTCATACTATAAAATCTCACCAGAGCGAATCTCACCGTCTTCCAAGATTAAATTATTGCATATAATCAGCATCTCAATTTTTCTTGCCCATTCTTTTTGAGTATGTAGGTCGACTGAGTTTATCAACTTTATTGAAGAGGCGATGATTTGATTGGTTTTCTATATGACAACATTATTCGTAACCAATACATCTTGCTAACATCCATAGTCCTTAACTACTGTTTCCTTCTCAATTTTTGATAAACTATATCAAACATTAGTACACCCACCCCGAAGTTGCGTATGAAGCAACAAGTCATCGGTAACTTGGCTCTAAAAATTGAAGCCGAGGTCTAGCAAAACCTGCATCAATCTCATTTTATCTTTTACTCGATATGCAGGGTTAGTCGACTGTGATTAGCACTTCCGCGCCAGCAAACCAGTCTTCATCAAATATCAGATTTTCATCACCAATTCACAAGACCTCTTCCAATGATGTTCCAACACCCAAGAATGAGAATCGTTTTCTTGATCATACTAGCTTTCCACAGGTACTTCATCCTTGCCGCCATCACCTTCAAACTCGAAATGAAGCCCGATCCGACCCCAGAGGAGCGCGCTGCTTATCTTGCAATTGAAAAGGCCATGACATCAGCCGTGAAGCGTTATCAAAAATATGTGGACGTCAATACAACCATAACGGTCAAGTATATGCCAGGTGTCAAAACAGCAGATGCCGCTCATGATGCACGCGAAATCCGGTTTGGCAGCCACCAAGAATATTGGAACGAACGAGTCGCACTACACGAGATTGCGCATATTTTGGGTGTTGGTTGGCATGCATTTGATGAGAGATGTAAAAAAAAGACTTGGACGGTGGCCACAAAAGTTCTTCGACAATTTTCAAAGGAAAAAAATGACGCCGAAGTACATTGCGGGGGAGGACATTTCTGGCCCTACGGCCTGAACTACCCAAAAGAGTTTTCTGAGACAAATGCAGATCGACATTGCCAGATGATCAAGGCAATGAGAGATGATGGGATGCACTGACTTATTGCTTGACTTCAAACTAGACCCACAAGTTGTCAAGCCATCAAGTGAGCACTGTTCCTTTCTGATTGCATATATGGGTTGAATTATTTATGATAATTCTTTGGATTCACTGGTAGGTTCAATATTTTTTTTGGCGATAGCGAACATCTCTGGTCAAAAAATACAGAATCAAACTAATTCAGATGATGCTTAGCATTGATATGGAACGCTTCCAATCTCCCCCGACTTTTGGTACTAATATCTTGTGAAAATTTTCGAGGTTGGTGTTCGATTAACGGAGTGGAATAAGTCAAGTTGGATTATGAAGACAAACGACAAGTGGAAGTCTCCAAATGATTTGCTACCTTATGTCCAATGTGTGTTGGGGAAAATTCAGGATACAACAAGTAGACATGTACCCCAAAGAACTGTGTACGAGTACGTTGTTGGGTACCAACATTGTCGAACAGCTGTGGCGACATGTGTTCCTCTTTTTTCCATTACCAACATTCGTACACTTTGTACTCCATCCCATTTCCTCAGCACGCTAGGCAAATCTAGACATCTATAGCAGAATCATTTTCCATCTTTCGTAGCCAAACTTTCCATCTCTGGCGCTTTGTCTGAAAATTTTTCTTTCCCACCCACCCACACCTTAAAAAAAAGTTTCTCTGTTTCTCGTTTTCTTAATTCTTAAAAAACAATTTTAGATAGATTTTTTTTTTTCAAATGTTTTGTAGAAATTTTTCAGTAGCGATTTCAAATTTGGGAGGGGTTTATGATCTTATTCTAATATTTTCTTAACAGTTTCTTTAGTTGTGGGTATCAAATTCTTTTGTTATCAGTTTGTAAGGCCTCAGGCCTCCCCAACAGGGGTCTTTTTGTGTGTGCTCAAGTTCTAAGTTAGAAGCAATACAAGAGACTTCGTTTGTGTGTGCCCCCAAGGGCAACACTCCGCGTACTCCTGGTAGCTTCGAGTGACCAATGTGAGAAGTCTAATCCATCCGACGACTCATTTCTCCCGATGTTGTTAATTCTGTGAATCTCGTAATACACACTAATACTTTTAATATGAATATAACTTTCTGATTGACCTCGCCTACGGCCTTGACTATAAGAGCTAGCATACGAACGTACTACGGTTCAGGCGGCAAAAAATGAAGATGCCTCCAGTAGCCTCCAGTACAAATTGTCGAGGTCGATGAAGGGTCATCCATCCTGAAAGCTCATGATTCCATGTGGTTGAGTCAGTAGATAGGAGTCTAGGACTTGATCATAAGGTCATGAATTAGAATAAGATTTCAAGAGGGAAACTCCCATAACCTTTTCCGGGACTCTCAAATAATTCCAAATGTAATCATGTGCAAAGCATAATCCTTCCCGTATTGGACAATCGCATTCCTTGGTCTGTCAAATACATGATCAATTAGTCTCAACAGCATCCACATATCTCATTTTCCAAGCTAGCACAGAAGTTTTAGGATAAAGTACATATACATATGTGCAATGTTTTCATGATCAAAAGAATTTGAATTTAAAAATTTAAAGGGAAGAGAGAGAAAGAAAGTGAAAAAGTGTATGTTGCAACGTGATCTAATTACTTTAATCCGCCATCCGAACTTCTCTTTGGCGCCTATGATATCTACTACATGTCGAGACTTGACAACTCATTTTTCTTCCAGTTCACAAATTGAGGAAGGATTCCTGATATATATCCAGTTTTACCTCATCTGACCAATTGGATTGATGAAGCCCAGATGAAGGTTTCACTTCATAGGCTTCAAAGTCATCTTATAATCAAAACAAGATGAATTCAAATCCATGTCAATCCAAAGAAAAACAACATTTATGCACAAAGCGATCATACCTAATTGCTCGGTTTTGGGTACTCCCAGTAACCTTTTGCTTTTTGCGTGTTCGAAAACCGAAATGTAGGATCTGAAGTCCCTTGTTCTTTTTCCGAATGCCAAATCGGAAATGAAAAATCCGGGTCTTGTGGGGTTTCAAGGGCACGAATCTCGGCGCCAGTCGATTCATCAATAGGCCTATGCTTCCCATTCAGGGTTCTGCTGGTGTCTCTGAGATCAGGATGTTGGGTCGGGCGTTTTGTCTCATCTGCCTCCGTGGAAAGCGGTAATGGCCAAGATTGTTGGAATTTCTTCGGGTGTCTTGGAGGGCGTGAAGCGCGATTCCTTGGGGTACTGGCTTGAGGTGATATCTCATGTTGTGACTCGGCCAATTTCCACTCTTTCTGATCAAGTTGACCTATATGCTTGATGCCACTTTCTTGTGGTGATACTAAATGACCATTTTTCTCGTGCTTAAACTCGCGCGTTGTATGGTGGCCTATCATAGGACGAGCTTTTTCCGTTGTTGAGCCTTTGTTTCGAGATAGGTCGCTTATTTTCCGAGTCGCAGGTTTCAAGAAATCCAACATACTTCCTTGTACCGTTATAGACATAGAGATAGCGATGAGTAAAAGTAACATTTTCCATCTATGGTGTCTGGTTTTGGATCTAGGTCTAGATCCGCTTTCAAAAATTGAAGCCTGATTGAGCAGAGATCCCATAGCTTGAAGAACAGAAAACAGAATCCCATAAACTTTCATCTGGGTCATAGTATATGTAAAAATATGGAAATATGGCTTCGGATGTAGCAACTCAAGATGACAATCAATTTGGAAATATTGATGAGATAAATGGACGCGCCAGTATTTGCTTGCTGGTACTTTGTGAGGGATCTACTGGGTTTCCGGTCCACTATTTATGTTGAGAATTGCCTCCTGCTCACCTGCTCCTGCTAGAACTTTTGCGATCGCCACACGCCGGCGTTTTGCGGGACGGCTCCTCAGATGAGACACTCTCAATTAAAATTTGACTGAATGCTGTGTTAGGCTATCTGATCAGCATAACTTAGAGTCAAAATGTTTCACTGGACAAATTTGTACACCCTAACCTACCTTGCCAGTTGCTGTGTCCCCAGCACTCTAAAACCTGTTCTCGCTACCAGGTTAGGAAAATGGCCATGAAAACACCTTTCATGGGCTACTTGCGAAGTACATCGGCAGTATTGTTACACTGGGTAGAGGTGCGGATGTCCGGTCAGTCCAATCACACATTAAAGACATGCAACCCGGATGAGGTCGTAAGGAGCGAGCAATCATCACAGGACATTGTCGGCAGAATATAAAAATTTCGGAAGAAGATTCGGTGACCCGCGCTTGGAATGCTTCAATTGGTCGTGGTATTTCATTTACTACCTCGAAAGATGGAAGCCAGCCGACTTCCGCGTCCTCTGCTTCAAAAACATCCTTGGACTAGGCTTTTTCTCAACTTCCACGATGCATGGTGGCGTAGACGTGCATATACCTTTGATTTCACTTCTTTTCCGGATTTCCCCTGGCTTACGCACTTATATATATATCAATACTTTTGCGTTCTTCTCTTCATCGTGATTTTTTCGTCGAGGGGTGTCGAGTTTGGATTTGTGCTGCCTTGGTGTGACTAGTTAGTTGACATTGCTGCTGTAAGTGTAACACTCAAGAGGATATGCTAGACGCCTACAATAATACTGTGCTTTGAACATCGAGCAAAACAATTGCTCGTGCATGTCTAGTTGTATTACTCGTATACGAAATGAGTATACTAGTGTAAAAGCCTATCAGGAACCAAGGTTTACTTCTTCTCTATCTATCCCTAAACATTGCATGATAGTCCATAGCAACTTACAATGCTTGTCACATTTATGGTGTGTTTGATTCAATTGCTAAAGTTACTGTCCTCCGGAGCCTTAACAAAGCCCACATACACTGTCACAACTTTTCTTGAAACTAACACCATCTCTTCTTTATGTATGATATACAGGCAGTCTTATTCTCTAATCACTTTGAACTTGTATCGCATTTTTGCGGACTGCTGTTTCAAACTGCTCAGCCCCGTCACAAAACGATCGGACTGCTTCAGACTGCTCAGCCCCGTTAAAGATTGTTTTGATCACCAATCAATTCTACACGGGATTCGCTACAGACCACCGCCTCATCAGACTGCTCCGCACCCTTCGAAAGCGATGTGACTGCTTCAGACTGCTCAGCCCCGCTACAAACCGATCTCACTACTGATTCAGACTGGCCTTGCTGCATTGTACACTGCGCTGGCTGGATTTCTCCGTTCTGCGCGCCGTCTATACCAGCTTTCCTGCTTTGTATTTTTCGTATTTTTCCTTTGCCAAATGCATTGATACCGATGAGTCAGCCGACTATTAGTCTTACTGAAGGCCTTTCCTCAGTGTTGCTTGGCTCAGTCAAGACAAGTAAATTTTTGACTCTGTCCAGTTTATGGGAAGTCCAACACCATTGTTTTGCCGCCCCCAATGCTCTAGTTTTACAATTTTGGAGATGTGGTGTTCAGTACATGAAGGAATTGAATGAAAGGCGATGAAGAGATACAAGAAGAACCATAACAGAAGATTGTCATCAAATCAAGACGATAATAAGTGAATGACAAGAAAGAACCAAATATACTACTAAAATTCTCCACTGATATCTCGACTACATAAGGTGAATAATAAACCAACAAACTCTTCAAACCCAAAACACTTTGAAATAAATCATCAAGATTTCTTCCAACCAAGTGTTTTGGAAGCAAGTACACGTCCAGCAACAATACCTAAACCAAGAGTAGCCATAACGATATATCCACCAAGTTCACTCCAGCTGGTTGGATCATCAGCCATCCTATCAGATCTAACACTGGTACCAGATACTTCCCTTGAGTTCATTAGAATTTCTTTTGATTTTGATCTTTTCAATCTATCTTCAATCTCAAACATTGAGCGTTCCATTGCTTTCAATTTACTAGCTGAAACAAGAATTGTATCCCTTGAATGATGATCAGAGTGAAACCCACTAGGAAGACCTAAAGGTTCAAGCCTTGGTTTTTTTTGAGGTGTGCTGAGGATCTCTTCGGTATGGGCCAATAGCTCCTTAATCAGGAAGCATTCATCTCTCCCATCATCAAGATTAGAATTATCGCATACATCTGATTCACCCAAAGTTTGAGGATTGGAGTATGATGAAGACGCATTGCACGTGCAGTTTTGGAGAGAAAGCGCTCGCGATGAGTTGATTATTGATGTGGAAGCGATTGGAGATACTGTATTTAATGGGAGTGTGGCATCGGCTTGTCCTACGATTGAAGACAAAAGCCCCGAAACTTCCTTTCCGTCGGGTAAGGGAAGGGTTGGAATAGGGATGTGAAGATCCTTGAGAGCAGAACGGCCAGATTTGATCGACAGGTTCAAGGTCCGGGCTTGCAGGTTAGAACATTCGTACTTATTTTGATGCAGAGCTAAATTGTTTGACGAGGTTGGCGGCGAGTCAGACATCCTATGAAGATTGCCCAATGGACTCGGTGATCGAAATAGTGTGGTGCCTTCATTCCATTCTACTGATTTCTCAGCTTCGACCAGTGTGTTGCAAATCAGAGCGGGGGGGATCTGTGGGATAGATGTGATATCGATCTCATCGGTACTCAACACGCTTCCAAAACTGTCAATGCTTGATGTCCGAGAACATGTTCTAGACAGCCGAGATATAGCGTCACGCGACGGTGGGAGTGCAGGTGCAGTCTTTGTAGCAAGAGGTGACGATGGGTCATATGGACGATAACTTCGATAAGTTTTGACTAAGAAACTTTGATCTGAATCATCCACCACACCACCTTGAAAAGGTGCACTATTCATAAAAACACATCAGCATCTGTAGACAGGTATTGCTTGAGTCACAAGACTTACGGAGTGAGACGAATTTTGGGGTCTTCATCTTCAAAGTACTTCGTTATACCCCGAACTTGACCAGCAGAAATAAATTTAGATGGATGATTTTGATTTTGAATCCGAGAAGCTGTGGTATGAGGACTCTCGCCCTGTAGTGGATCCGGTGATCCTTTCTCATCATCTTCCCAATCTACCTGATCATGTGTTTCACTGCGATTGCGACGACACTCTCGGCGAAGACGATTTCTAGCCTCACTCATCATCTTCACCCAGTTTTGATTCAGTCCAGAATCTTGGAATTCTTGTCTAGTCATCTGCAGGAACTTTCGACCGCCCATACCAGCACCAATCACGTAGGCTCGGATATCTGCAATCTACAACGATATCCGAATGGATCTCCATTGAATTCAAAGTGAAGTTGAACTTCAAATCAAGCGAAGTAACTGACCAGTCTAGCAGGCCCAAGATTCAAGACATGTGAAAGGTACATGGCCAATTCGCTCGGACTCCAAGTTGTGGGGTTCGCCTGACGTGATGTATGAAATTGAATCAGTCTTCTATGACATACGGTTGTCAGAATTCAACTGTATAAAAACCTATAAAAACTCACAGGTAAATTCGCACATAGGTCTCCCGATGACTTGGGTAGGTTAGGCATAGTGACGCTATGTGGAATGGATCGTATGCAGGCATTTTGCTGAACGACCTGCGAATGACGATGCTTTCGACGTTGAGAAACAGCTTCAACTTCTTCCATTCGTACACTTCTTAGCCTTTCAGCGTGTTTATTGAGCTCAGCCGCAGCCGAGACAGATGTAGTGATGCGTTGTAATAGGTTGTCTGACATCTTTCGGTTCACTGAAGGGCTATTGGTAATTTCGAAGCCTGTGGATTGTCGTCGATGTATCATGGGGACAGAGAAGCTGACCGAAAGAGGATGTTTTGAGGCATTCCGAGAGAGGAGCTCGTCTGAATAATCGCAGGCAGGAAAAATTCGACTTTTATTCTGAGCTTTGTTTAAACCTGTTTGAGAGAGATTGCTTGTGTCTCTAAAGTTTGGTCATTCGGAAAGACTTCATCAGACAAACTGGCTAGAAAAGATGGCGAATCAGAAGCCTGGACATACTGCATACTTTTTGCATTCAGTCCCGCTGGTAGACTGGATGGAAGAGACTGAATAAGGTAAACTTTGACTGCGAGTGAAGGAGCTCATAATAATATTGAAGGAAAGCGCCAACGAAATAATTCAATTTATGAAGCACTCGAACGAATAAGAACACTTGCGGCGCGAATTGAGAAGCGAAGGGATTATATCCCAAGCCATGGACAAGGGGTTTCAACCCGTGTGACAAGTAAAGCAGGTGGGAAACACTAAAAAAAATCACATCTGACGATCCTGGGCAGGACACATGAACGCGTGATGAGGGTGCTTTTTCAAAGGGTTCTTGCCCTGTGCTCAGGGGATCTCACGGGTCTACAATCTATGCGGCCTCGCGTGTTACAATATGGCTGCGAAAAGACACCCTTGACAAGTCGATTAGAGCAAACTGAGCTGAATATTCAATGGACTTCAACATCAACAATTTCGTCCCACTCAACGCTTCTGATCACATTCCCTCAAGAAGGTGGAATCTGGATCTATGTCAAAGTTGTCTCAGAGAGAATCCCCGAATCTTACATTCACACTCCCACTTGTATGTACAGTCGCGACTCGCCGCTCGATATAGGCACACATCTGACCTAACAAAGTCACTCTTGGTGAGCAAGCCTGCAAGAGAGGGACTAATTATGGGATATCCACAAAATTTGGCGTGTGAGAAAGAAGCTTTTGGCTGGGGAGTTTTGCAACCCGCCATAACATTTTACCATACAAATAAACAGCCTTCAGACCGAATAATGAATCTGCGCGCCCGCTCAACCTACACATACTGCTTTTTTGGAATATCTCTCTGGGTTTCAGGAAAGCACTACCGGAAAACTTGAAAAATGAGTTTATGTGCAACATCTCAGCATCAGGAGCTTTTGACAGGTTGGACAGCGTTCTCGTTCATTTGGAATTTTTGCAAACTTCAGCTTCTATTACTTGGCTATAATTGCATCAAGTACGCAGAGAGATACATCAATGTAGGGAGGTTCGGCAGGCGCATGGGAGTTTCCTTTGGTCCAAAGACTGTTTATTTGTAGGGTAAAAAGTTATGCCGGGTTGAAAAACTCCCCAGCCAAAAGTTTCTTGCTCACATGCCAAATTTTGTGGATAACACATAAGAGCATCCCCAGCCGTGTGCCGTAAACCGTGCCGTACGTAGATTTGGGGTATTTTTATCCACAGCCGCTATCCCCAAACACATACTTAGCTTGGGCAATTCTCTACGTGTGAGTCGAAATAGGCCAAATATGGTCTTTTTCCACTCGCACCCCAAATCCCTCTGTACCTCACTTCTCCCATAAAATCCGACTTCTACAATCCTCTCCGCAAATCACACACCTCGATGATCAACTGATCCATAATACATCTCCCCTATTATGCTACAAACCGTACTGTAGGAAACCACGGCTGTACATTGTTTGAAATTCATACCTCAAACCCTGCCCTAAACGATCTGTGCAACCATCCGTACGTTACAGATTTACGGCACGGCTGGGGATGCTCTAAGTCCCTCTTTTGCAGGCTTGCTCACCAAGATGTTAGGTTAGGGTAGGCCTTTGCCCCGGCCCCGCAATTCCGGGGACTCCCCAACTCCCGCCCCTGCGAGGTCGGGAGACGGGATGAGTGTTGGGAAGAAACAATTGGCAGGAGCTTGCAGGGGCAGGCTTTGGGCAAGCTGGAGGTGCTAAAAAGGGCTAAACGCAAGGCTTGCACAGCAAAACCTGCGCCGCGCCCCCAGAATTGCGGGGAATCCCCAACTCCCGCACTTGCAAGGTCAGGAGCTGGGACCAATTTTTGCAAAAGTTTTACCGCAGAATTTCAGGGGCGGGCTTTGGGAGAGCCAAGAAGGGCCGGGGAGGGGCCAGGGCAAAGACCTAGGTTAGGGCACACATTGAGTAAGCATATTTTGCTTGGTACTCAAAGCTACATATGTACACATATATAGTTGTCATATATACTTGTTTTTGGTGGGGAAAAAAGGAATATACTTTTGGACTTGTTTTCCCTGCCAAACAAACTATGTAGCAAAATGTATGTAGGTGTACATACTTGCTTTGAGTACTGTAGCATATGTGTTTTGTGCAACCAAATGTGCACCACCAAAAATGTGCAGTGATATTTGCTTTCACATGTCACCCAAAATTGTCATCCGGTGAACCTGAGTGCAACAAAAGGCGCACACATATTTTTGCATATATGTGCAAAAATCATGCATATTCTTGAAAACAAAAAAAATGTTTATTTTTTCAATACATGCAACTTTGTGAGTGTGCAACTCTCTTTTCCTCTTGTTTCTAAACCCATCACAGTCACTCTGATCTCAACAATCAAGCTAGGTCATTTTTTTGGGAGAAATGGAGCAGCAATATCTTAGAAAAAAATAAGATCTCTACTTGTAGTTGTAGAAACTTTATTTCACCCTTCAGGACATAAACAAGAATAAAGTATACGTAATGGGGATAAAAACCAAGGTAAACTCATGGGCCCATAATTGATTGCATGATACCAAAGATTCTGTCATTGTAATGCATCTATTTCATCTGTGCTGGATCTTATGTCCAGCTGGGCGCATGTTGAAATTATATTGAAAATATATTGAAGTTTGCTTGAAGTTCTCTTGAAGTCAGTGGTAGTCTCTGGCCTGCCAGTGCCTCTAAGTATCCGGGGGCTGTGCATGTGTTGCACCTGTTGCACCTAGGATTTCAAAGGTGGGGAGGGTGAGAGATGCAAGGGCATGAGGAAATCTATGTGAGCAGGGGAAGAAGAACCAGGTAGGATCTCAATATGAATTTATCAGCTTTTTTACATATACTTTTACCATGACTCAACTCTTAGATACTTACTTTATCCCAACAACTCAGTCTGCAAAGAGATCAATTTTCAAATCAGTTCCTCATCTATACACAATCTTAAGGACCTAATCACTTTGAAAATTCCTTTCATAAGATATTTCCTGTCTATGTATAAAGATGCAGCCTGGAGTGATGCAGATCTTTTCACTTGAAGCTTCCAATTTACTTTGTTGATTTCTTGTTCAAAATTAGAAACAGATGAATGAATCTACACACATTCCATAAGATATTAAATGGTTTGAATCAGATCAAATGAAAAATGAGTGAATTTCAAGGGGCAATGTGAGGTAAGATTGTCCATAAGGACACTCACTTTATTGAACAGTAACTCATCATAAAAGTCGAATTATGATTCACAAACTAGAACAATAGTTATAATGAATTTAGAAGACCAGAGCATAGCTATAACAAACCCATGAACAGATTCAAAGAATTTAAAGAGCTAAGGCTGGTGTAAAGGGCCCCTGGAGGCTTTTAAATCAAAGTTCTTTGTATAGTTTTTTGATTGAATAGAAGATGAAGAGAAAGAAGAATTAAAAGAGACAACAACTGGTCTTGACATAGCATAAAATTAGCCTACTACATGTTTCCACATAACATTACAAATCATCTGCCATTACTAAAATATCCACTGGAGAACCACATGGTGTGTCATATCTAAATATTATTCCCATGCTCTATTTAGTCAATGATCCACGCACACACATCATTACTAATCAATGCAACCACTCACCCATTTGGTTCTAAGATCATCCCAGACTGTTGGACCATTGTTTCCCACACAGCAAGTCCAATTTAGTTTTAAGTTATACAATGCCAGGCTGGGTCATCAATCCAACCCTTAGTCAAAACTGAGAATCTCTCTTGCCTCCTGAGCTCATGGCATCACTAATAATAAGCTATGAGCTTTTAAATCTTATTTGATATATCAGTAATGATTGTGAGAAAAGAAAAGATAAAACAGAATCATAGAAAGAAATAGAAAATGGCAGAGTGGGATATCTAAATGAAATTAGTAATAAAAAGAAAAGAATGTATTCAAACATAATCCTATGCAGACTTATGTTGACCAGGAGATAAGGTAGACCTGTACTTATGCCCTGGTTGACAAACATCTTGCATCCAATGTCTGTGCACCAACACCCACCACCAGCAGTAAGAGAGAGAATCACTTTCAACCCTGGCTCCAGGGAATTCTTTTTGGTCACAGAGTTTTCTTCAATCAGTGTAATCATCATGAAATCTCAATGTTCATTGTTCAACTGCAGGATACAAAGTAGAATCCGGGCACATGCCCAGCTTTGTGCCTGGAATTATTTTGGCAGTAAATTTTGATTTTCTGGGCAAAAGTCCGGCCCAGAATTCAAATTTACTGCCAAAAAAAAATCTGGGCACAAAGCCAGGCACGTGCCCGGCTTCTACTTTGTATCCCGTAAATCTAGACTTGTGATCAAGTTTTTCATATTTCTCTGGGATTTCAAATCACACAAGAGGTTTGGTGTTACAAAGATTTCCATTGTGTGATCATGAACAGACCAACTCATGAGCATCACAGCCAATGTTAAAGCTATAATTGAGTACAGAAGGTACTGACCAGCCATTACTTTAAGCTTGATGCAGGCTTTCCAAGTTATGCTGGTCATACTTACCTCATGGTCTGGATAATTGAAGTCTTAGACGAAGATGGTATTTTAGGGTTATCTAATCTTATATTTAAATCCTTTTCATAGTTGTCTATTTGTTTCTTATGATTATTATCTCTTCTCATATACGATGATATCATACTGACATCATCTGCTGTGAATGCTGTGTCCTTGTACGTGATGTGTTTGGTATATAAAGAGCCCTTATTTTTACTCATTGTACTTTCTCTTTTTCCTTACCAATTTCTACTCATCACTTCGAGCAGGTTTGTTCTTGCTCGTCATCGGTCACAGAGATAGTAATCTCTTCTAGTAACTTACTAGAGTTCCTCTCAGGTTTGTTCTTGCTTGTCATTGGTCACAGAGATAGTAATCTCTTCTAGTAACTTACTAGAGTTCCTCTCAGCCATATAGGTATCTCGCAATTTGAATTCTGATCATGCAATAAGAATCAGTTGAATAGCCATACACAAACATGAACACCCAACCTGATTGTTTTTTTTTTTGGATTTTGTTCAACATGGAAGTGGAAAACCAATGGAGAAAAGCTCCTAAAAACAATCAGCTTATCATGAGTTTTGTCCATGGGTATTCAGGTTTGAGTACCATTTTCATTTTCAAAGTAAATCAAAACAAAGAAAAACTCACCTAATTAGGGGATACAAAGTAGAAACTCAAACAAACTGAGAAATCAGTGTTGAACTGATCTGCATAATAAGCGGAAGACAATCTTCAACAGGTAGAATGGAAGAATCAGCAATCCCAACATAGAATCAGATGGCTTGGGTTGAGAATCATCCAAGCCATCATCAGAGGCAAATCCTCAGACAGACCTTTTCCAAGGTTTCCATACCAGGTATTCTTTGGCACCAAGACTTACCTCAGATCAAAACCTTGGTAAGCTTCTGTCCAAGCTTTAGCACCCATAGATACCTCAGATAAATATCTTGATGGTTCAGTACTGGTGGTAGACTGACAGAAGAGAAGATCACAAAAGACCTAATCACTGCACTCTTTAAGATCTGTTACAGTCACCTTGATAAGATCACCAAATCCAAAGTTAATGTGCAAAAGAAAAAGAAAATAAAAAAAACATCAAATAGGACACCAATTTCCCAAAAAGCCATCCATATATAATATTAGTATATATGAAAAAAAAGATCCTTTCTTCAAAAAAAAAAGGCAAAAAAAAGAAGTAATCAAAATTCATTTGTATTTATAATATATATATATATATGGATCTTTAAAAGTAAAAAAAAAGTAAAAATGAATGAAATGTATAGAAAAAAAAAATCGAGCAAAAGAATCAGAAAACAAAACAAAACAATCAAACATCAAAGACACCCCAAAGGTTTCATTTTTCCAACAAACCACCAGGAAAAAAAAAAGAAGGAATTTATCATAATATCAACAAACCAACCAACAAACAAAAAAGAAAAGACAAAAAAAAATATAGAAAATCACCACTCATGAACATCACTCTACACAACATAAAGAAGAAGAAGAAGAAGAAATCAAAAAATCAAAGAAAAAATCAAAGATGAAAATGAAAGAAATGAAAATCAAAAACCTAAATCAAAAACCTAAACCAAAAATCAAAGATGAAAACCAAAGATGAAAACCAAAGATGAAAACCAAAGACAAAAACCAAAAAACCAAAAAAAACCAAACCCCCTTCCCCTTCCCCTCCCCCCCAAACCAAACCCCAACCCATTTTTCCAAAAACCAAAAACCTTTTGCAAATCTTTTTTAAAAGAAAGAAAAATGATTTATTTCCTTTCCTTTCCTTTCCCTTCACTTTCAAAAATCATTTTTCCATTTTTCCATTTTCCCATTTCCCATTTCCCATTTTCCTTTTCCCCTCTTTTTCCATTTTCAATCCACCATCAACGACATCGAATTCTCTCCAATCCCATACATCCAATCCAATGCCATCCTAATATCTTCATCATTACAAATCAAAATCCAATCCCCATCTTCATCTTCATATCTAATCTTTAATTTCTTTCCACTTCCTCCTCCTGCTCCATTTGACAATGGTAATTTCATGTTAATCTTTTCAATTAATTCTTCATATGAAATCGTAGGTAAACAAACAATCACATAAACATCTTCACCTGATCTCAACTTGAACCTAATCGATGAATTTCTTAAATCTCCTACTCCTAAAAAGAAAAAAAAGAAGAAAAAAAAGTCATCATTAGAAAAAAAAATTGAAAAAAAAAATGAACAACAACAACAAGAGCTTTTTTCTAAATCATCATTTACCTGTACTTCCAATTGATGATCGATCAGTACTACCAACACTGGTTCCCGAAACCCTCTTTCCTGATCCCGTACCTCTTTCTCTTTCCCTTTCCCGATCTCGATCTCGTTCTCTTTCTCTTTCTCCTTCAACTCCATTCCCTCCAGGATAAACCCCAACCTGAACCCCAGCTGGATACTGATTCATCCCACTTCGACTATTACTATGATGATGCTGATGATGATGTAGAAGCGGCACTTTAGGTAACGGTAAAGGAGGTCCAGCATTCAGTTGACCGGGTGGAAGGCTCCACTGAGTGTTTGGTAAAGGATGGTTTTGATGAATGTTAGGTGAAGAAGCTGATCGGGATCGAAAGAGAGGTGGACTCAAGTCTTGTGGATTGAGGGGTGGTGGTGCAGCTGCAGTGATCGATCCATGTTGTCTTCTTTGTGATGATTGTGATGATTGAGTAGAAGGTTGTGAATAGGGTGGTGCTTGAAGTTGTGAAGAAGCACTAGGCAAATGTGGTAGAGCTTCTTCTTCGATCTGATAATAATGTGGTTGACTAGACGTTCCCCATTCGTGGGATGGTTTGGTTCTTAAATGTTTAGAACTAGTCGACGATCGTAATGAAGGTGTGCTACCATCATTCATCATACCTTCTCCAATCCCACTACTCATCGTCGTCATCGTAGTTTGACTTGATCTAGGTAACGGTGGCATCGAAGCTGGCATTTGGTTTCTCCATGTGGTGAGGTTTAAGGAAGTCACATCATCCGTTTGAGCTCTTGCTCTACCTTGTGAAAAGTTTTGATCTCCTGATCTTTCAGCTGGCATAGATCGATGTCCATTCGGTCTTCTTAAGCCTCCTCCGTCCGATGGTGTATTCCTACCACTAGTAGATGCTTCATGATCAGTTTGATAATAATCATCTTCATCATCAAACGTTCTAGAACTACCACTGATCGAACTAGGTCCATGTAAAGAAGAAGTATGATATCCATATTCATTGATCCTACTACCTCCTCCATTATGATGATGATGATAATATCCCGCTGAATGAGGTGGTGGAGGTGGTCCCATTTCAGATTGTGGTGTGTTTGGAAATTGTGATAAGGGACTATTAGCTTTAGTTCTAGAACTAGATGAAAGATGATGGACATGTTTTCGTCTTCGATCGACTGCTTCATCTACTGCTTTAGTAATCGCTGCTTGCCATTTCTTCAATTGTTCTTCTGTTCTACACTTGATTGAAAAATATTCTTCTGAAATATCTCCTCGCCATGTGACTTGTAATAAGTTGGGATTGTTAATACAACCTATCCATCAACAAGACACTTGATCAGCTTCAAATCAATCCATTCAAATTAAATCAAAACCATCCACAAACCTGGAGGAACCGGTCTTGGATTAGCACTCATCACATTAGCAATAAAGATTCGACCTTTAAGTTGTTGAGTATTCTTTTTCTTCGGTCCATTCACCAGATTAGCTTGACTCTTCTTAAGACTCATAGATTGTTTACTGGCTTTCTTATCTAATTTGATTCCAACTTCTTTACAACAAAGTATGATCCTTTCAAAAAGATAAACATGATATTCTCTTTCTGAATCGTTCTTGACGACTGTGAATGTATCTTCTAAGACTAAGGCTCCAAATGAACTTAGCTCATGTCCTTTCCAATCTTCTACTCTTTCTTTCAAATCGTTCACTGCTAATTCGTTTTCTCGTTGTCGAGTCGTTTCATTCACTGCATCTGTTACTCTTGTGATTGAAGCTAAACCTTCTTTCAATTCTTCAAAGAATGGTCCCTTGGGATCTGAATGTTTGACCAGTTGCTATACATAAAAAAGGTGCAAAGTAAAATTGAGCTCAAAGGAATCCGACTCAAGAGTTAGATCGTCAAAACTAACCTGTAAGAGTAAAGGATATTTACATATCCGCTGAACCGGTTTAATCAAGAAAGTTGGTAGTTCATAATTAGGATCCAAGATTTCCGAAACTTTCTATTAAACCCAGCCGGCCCCCAAAAAAAATCACATCAGAAAAAAAACATCATCTCCTTGAATGGATTTTCTAGAATTTCGATGAAAAGAAAAAAAAAACCAAAAACCGTACCGAAAGTGCTGCATTCTCATCTTGAGCCAATTGAGAAGCACTAGCAAAATTCGCACAAAACGGTTCATAACAAACAAAATGTTCTTCCATGGTAGCAAACAGATGACCAAAGCGTTGATCTTCATGTGGTAATCTTGCATTCGCTTCGACTCCGATCAGAAACCTACGTTGGAAATCAACTAAAGAATCTAAGTTCATAAAAAGTGATCTGATTTGATCTGATGGCATGATTTCTCTTGTAAGTAAAGCTCTTTGATAATTCTGTGATACACACACACACCAAAACCAAAAATGAGATCATTAGTTTTTTGTTTTGTTTTGGAAGGCTTAGAGATCAAGAATTTTAGAAACTTGCTTGTAAGACTTCAAGATCTTGAACATATTTTCGTTCGGACTCTAAGATTTCTTTAACCACTCTTGCTCTATCATCCAATTTGATTCCAAGATCATTTCCACTTGAAAGAATTTCGTCTTCTTTTTGAGGTGGTTCTAAAACACCTAAAGTTTCTAAAAGACGTAATAATCTAAGAACGTTTGAAATTACCTATCAAGAACAAGAACCAAACGAAACCAAACCAGATCGATTAATCTATCAATTCTCACTTTTTTTGGAATTTGAAATGAAGGAGAGAGAGAGAGTAAAACAAAAAGAAACTCACTTTGACCGTCGCATTTGTATTTTGATCATAAAGCATATTCACCATTAAATTTTCACCTTGATATTCATCAATCTCAGTTCCCCAACCTAATTCAGTTTTGACTGCCATGATGAAATGAGCCGCTGATTTTTGACAACCTTTTAGATCTTCTCTTGGACACCAAGCCACATTCAACGTCTTAATCGTTCTCCACGTCTTACCGGCTGGTAAGGGAGGCAAACCCGGTTTCGATAAATCTTCATCCTTGGCTTGATGTAATGAATTGTATAGATAACATAATGAGGATCCTAATCTGACGATTTCCAAGGTTTGTGAAACCGGATCTAAAGGGTTTGAACTATGAAGTGTATGTGGTGTTCTAGGTGTTAAAGGTTCAGGTTGTGATTCTGTTGAGAAAAAAAAGAAACCGACGATCAAGTTGAAATCAAGTTAGATGAGATGAATCAGATCAGAAGCAAACTGACCATATTGAAGAGGATTGTTAGTGATCCAAGGCCCGGTTTCGAAACCCGGGACTCGACGCATCAAAGCACGTGCTTCTAAACAATTTTGATAGAGTGAAGCTGAACGATTAGCGGTCTTGTTGACGACAGAAGAGGTAGCTACAGGCATATCGATTGAGATGGTGGATGGTTGTCGTTGTAGAATGCTAGCTGAAGCTGATGAACGAGGTGGAGGAGGAGGATTTGGGACATATGAAGAAGTGATAGATGATTGAGGAAGTGAAGATCGAGTGGTGGCCATGATGACAGTTTTGAATGAATCGATTTGATTTAGTGATTGTAGTGATTGTAGTGATTGATTTGTTGATTTGATTCAAGAATTGATGAGATGGCGATGGCGATGGTGATGGTGATTGGGTTGGTTGGTTGGTGTGATTTTTGAAGAATTTCCAATTTGATAGGTTGATAGGTTGATGGATGGATGGACTGATGGATGGAATCGAATCGAATGGATTGATGGATTGATTGATTGAGTGAGAAGTGAGAATAAACTTGATTTTTAATTTTTAATTGATTTTAGTAATTAAATTTCTAAAATCGATCCCTTTCAAATTTTCTAAATTCTAATCCGATTGCACTCAAGTTACTTAATCTACTAAAACTACATTTATCAAAACTACATTACCATCACACTTAAACTTCAATTTCAAAATGTAAAACACCTTTTCTTTCATTTCATCCATCATTCTTTCACTTTTTCACTTTGATTTGGTTTTCAATCAGACATTCAAAAAAAAACCTAAAATAAATACCGAAAACTCTATAAGAACATACCCCCAAAAAAAATCAACCAAACTTTGATTGTTTCTCCACTCTTTTGAATTTGAAATCACATTCAAATTCTAAAAACAAAACAAAACCCAAAATCACGATTTCTAAATACACCTACAAGATCCGTGTCTTGAATTAGCTTGAATTGTCTTCAAAGTTTTTCTTTTCTTTCTTTTTTTCTACATATATTCTAAGGTTTGGACTAAAACCCATCACATAGTTTCTATTTCAACACCACAGCATCAATGACACATTTGTCTTACTTATCTCGTGGATTCATCAGAAAGAGAGGCAATCAGGCTTGTTGCTTGATGTGAAATCAGCTTATCCCCCATTCACAAGAGACACCTATGTATTACACACACTCAGACTGAAGACTTCTCCAGATTAAATTACACAACATATAGATAGACTCATTTATTACTTGTGGTTGGTAACTTGTTATTAACTAAAGGGAACGGGGATAATTTGGACTTTTTACATGTAACTTTACTAATGACATTGGATATATTACAGGTACCTTTTTATCCTTTAGACAATGATGTCATCAACTTTCATCCTCTTTACCACATCTGATATGATCCCCTTCAATTTCATTATCAGTCAAGTCTTTATTTCCATAAGACTTGTTTTATTTCTCAACCCTCCCTCTCCTCTTCCCTATTTATTTGTGTTATGTTTAGTTATTTTTGTTTCTTGTGTTGCTGAAAGAAAAAAAAGAAGGAGGTTATCTGATTGATTGATTGCTTGATTTAGTTCTTTTTATTTACATACAAGATTAATCATAAATATATGTTTCATCAATTTGTGTTGATTTTTATAAAACTTTTGTCAGTTTATTGTCTGCCTCCGCTTCCACCCTGTAGGGTGTTATATTTATTATGAAGAAATTTTATTATCCAGGGCATCACACCTTGAGAGTTTGCCCAAATTTCTTACCATCTTCTTTTAGAATATTTTATCAAGTTCCACTGTAAGTTTTATTTAGCCATGTTTCCCAAAAGGACAACCACTTTAAGACTGCAGGACTTCTTATCTGATACCTTCTACATAGATGATGGCTTACCTCAAGGATGCTCTCTTTTGGTGATCTATTATATTCTCTACAACTCGTCTTTGCTGATTTATGTTGATATTTCTTTACAGGCAGATAGGATCTCTTTGGCATTCATCAATAATGTGAGACACCTGCTATCCAACAAAGACATTGACCTCAACATCCTAGACCTTGGAGAAGAAGCTGATAGGTCTCTTGATCAGTGGGGGAGAAGGCATAGAGATATCTTTGATCAAAATAAAGTGCAGATCATGCATTTCACACACAAAAAGTATACAAATCTGCACCTTATATTTGGAAACCAACTACTGATCCCACTGACATCCAAAGTTAGAAGGCTAGCTCTGTGGAAAGATCCTAAGTTTAATTTATACAACAGATGAACCAAAAAGGGAATTCAACAATAACATAACTTACTAGCATCAGTCAATGCTACCATGGCTTGAGTCCAAAGGAAACAAAGAATCTCATAACAGCCAAATTGAACTCATGGAGTCTGTTTGGAAGTCTTGTTTGGTACAACACCCAAACAGAAGTCAAAGTCTCCAGAATTTTTAATCTACTCCAAAATTCAGCCAATAGACTGATATACTGGGAGCATTCAAAAGGTCTTGAAACAGATCACATGTTCCATGATGCTCACATGATTACCTCTAAGGACTTAGCAATATGAGATGACCGGAATTATAATACTATGCATCTGATATTGAAGTGGGTTATGTGGCATCATTGTGGTGACCTTCTAGCTAGGCCAGTTGACCAAAATCTCATCAGGCATGATCTACATAAGAAGGTGAGTATTTCCTATTTATATTTAGTATTATGATCTGCTTCTCAAGTTCTGGAGTTCTGACTTGAAAACACTCAAATGATTGGCCAGACTACCAATTCTGGGTCATCCAACAAACCAATGGCACATCTTTTCACGGAATGTGAATCACTGCTCAACTGGTCACCCACAAAGATCCACGTGAAGTATTTCTGTCACAAACTTGCCCTCACGGTGTGCCATGGACTCAAAACCCTTGCAATCAGTGCTGGTCATCCAAAACCAACCACCAAACCACACCGGTTGGTTCTTATCCCATCAATTTAGGTGATTGACCACAATGATGAGGTATCACTTGAAGTTGAAAAATCTGAAGATTTGGACAAAGATCAAGGGAATTTGCTACCCAACGCTTCTGAAGCAAATGGACTACCAGAAGACTCTTCACTAGAGGACACAATACCATTGGCTGACAATATTGCACATAGTGTTCACAAGGTGAGTTCAGTGAGATTCACATCACAACCAACATATCCAACTTGATCAGGACTATTTTGTCCATTTGTAGGTTGATGAACTTCTATGAATGTCATGTTCCAGTGCAACAAGAAGGAATTAGTTTGCTTCCAAAGCAAAAGGCCGAGGACTTTGGGTGCTAACTGTGGGGTATGGTGTGAGTTGGAATGTTGAGGCTTACAGTTGGTGTAGGGCTTGTGAAGGGGAAGAGGCAAGAAATTTCTTTCCATTAATACTGATAGAAAATTGTTTGATTAGATCCTCAATGCCTTGGCTTCACAGGATTGAAAAAGCAACAAGTACTGTTGTGGTATTTCTCTATGTGACAAGGAGTGGGATCCAGTTGAGACATTGAATTTGGTCCTTGAGGTAAGTAATAAGTATCTATACATATATATCACAATATATATCCATATGAACTTTGACTGAGCTGTTGTAAATCAGGTGTTTGAAGAACCCACCTTTTTAATGTAGGGTGACGTCTCCCCACGATGCAAAGCCCTTGCCAAAGACCTACACATCAAGAAGAAACACAAAAAGTGTCAAGCATAACATCACCTTCCTTAGTATCAACCATGAAATTGACAAGATGCTATCCTGGCTCCAGAAGTACCAGGACAAGGCTTTAGAAAACAAAATCATCATCATTGCCAGTCCACCATCCTCAATCCTTGAAGACAATTGAAGTTTATTCAAGATTTTGATACACATGCAAGTAATTCAGCTCATGACTCTATTCATGGTCTTTGAAGAGCGGATGATTGACTGGAAAGCCAAAGCCACCACAGATCCAATAGTTCAGGATACAACATCACCTACCACCATTGACAAGTTTGACACATTTACAGCTGCCTCTGAAATACAAGCATGAGCTCACCACACAGGGACCAAAATTGATACTCACATGTACAGGTGAGCATTGTACACTTTCCTGAATTCTATAAAAAAAGATTGTTTTTCTTTCAGATTCCTTCAATTCACAATCTTGGTAGTGCTCAGGTGATCAGGCTGTTTTGCTCAAGTTTTGCTCAAAATTGATGGAGAATGCTCATTCCCATCTTGGATGAGCATTCTTTAAGCTCAGTCTCTCAGAAGAGTCATCGGAATCAGCTCATGAGTCACTGTATATTCAGAACAGCTCAGAACCTTGTCCAACATCCCGGATCAGCAGGATCTAAGGCATGCAGCTGAGGAACAGCTGAGGGGCTGAGATGAAGCATGAGCACATGGGCCAGCCCTCCCTCAAGATTCTTTGCTAAGGAATGAAGCTTAAGGAAGGCCTAGTTCTTCCACTTAGTTCCTGTTGATCATGTAATCAGCTGACAAGCAGGAAGAAAACAGGAAGAAAACGGAAAGAATTTGGAATCATAATTGAACAAAGGTTAAAAAAACAAGAAAATATCAATGCTCACCCCAATGTAAGCGTTTATTTTTGCCCCTGTGCCAATTACCTGTCAGGAAAGTTTGGGATTTTGCAAGATGAGAAACCTTTGGACTGGTGGAGGGTGAGCCTGATTGTTTCTGCATTTCATCATGAGATGATTACTAATACAACTTTAGATCTTTCTCAGAAACATGAGAAGTCCTTCCTGGTCCTTGCTTCAATGGCTCAGGACTACTTGTCCATCTTGGCAACAAATTTCTGTTGTGAGCGCCATTTTATGTGGCTGAAGATGTGGCAGCTCCAGGGCAAGGTTCAATCCTTGCAAAAACCATACTTTGCAATGGCAAATTTTCAAAGGCAAGGTACAAAGACTATCTCTATGTACATACCTTTGGCCTAGCGTTGTATTTGAAACTTTATAATGCGGAATGATCGGGCTAGCTGATGAGTCTTGGCGATGACTTGACTCGTGTATGGAGTCGATTTTCCATTAGCTGCAATATGAAAATTGACTACATATGATAATGGACAAACTCACAATTTTGTTTTGAAGCACTCCAGTGCCAATTGACTAGCATGATATTTGTAGATATGGGTGGGGCATTCTAGAGCAGAATGAATATCAGTCTGGCTTCAAGGGCCACGGGAATAACATTGTGCTGTTTTTGTACATCCCGATTCCCATAGCCAAATTGTTTGAGCATTGCAACCTCACAGCTTTCTTGTCAAGCTCAGCAACAGTGCCGCCCAAAGAACAGTCCATACCAAGGCCGGCTAGTGGTGATCGAGTGGTCTCGCAGCCACACCCGGTCCGATGACCAGACTCCAGCTCCAGCTCAGCCAGGCTCAGCCCGTATACATGGTGCTCGGCCATGAGAATCGGTTCACAAAAGGTGCCAAGCTTTTCACCGCATTTTGAGCACGACGTGTGCCTGACCAAGCGAGCTAAAGCATTTTCAGCATTTTCTCTTTCTCCGCATTCATTCACCCATCACATCCAATTGTTTGGGGCATAGTTCTTTTCTCGTAGATTATAGGGAACACCTGAACACTTGGCAATTCCGTACTGATCGGAGCATCCACACTTCCGCAGCCGCAGCTCGTCTATACTCTCATGTCTCGGCTATCATTGATCGCCACGAAGTTCAAATACCCTCACTTTCGGCCCTCTCCCCACTCCATCCCTAGTACTCCGACTCTGCCCTTCAATCGGTCATCCTCGCGTTCTTTCAACACCACTACCTTAAGCTCATTTCCAGCGCTTGACAAACTGATAGAAACCATGGCCAACAATCGTCCTAGCTCGCCTACGCTCTGCCACTTCCTCGACCGTAATGAGAAATTTGTGGCTTCCACCGATCCGGATGTCCTAGCTCGTTGTGCTGAAGGCCAAAGCCCTAGCGTCTTTTGGCTCGGATGCTCCGATTCGCGTGTTCCTGAAGGCCAAGTCATCCGTGCTGGGTTAGGGGAAGTGTTCGTACATGTAAGCCCCTTGCTCGACTGCATCTCGCCTTGAAGTCAATACTGCCTTGCTTGCATCGCTCCCGATGTGTGATCATATGAATGTTCCAAACTAATGCGCCTCTTTTCGACTTCGCCCAGCGAAACGTGGCGAATCTTTTTACCCCGGATGATACCTCTGCCACCGCTGCTCTCGCTTATGCGGTTAACCACCTAAAAGTATCGCATGTAGTCGTAGTAGGCCACGAGAAATGCGGAGGCTGCGCAGCAGCCCTATCTGTAGCCCAAACCAAACCAGTATCTACGACCGATGATATCGGAGAACAAGCCATCGCCAAATGGATCGAACCCATTCGAGCCATCGCGGCAAAGCATCTCGAAAAAACACCAGGCGTCGAACTCAGTACGATTGTGCACTCTAATGTCTGCGCTCAAGTCTCTAACGTGGTGAATCACTCGGTATTGAAGAAAGCTTGGGCTCGTGGTCAAGCAGTCAGCGTTCACGGTTGGGTTTACGATCTCGCCACAGGAAAACTCAACGACTTAGGAGTCACCAACAACGGACCTTGATCATAACGAAGCTTATCAGTGTTTTACGTGATGACGAACGTATACTTTTTGTTTTTTTTGAATATGAAATTGGGTAGATGAGGAATATAACTTGAACAGGAAGATGTAAAAAACGTGCTTGTGTTGACTGGAAATGCTACATGAAATGCTTGCCAATTCATTTTGCTGTCTAGACCCCTTATCCCACACACTTTCAATCACCCGTTCTTCAAGTGACATACACAGAATACATGAGTGCAGGGTAGGGATTTGTTAACCTTTGGCCTGAAGGCTCCTCGGAAGCTGGTCTGAACTTTATGACAGTCTGTGACCAAAACATGGCATAACCACGGCGCTGTATCACGTTGAACAAACAATATATACAGAATGCCCCCCCACTACCCCATCCATCTGATTCTTAGTTTCCGACAATCTTGATCTATTCATGACAAAGAAGGCAGGTGATGGTGGTTCAGCTTTGGCACGGGTAGAATCTCGGTGAATATTATAATTCAATAGACTTGAGGAACTGAGCTGGTTGGTATCACAATTTTTTTTTACAATATAACGACAACTTCTGCTCTTGATCAGCAGGCCATCCTTTGATGGTCGCTGCCATTTTGTGATCCCTGAATTTCTCGAGTTGCCCAATCAAAACTTAGCTACAGCTAGAAAATTTCACAAATCCAATTCCATTGAGATTAAAGATTGACTCCAAGCTTGTTGGCTCAGAGAAAAGCACTTGACTCTGAGAATGCTGTTGACAAGTAACATGAATAGTCAGTCATAGGCAGCCCATGGAAAGAGTTGACTGGCTCATTGTTCAAGGTATCAAATATGAACATGGTTGGGTTTGTATGATTGCGTGTGGATATATACAAGACTGATTCTCTCAAGAGCTAGTATAGAACACAGTTCGACATGAAGAAATCAGAGTGAAGAATTGAAGAAGTGGTTGGAAATGCTTGCTCCTAGCAATGGCAAGGCAAAGAGTCATTGGATGGGGATAATAATATTTGAACACAAGAAGGAATTAGACCCAATGGCACACCTTGGTAGAATCAGGGTTGTATAGGTCCAGATGAGTCCGTACACTCACCTTTTCTCAGGTGCACCTAGACACTCTGAGTTCATGAGGCACACTTTCAGCTCGAGGAAAGCTGCAAACACTATATATCTTGCTTATGATGCAAAAAGTGGCCTCAGGACAAAGACTGATCCCACTGGCTGGGATGCTACCCAGCTTTACATATTGATGGGAAATGCCCTCCCCAGGTATGACCTCAGTACCATACACTGTGTCGAGTTTGCAACTGGGGAAAAAAGGATTGCACCCCCACATCCTAACCAAAGTCGATTCACACAAACAAAGGTGTGCACCCTGGATGCGTGGTTCAGGGTCACACCCACCTGGTGATGAAAGTGTAGATTTTTTTAGCTGCACGCTTAACTGAACCTATAAAGTACACTGCCGCAAAGGTCCGATCTTGGCTAGCCGCTACAGACTTGAGTTATCGAGTCAGTGCATAAGACTCAGAGCATCAACCATCGTTGCATCAAGGTAACCATGAAATCACCAACGGGTACTGCAGCTCCAAATACGTCTTCACAGAATATGTAAACAAAGGTGCGATCTGATCATGTTACTTTAGTGGTGACTGCACTTTACAGAAAAAAATGTGATCACAGACAGAATTGAAATTATCCAACTTGGTTATCTGATGAATTCTTGCAAATATACCTCAAAAACACACATTCAAAAAATCAATTGATGATTCGATCCTCAATGAGAACTGCCTCCGCCCAGCACCCTGATAAATTGGTTCTTTGTCACACACTCGCAGCGGCAGAGTTCGGTAGTATAAACGATTTGGTCAAAGATATTGGAATAATTCACTGCATAAGCTGGAGTTGCATACCCAAGCAAAGATGATGAGTGGGCATTTGTCAGGAGATTCAGGGGGGTCACGACATCGGAATAAAGCAATGTTGTCTGATTTCACATAAATGACTGAAGGACCTGAAAACCATAGGCTTGAAACTTGTGTGGAAGCGACCAAGTCGAGTGTTGCATAACATATTATAACATGATTTAAGCAGACTTAGGGGTTTTTCGGGTAGTCTCGGCGATTCGGGCTGCTCGGATGACAGCAGCCTTGACGAGATCAGGTCGGTAGCTGTTGGCGATCTTGGCAGCTTTTCCAGCAGCTTTCCGTGGAGCAATGCAAGCGCCCCTGGCTCGAACAGTCTTACGGGCAGAAGTGAGGTGTCGAGCTGTAGAGCGATCTCAGATGAATGAGCACGATGATTAACGTAACAAGCCGCTACTTTTTGCCGATGACTTACGGTTGGCACCTTCCTTCTTGGTGGAATAGAGGACACCGCCTTTGGGGGCGGCAGTGATGGACAAAGGCTTGGGCTGAGCCAATCCGGAGTATCGGTAGGAGTGGTAGTTCTATTGGAGGCATAGAAAGGTACTCATTATCAGCAAACCGAGTCCAGGTGAGGTTTTGTCAAAAAGAGGTCACGAGAAGCAGAGTGACTCACCTTGAGGTTACCAGCTTCACGACTGAATGTGATGCCACCTCGCGAGACCATCTTGGAGTTCCATCCCTGACGATGAGAAAATATGACCGGACTTTCGTCAGGATTTGTGGGTTGCGAATTGAATTTCCATGAAAGCTGAGTGACTCTGAATTGTACACACCCGTAGGAGAAGCCATTGTAGATCGGCGGAAGAAGCGTTTTCCTGAATTATAGAGCATGGTCAAGGTTAGCTACGCAAAGCGGCTCTGCCGGGATAAAGTTCACACCACGCTCACCATTTCGATTTAGGAGAGGGGACAAAGTTGATGGGATGAGGGTTTCGGAATGGGTGGCCGCGAGACGTGGGAGGCTGAAGGGTTGACGATATGGGTATGAGGCGGTGCTCCATGGGATTACATAAGGGCGCAGCAGTGGTGCCGCGCGCCCACAGCATCATTATTGTTCTCTCATCACGTTAGGTTAAGCTTGAAGTTACATCTATAAAGTTTGCAAACCAGTGCCTTATACATCACTCCACACCCACCACGACGTCATGGATCCAATCAGCCGGTAAGCAATTTGAACCTCCCTCAAATACCCTCGGCCCTCATCAAATTATTTTCCAAGCGATGATGTCAAAGTATTTCTTCACTTTCTGATCCTTGTCCGCATGCGGACAGGAAAGGTAGATTTGTAAATATTGACAAGCATATGTCTGAGCTTCTTGCGACCAACCATCCTTCCTAACTTACGCTTTGTCTGGATTGCTGACTCGGATGTTCACATTGGTTACAGGTCGAGAATGGTTGTGGATGTCCAAGACATCTTATTTCTCTGCAACACCTATGATCGTATTGACACCTTTACATGTGCATGTTGTAATTAGTCCTCTTATCCCTAAATAAGGTGCTCTTGTTGCATTTGGTCCTTACGTACCACCCACTTCGGTAACAAAACCCGAAAAAAGTTACATATATGATTTTTACATCACGGTGAGAAATATTCTCACCGTGTATGTATATGTAAAGCTGTGATCCTTGAAAACCTTCGGTAACCGAATCAAAGTGAAGATGATGATCATTCAACGATGAAATGATCATTTGTTGTTCGGTAAACAAGGTCACCGAGCTCATCGACTTGATGAGCTCACTCTTTCTTTTTGTAATGAACCCTTCCCGCCGCTTGTAGATGTAATAGAACAAATTTAATATAACCTCATTAAAAAATGGATCATACTCGAGCTCTTCAGCGCCGGAGACATCGACGTCGCCAAATTATATTCTTCAATCACTTAATCCTGATGGAATCCGCTAGATTCTACTACAACACAATCTTGAAGCCAACTATAATAAAAAATCCAAGGATCAGATCAATCCTTTCTGGCCAGATGTGGATTGATGAGTTACTGACCGGGCACGAAAAGGTTTTCTACGAAAATATGGGAATGAAAAAGGAGGTTTTTGTGGGATTGAGAGAAAGGCTCGAGGAATCTGGATCACTTGCTGATTCCAGATACGTTACCAGCACAGAGCAATTAGCTCTTTTACTTTACTTCCTCATCACCGGGCTATCAAATACGAAGCTTAACCAACGCTTCCAAAGATCTGCTGACACGGTTTCAAAGTGAATCCATTAAATCATTTATATTATTCATTTCAAAGACTGATGATTGTGTCTTTACAGGATCATCAACAACTTAACTCAGGATATCACCAAAAATACCCAATTGATCCATTCTTACATCATCCTCCCTCAACAGGATACTCCGATGTCAGCATCCATCCGTAATAACCCCGATTGGTACCCCTATTTCAAGAATTGCGTGGGGGCAGTTGATGGAACGCATATGCCAGTTCATGTATCGCCACTTGACGCCAAGCCATATTTCAATCGAAAAGGCAATATAACTCAAAATGTACTGGCGGCTTGTAATTTCAGCTTATGTTTTACGTATATTCTAGCTGGCTGGGAAGGTAGTGTGGCGGATAGTAAACTCTGGGATGATGCACGCGAAAGAAATCTTACCATCCCGGCTGGTAAGTATGTTTTGGGCGATGCTGGCTTTGCATTGAGTCTGACTTGTCAAACCCCTTTTCGAGGGGTGCGATATCATCTTCGTGAATTTTCCGGCGATAACTCTGAGTACGCCACCAAACCTCTTTTATTGAATAGCGCAAACTGATGTTTTTGTACTCTACAGACCTCGAACTTATCAGGAACTGTATAACAAACGACATGCAGCTTTAAGGAACTATATCGAAAGAATATTTGGTGTAACAAAGCAAAGATTTAAAGTGATGGGAGAAGGTTCTCACTATCCAATACTGATTCAAGCAAGATTAATACTACTAATGGCTTTTATACATAATTTCATCAGAACAGTCGATAGTAATGATGAGCAATTTAATGGGGAATTTGATGAAAACTATCAACCTCGAGTCAATCAAGAGGAGTTACACGCTGTTGGAAACACTCCTGAAGAGTCAACTGAAGCAGGAAAGTTGAGAACGAAGATTGCTAAAGCAATGTGGAGAACTTATCGCCAACAACGAACTGCTCGTGGAATGTGAATTAAGATACTCATTTGTTTTTCGATTTTTGCTTAGACGCTTAGCAAGTTATTAAACATTTATTATCATTTATTACAAACTCACATCATACTTAATGCCCTCATGTTTTAGGTGTTTTAGAAACTTGATAAAGACGAAATATTTTCATGTTTTAGTATTTATATAAACTCAATCAAGAGTCAATTACAACTTGAGCAATCAGCAGGCTTTGTTATTACAGAACAATTAAGAACCTCATAAGCCTTATGAAATTACAAATGTATTTAAAAAAACCTTTAATTATTGAATATTTATTTTAAGATATATGCGACTCGACTTTGACCAAAGTAAAAGATAAACTTATGTATGGAAAAAGTGATTAAAAAGTTATTGAATTGAATCGATTTAATTTTGATCACCTGCTAACTTTCCTCTGATCCAGCCAAGTTGTAAATCCTTTTCTTCAAGACCAACAAACATTTTGGCATAGTCAACATCTTTCTTTAACATTTCCATTGATTTGTACAGTTCATCTTGACTTAAACCGAGCTTGCGTAATCCCCGAGTAGCAGTGGTGAGAAAGTCGTAAGGTTGAGTCGAACTTCCAGAAGCTAAATTATCGTTGGCCATGTGACTAATAAATTTGTCTGAAATCGAGCCAATTCCATCTATAAAGTCTTCACCAGCTTGAGCCGCAGTCTTGCGTTGTCGTTTTTGAAAAGGTTTATGAACTTTGACTTTTGAATCGATTTCTGGTGATCGATTGTGTTTGGATCTCTTATTCTTCATGAATTTATTCTTGGGAAGATCTTGAGAAGTGCTGGTAGGTGCTGGTGTTTCTTCATTGGATTCGATAGCACGCTGAAGTCGAGATTCATCTAAACTCCCAAGTTGACTCCCATCATGGCTCATTGATTTGCCACTTGAAGTATCATCATCCTTATCTTTTTCACCTTCTCCAACAGCTTCCTCGGCAGGAGCAAAAGAATTGACCTTCCCAGTTCCCTTGGCCATCCCAGGATCGACGAGCACACCAACTGATTCATAAAGCGGGAAGGGGTTCCTTCTGAACCAACCTAAACGCTTGTTAGTTCCTGACTGGGATGAGAAAGTCACAGCATTAGCAATCAGACAAGAAAGAAGGTATGAAGGTAAGAATGAGCTGGGCATACTGGTACTTTGGCCATCTCGTTCCAGATGTCGGAACTGAGCTCGACCATATTCGTTTCGGGGTTCCATCCGGCACCGCTTTTCTTCAACAAATCGCTCGCATCTTTGTACCGTTTGTTAAGCTTAATTTGAAACAAAGATACAATTAATATACAGTAGAAAGAAAGAGACAAAAGCAAAAGACTTACCACATTATAATGACCATGTACCATCTCACCAGTCTTTTTTTTAGTCGCGCCTTCAGTACCCTTCAATTCAGTTGCAATCAATGCCCAAGTTGCTTTTGAAAAGCCTTTATTACTTTTATTGTTCCTATGAGTTTTTATAAGATGTTCGATCATTTTCGATTCTTGGTCACTGGTCCATTCGCACTTGGATGAGGGTGTTGAAACAATCGGACTGTCTTCAACTGATTGTGATATGTTGGTGGACGCCGGCATGCCGAGATTGAAAAGGTAAAGGTAATGTAATGAATCGATTGAATGAAATGATAAATAACAGTTGAAGGAAGTTTTTTTTAAGATGAAAGTGGCTTGAAGGATATTCTGAAGTCGACTTTGAGTTTCGATGAGAGGGGATATGAGGTTGACCAGATTGATTGATTGATTTAACTGAGTGAGCAAGGTTGAGGTAGTGAAGAGTTGAAGTTATTTGTGATGAGAAAGAAAAAAACAAAAAAAAAATGATTGTTTTCGGTGAAGTACGAAAAAAGACAAAGTGATACTTCGAGATGAAAGAGAATCAATAGATATTAGTTGGTTTTCATAAAAAAAAACGACAAAAAGTCGTTTTGGAGAATTTGTACAAATTTTACATATAAATGTCAAAATATGTATATCTGTTTCGTTGCAGTTTAGGTTACCGAATTGGTTTTCCGGGTCATATATATTACTTTTGCTAAAAAGCTTGGTCCGATCGAGAAAAAATAAAACAGAATCAGACCCAGATTTTGCCGCAGCAGTCACAACGCAGCAGAGAGAAGGATTTTGGGGGTGCTGTCTGGTCCTGTCGGCTCTGGTGCGACCTCCCTACTATTCCGCTGATCCATCACCCATCTCTAGGCTCTAGTTCCCCATCACCTTGACCTCTTTCTTTGCACACTCTTGCAAGATGACGTTGTCAAACTCTTGGTAAGTCACTTTACGAGTTACATTAAAATATATCTCTTCTTTATTATCTATTGGTGTGCTTTCTAACAAACTTTTCGTATTGTTTGATTCAGATGACCATCCTCACAACACAGTCTGATATCCGTGATCGTCTTGCCTAGCTTTGTCTCACCATCACCTCACCAGCTCTTTCTTCCCACACTCTTTCAAGAAGGTTTTGAATTGTTGGATTGATCATAACGAGCATTTGTTAACAAATCAAAAAAAGAAATGATGATGAAGTTTTTACGGAGCTCACAACTGCTGTGCTAATGTGAGAGAAAAGGCAAGTTGAATGAGATGTATCCTAATATCCTCAACTTGTCCGGTGCCAAGCTATGCTGAATAACAATTGGATATCTCATGAAAGATATCTCAAATGTGAGTGACTTTTCAAGGTAAGCAAGATCATCAGAAACATCGACTGGTTATGACCAATATCAAAACCAATCAATTCCTGATTGATTCTCCTACAAGGAAATCCTATGATCGCGACTTGAGAACAATCTCAAATATCTTATGAAATAAAACCTAAGATCTCATCGGGTTTGAAGTCAAGATTAACAACGATCTCATTTTTTGAAGACATTCCACATCCAAGAATCGATTGATTTTGCTCGGTCAAAACCAATCAACCTTCGTATGCTCCTACAGAAAAGATTGTGAAAAATCTCAGCTCTCTTGTGTAATCTAGAGACTGATTTCACGAACAAGATCAAAATCGATCGCTTTGCTTGTGATCCTTTGAAGAAGATTGAAACGATTTCAGTTTCACGCCAATCTTATCTATAATTCCTTGTTTCTAATTCCTATACGATGACAATCTTCTCTAACTACAATTCATCTAATACAAACAAACAAGCTCCTCTTCAAATATCTGATAACCACAATGATGATACAAAATTCCGTTCGACTGGATTTGACCTCGTAACTAAAACTTGTGATCTCGAGACAACAAACTTTGACACATTGAATCCAAAATTGATAGGGTTCAACTTGGGAAAGTATGGTGGTATGTATTGTAGAAGGATACCTAGAAATGATATTGGGGGTCATCAGTAAGTTCAATTAATTGCACTGAAGAGACAAATGGGAGGAATTGAAGTAAAAAAAGTGTACCTTTTTCCTACAGATCAGCAATGGGTTGGCCACGATTGATAGACACGTTTCCAGGATGCAAGAAGCAGCGAGCGACTGAGTTGAGTTTAGTGATGAAAACAAAGTAATCAACAGGGACAGGGATTTGAAGGATATGACTGGGAGCTCGCACCAGAGCCAACAGCACCCCCAAAATCTTTCTCTCTGCTGCGTTGTGACTGCTGCGGCGAAACCTGGGTCTGATTCTGTTTTATTTTTTCTCGATCGGGCCAAGCTTTTTAGCAAAAGTAATACAACCGAAATTCGGTATGTTTTTTTGGTGGTACATATTCGGTCGCATATGTACAGCCGATGTAAGAACTATCGGCAGTTTTTTGAGAAAGTGTGTCGTCGCCGGATTTATCTCTCAAAGTCCAAAACTCCAAATTTTTCGACTTTCAGACTGAAGCGTATCGTCCTTCTTCAAGATTGGACATTTACTTTGTCATTTCCTCATCACGAACGGTCACGAATCCATCAATCTCTCTCCTTCCGGCTATCCCTTCTTCAAAAAAAAGCAATAACCGGAAAACGAGTCTCTTATCGCCCATGACATCATCTCACACGATGTCTTTCCCTCAATTTCAAGCTTTAGATCGTTCACCCCCTCACTTTATAACCCCACCACCGTTCCCACTGAAATCTATCCTCGCAAATCACATATTATTGACCAAAACAACATTCATATTTCATATACCATCCACCGTATCAACATTTTCCTTTGATCCATCGTTTTTCCAAATACAAAACCGTATTTGTACGTCATTTCATTGATGTTCATGATCTTTCTTATCTCGGTATTGATCGTATATTCTTTTTCGTTTCGTTAGTTATCAGAATGTCTAAGGAATCTTCAAATGCTCCGGCCGAGACCCCCTTGAGTGGCTACATGAACCCTTGTGAGTCCCATTTCCACTCGACTTGGTTTCTTTTCTTCTTTAACTCATCCTTTGTCACTTTCAGTGTTCGAAGAACCAGAGGATCGGGTAGGAAACGATCGACGAGCAATCTGCAGCAGACAAGACCCTTTATTGCGTGTTGGCACTCGCGGTCGTGAAATTTTCGATAACAACAATCAAATGACAATCGAGATCAAATTCAAGATCTACACCGACCAGGAGGTCGAAGTGAATGCCCCAACTCAGAGCACCCCCAAAGTTGGGGCTGGTAAGAAGTCATCGAAGTCTGCCAAACTTAACCTCATTGATTCAAAAGCCATCAACACCGGTTACCTCGAGATGAAAGTCTGTCCGTTTGGAAAAAGTCTGATTGAATTCAAGGACCTGGTGGCTGGAGCGTGTGATAAGTATGAGGCTGGAATGAAAAATATCATTCTTAATAGTCCTTTCTCACCTGAGCTGAAGTGGAAAGCCAACATCGGGCGTTCGAAGTGGGTTCTCACCGAATACGACCAATGGCAAGATTTTGTGGTTACTCTTGAGAAATCGACCAAAAAGAAGGGTGTTGTTTCGATTGAGAATGAAAATGTTCAAGTTAAAGCCAAAGAGTGTAACATGGTGAGTGTTCATGATTTTGTATCGTATTTCATGTTTGAGTCTAATTACTTACTCCGATTTGCTTGACAGGCATCCGCCACGAAGATGCTCATTGCCTCGACTAACGGTGGCCCTGTGGAAAGCCAAGAATCCGAGGTGAGTGCTTTACCTTTGGTTATAGATTTCGATTTTGTTTACCATCTCGCTTCACAGGAATCCAAGAAAGAGAGAGAATTAGCGACTCACGCTAATAAGATCTTCAGTCAACATGCTATCGAAAAGCATGTTGGAGGGCCCGGTAAGATATTGACCCTTCCTTGGAATCCGGCATTTCGATATCGATTGACTTACGCGGCTGCCTGGATCTGGGCTCGCGGGGTGGTAAGTGGATTATCTGGATGCTTGTCGACTTAGATAAGTGTACTCAACTGACATGATTCGTTCATGTAGATGGCGAATATTGCGACACCTGATATCCCACCAAATACGGCTGAGTTCCGGTACGAGATCAAGAAGAGCGAATGGATCCACCCGGACATGGGCGTGGATCATCGGGTCGAAATGCGTTTAAAAGGTCGTCCTGAAGTATCTCAAGGAAGAGTTAACCCTCAGCCTGGTGGCTCGAGGTCACTTGATACTTCTGAGGTTTTAACTCAAAGTAGAGCCAAGGCTGATGTCAAACCAGACTTGGCTCAAATTGGTGATAAACGGATCGCCACTGGACCGAGCGAGGAGATGGATATCAAGCCAGACCTCAAGAAGATCAAAGTCGACGACCGTGAGCTCCCATCTTCATTTGATGCATTACCAGGCTGTTATACTGACATTGATTATGGATACGGTCTTCTCAGCACTCAAATCCTCCATCAATGAACCGATTTATGTTTCGAGCGAATTTGAAAGTGACTGGGAAAGCCAAAGTGACACTAGATCCGACTCCATCGAGATTGAGAACCCCTCCAACTGTCATACCTTTGAGATGGAAAGGTTCCTTCAAGAATGTGATATCGGATTCGAAGATTTAACCACTCGCACAATCCTTAAAGAAGCGGGTATCGTTTCCTGGACGGACTTGATACCTTGTCTTCAACTCACTGAATCAACTCTGACCTCCAAGGGGATCAGCCGTCAAATTGCCAATCGCCTCATGAGTGAAGCTCAAGCTCGAATCTCAAAATGAAATCGTAAGTTCGAATCTAACTATGTTACATCTAGGAGCCCCCGGAACTGAAAACTTTGCATCCTTGGTTATTTTCACCCTCAGGATCTTTATAACATACAAGTCAAACTCGATGACCTTTCCTTAACTTTGATAAGATACCTTTCAGTATCATATCAATGGTATTTTTCTTCGTTATTTGTGTGATCGTCCTCTCAAAAGAAGCAAAAGATTGTTTTTCATTTCCGTATTTATTATATTATCGAGATCCACCAATTAGCGTGAGGATCTCAGTATCCAAATACATCTAAGTGAAATAAGTGGTATTCCGTTGTAGTGTGGTCTAAGTTCCTCATGTATTTTACAAAGTAGTTATCCATTTTTATGTATGGGGCTTTTGTGTGGTCATCAAAGCCATGATCAAACCACTCAGCAAGATGGACAATATATATATTCATTTGGACTTGGTATCACTCGAGTGCTCCCATAACTGTGCCACTTTTGCCATTTAATTGACTTTTCGGCCAGTCAACAGGCCAATATATTGTCATACGTGCCAATTCTTTGACACCTCCCAAATACGATAAGATCTTATGAAGGTCATAAGATCTTATTGAGTATAACCAAGAGTTCAATAACAAAGAATCCAATTTCTTTGGACGCTTGTAAAACATATCCAAACTCAGTAGTAGTAACAAATAGCACTTATTGAGTATAACAAAGAATTCAATAACAAAGAATTCAATTTCATTTGACGCTTGTAAAACATTTCCAAACTCAACAAATAGCACTAGCGGTCATAAAAACTTGGTGTGAAACCTGCAATAACATCTGAATACAAAGTTATAAAAACCAACAACCATTTCAAACATTGGATTGATACCACAGAGGGTTTGAGAGACAATGAAGAGTCAAGATTCCATATATATCGACAGCTCTTGAAAAGTTTGGTGCAAAGTGACTCTGTAAACAAATTCATACAAGTCACAAAGATGGAGACTTCTTCCCCAGGCACATTGATTGCACGGTGAAGTGCTTGACTTCGTTTCAATCGGGACTTAAGAGGTGAGAAACCCATCTCGATAGGGTTGAAGTCTGGTGAATAGGCGGGAAGGTACAGTAAGCGGACACCTCGCGCTTCGCAAAGTTCCGGGATGTTGCCCCCGTGATGGATCGGAGCGTTATCCATCACGAGAACGCTGTTTCGAGCAGGCCAAGGGTTCATTGCAGGCAGCTAGACAATCGCACAAAGAGTCAGATCAGTACGGATAGGCTAAAAGAACATTAACTGCTACTTACTAGCGAATCTTCCAAAAATGCCTCAAAGTCGATTCTGGAGTAGCCACCAGGCTGGATGGCCAAAGCTACCAGTCCACCTAAAGATATCGCTGGTAGGACAGACCAGCGCTGAGATCGAGTAGCTCTGTGCAGTTGCACAGTTCGTTCGCCCCGTGGCGCGCGTGCGTATTCGCGGTATAGGTGCCGTTTATTCACTGCTGTTTCATCTTGGTATAACACAAGAGATCAGTATGATATCATAAGTCAAAAAACAAAGAAATCAATCACTCACCGGTGAACACAAGACAAGCAGGGTCAATTCCAAAAATCTGGCCGATGTATGCACCCCGTGCCTCTTCTGATTGATTCGGATGAACGGTCCGAGCTTTTTTTCTGGTCCAACCAAGACGTAATCGGACCTCGTTTGAGAGAGTCTTGAGCGAAACCACCATGCCAAATCTTTCATCAATTTTGGCTTGGAGCTCGTCGAGATACAATGTTGGATCATGTTCCAGTGATTCAATAATAAAGTTTTGTTCAGCCGGGCCTAAAATGTGTCGAGCGCCTTGGGTCATGTGCTCCTCGGGATTCGTGATAACTGCTCGTGTTGTTTGGTACAAGTGGAACCACCGCCTGACCGATGTCAAAGAAACGTCAACACCGAGAGTTGCGACTATGTCGTGGAATCGGAGTCCACGCAGGATCATTCGAACCACAACCATCTTTATGTCAGTTGGATAAGTGTTCACGGGCATCTGAAGTTAGAAAAAGAGCGATATCAATATTGATAAAGAGGTATTAAGGCCACAAACGAATCAAAAACTTACGACAGAATGATTGGGTGAAGTGGAGGTGACGGGACTCTTCTTGCGATGCGACTTAGAGGAATCTTGTGGCGCAACCCGTTTGAGAAGCAGGTGAAAGACAAAGAAGTGGACTCGAGGTGATACAAGTGTGTGGGAAAGCCGGTTTGGTGGGTTTTGATTGATTGGAGTCACTCGAATACATCAAACAAGTGACCAAAGGCCACCACGTGTGGCGCAATCAACGGCAATAGATGGGATGAAGATGCGAGAGGGCGATGCAAGCGATGGACGAAGCGGAATGTGGTGGGTTGAGGGGAAAGTGGAAATGAATGCAAACCGGTAAACAGGGACTATCAGGGAATAAAAAAAAAAAAAAAAAACAAGTAACCGGGTTTGGTATGACGCAGTAGGGAGTAATGGGAATATAGGGAGAGAGAAACAAGAACTTACTTGTAAGTCGAGTACAGGGTTCTACAATATAGTTTGGCATCTCAAAGGGCGTTTTTTGAGTTTTTGCCCTTTTCATTAAATCCGGCGACGACACACTTTCTCGAAAAAGTGCCGATAGTTCTTACATCGGCTGTAACATATGCGTTACCGAAGTGGGTGTACCGTATTTGTGATTATGTACTCTTGAGGACCCACTTGCAACACTATCCCTTGCGCGTCTCCCCTCCTCATGAGATGGCCATCTCACCCCCGCGCCCACCATTTGCTCAACAATCTAGTGGAAGCCCCTCGACTGTCATCTAAGTACAATCAGAGACGACGTTTCCTTTGACTCCATCCAGTGACCACGTTGACTTTGGGAAGCCAACAGTGCTACATGAGCCAGTCTGCCTGAGCCCATCAAGCCAGCCCTAATTTATAATCTCCAGATCAAATAACAAGTTGGGCTTGATCTTTAGCTCATCTAGAGCTCACAGATTTAAATCTGTATTTGTAAAGTTTTGATTCTCCTCATGTACCCGTCAGTGATTGCACACAACCACTGCAATGCATTTGAGGAGATTTTAGCTTTCGGATGATGACACCAGTGACTTTGAGGACGTTTCTTGAAGCAGCTGTAGATGCTGTAAAGCACTCTGAATTGGGCTCGTTCTTCAAGATCAGTATGCAACGCGGGGATCAATCAGATGCATTGGAGTCCTCGCTGACTAACTAAGTCCCTCCTGCAGAGGTTTAACATAGCAAGCGATGCCCGAGTTAAGTTAGAAGTTCTCGGCGCGTCTTTCAATTGAGCTCGCCAGCACAACCATTCATGATTTCATAATCTTAAAGTGGAGACGTGCTAAGCTGTAAGTACTCCCTCAAATCGCGGCCTCATTCGGACTCGGAGCCTTCGGAGGGGGGCTGATGACTTACCAGAAATGCTTGGCGTGATGCCTATCGCGTTTTTTTGTTATCTTGAGACTATACCGCCATTTACTCATCCTGCACTCAGCCGGGGGACGCGCGCGGTTGGTGGGGTTTTCCTTAAGCTAGGTAGATGCGTCGTGTGGGTTGAAGTCCGATACATACACGCAGATTCTATCCTCCTGCCTGGTCAACTGCAATTCCAGTACTCCCAGAGGTGGAGTGACTCCATGTGTGGGAGTCGGACCCATGACAAGCTCCCGCTATGGACGGTTGCGTGCGTTTCAGACTTATATTGGAAGCTGTTCCGATGATGGACATATATAAGATCGCCCACCTCACCGAAGCACAGCGTGGTCCTACGCGTGATTATGTCCTTCTCAACAGTCATCCTGGAACGTAGCCCTCATTTGAGATTGTATGTTACGATCCAAAGTCGCAGTCGCTGCTAGTCGCTGATATGTAATTAATTGCCCCTTTCATATTTCACATTGAGTTGAGAATGCTTGAAAGCGGTCAGTGACAAGTAGCTTTGAACGGACGGAACGCCCATTCTTCGTTTCAAGAAGATGTTACAAGCTTGACCTTGTCCAGAATCCTCTTCAAGCTCAGGCGTCGCACCTTTTTAGGGCATACTTTCTGTGCTTCTTGCCTTGATACTTACCTCGCGAATGCCTTGCCAGACCTGCTTGGAATAAAGGAGGCGTTGTCGTTCGATTGCTGCCGCGCGATTTCACCATCTCATTTTATTTATCCTCCTCGACTTAGACCTAAGGTGTATCGCTTTCCTTGAACACAATGCATTTCACACTCGTTCTATCAATCATTCTCGCTCTTTCATTACAATGTCAAGTGTCAGTCAGTATGTTACCCGAAGAACAAGCGGTCCGAGACGCAACAGCTGCTTCGGCTCATGCCGACGAAGTTCAATCGTCCACACATCGTGCCGTCTCCCTTAGTTCAAGCCAGAGATATGATTCATCGCGCGGGGGATCAGACGACGAAGAAGACGAAGAAGAAGTAGAACAACTTGCCGATCACAGATTCATGGATGACGGAACTCATGCTCCTCGACAAACAATATCCCCAGGTCAAAAGATCAAAGCATCCTGGTCCAGATTTTCGGATCGAGTATCATCTTTCTTATCGAAATTACGCAAAGTGATTTTCTTTTGGCGTAAATCTCGACCTATACCTCATTTCTCAGATGCTTCTTATATGATGCGTCAGCTAGAGGAGCTCCTCCAACATGTAGAAGCCTTTGTGCAGACTGGAGAAGCACCCAAGGAACTTACTGCTAAATTTGCAACCATCGTCAAAGGTAGAAAGGTGAAAAACCCTTGGAAGTTTTATAAACAAGTCACTGGAGAAAACTATGTGCAATATAAGGCAGAAGAGTACCGCAAATTAAATTATGAGTTGATTACACATCTTCAGAATCATTTCCAGCTTACTAGATATGCAATGGATACATACAAGCAAACTCAAGAGCGACTAGTAAAATCTGTGGCTGATTTCAAGGGTTTCCTTAGCGCGAGAGTCGATCCTAATATCGACATGGAGAAACTAGCTGACAACATTCGAAAGTACTCAAGTTCACTTCCCGTGAATGACTTGACAAGTAAGAGAATTTTGATGTGACATTCTTTTGTTTTTCCGTTTTACTGAACCTATTTCTGCACAACTTTTTTTTGTTGAACTTGCCAAACAGTTGCACACCAATATCAGTTGACTTTTTTGCATATGTTCGGTCAAGGTCATATCACCCTTCCCGATGTGATCGACGTCGACGGAACAGTCAGATTGGATGAACTTTCACGCGTCTTCCAGCTCAAAGCGGCCTTTGGACTTAAGGCAGATCAGTGGGATCTTTCTCCTGAGGAAACCGAAGCCATCATCAAGGCATTCCCACAGATTGAGAAGGCTTTGAAGAATCTTTACATTGTTCAAGATGTAACAACGTACCTGAAGAGAAATGGACAGAATACTATACCTACACATTATCAAGAGTTGAAATACAATGCGGATGTGACACTCGAACGGGAGCATGGAACCCTTATGCGAACGTTTGGCACGGAGGAAAAGGCAAAGAGCGTATTTTCCAAGATCTATCGTTCTACTCTTACTGAAGGACCATTGGCTGACAAGAAAGGTAAGAGCTTATTCCTACCTAGATATCTGAATTTGAAATCGCAACCTTCGCGATGTGATATTGGATGGGTTTACCGACTTTGTTTCTTCTAACATCATCGGTTGTCGCTTTCACTTCCAGGTTCACCTTTAGAATATATGCTCTTGCCTCTGTTGGAACCAGCTGGACCTGGTCGATCATTTGAGACAGCCACCAATGTGGAAGCTAAAATGAAATCAATGGGGATCATAGGTGGAATGATATCTCAGTCAGAATTTATCCAGAAGTATTATGATATCATTGCTCTCACGACTGCAGCCCTAGCCAATCACTATCGGAGTGCTCAAGGGTTAAGAGCAGTTCGAAATATCCTTGAACACTCGATGATGACAATGCGCCGATCTTGACATGTCTGCTATAGCTTATCCACCACTTCATCATTGCAATCACTTTCAGTTTTGAGATTTCTTTTGGAATGTGATTATTTTCAAACTCTTCTTCAAACGTTCATTATCATACTAAATAGTCATCAACAGTCTTTTCTTGTTCTTCTTGGAAGCTTCTTTGTCACACTCCTTTGATATTAAATTAATGTGACTGGAACACCGTTTTTGAGGTATGCGAGGCTATTTGGCTTTATGCTTTATCTACCGGTTCTCTTTCGTATATTGACTGTCATGTTGACCAGATGTAGTTTGGTAAGAGTACAAGCCTCTTCAGCAAATACCAGTGCAAGAGTGTTTATCAGGGAGATTTCAGTCTTGACATTATGAATTGAGTTTCATCAGTCATGAATGATGTGTCAACTAGCTCAAGGCTAGGGAAAAAAGAGTTCATCAGACATCTCATCATCTGACACACCAGTACACACCCTGATGATCTTTGAAATAGGATTCAGCAGTAGGATCAAGTCATAGATTTTTGGGGTGATCAAATCACACAATGTTGATGACGATGAGTATGAGCATCACAAGATATTTGAAGAGGTTCAAAAGTGTTTTGTGCATAATATTGTTTGGGGATGATGCACAAGAGTTGAAGGTATACAGGAAACTACACTAGGAATATCATTTCATGGAAGCAAATGAAAACCAAACAAATAACTTTCTTTACATCTCAGAGGATTCAACTCACTCTGACCAGGACCCCGGAATGCCTCTATAAGGGGTAGTCAACAAAAAAATTGACTTTTGAGCTCCCGCGGAAATCCGCCCCTGCCAAACTGCTAAGTCCATCCCTACCTTCACCCATAGGTTTAAGCCACATTTAATCTTTCCTCGGAATTACTCAAGACCTTTCACTACCTTTCACAACACCAACTTTGCATTCGCAAATGCTGTGAACAAACCTTTCCCAACTCTGACATTAACGCAAACTAGGAACTTGACGAACTCAAACTTGAATCAACCTCAATCAAACCAAATGTGATTTGAATCGTGGAAAGCAGTAGTGTGTTCGGGAGATTCGTCAGCGAGTGTAGGCTGTTGGAAGCCTTGCACCAATCAGACAGTCTCTAGCTAATAGAAAAGGAATGCTCATAATAACGATCCATGCGTAGCGGCTTGGAATTGAAAACGTTTTGACGAGTATGTTTTGGATGTCATTGTCAACGATTCAAAAGATGCCACCACTTCAGTCACTTCGCGTTAGCTCTGGCAGGCTGTCTTGATCAAACGAGCGTCTTTGGCCTTCAAAAGCAACAACAACAGCTTGCTGCAACTAATCGCAAGCTCCGAGTTTGGGTTGATCATGCATTGGTTAATTGGTTTTGCTTTTTGTAAATTTGCAATCAACAGACCTACAAGAGCATGTATGTTGAACTGAATTCAGACACAATCACAAGTCTTAGTGTAAGAGATAATAAGTCAATAAGAGATCTTATGGCAAGAATGTGAAAAGGACGCAATCAGATGAAGGAAAAAGTGGTTTCATAATACCGCTATAATGTAATAAAATGTAACTACCAACCATACAACTTTAAGTGCAAGCAACGAGATAAAAATACTGTCTAACAATATCACAATGAGCTTCATGGTGCCTTCCTCACACGCTTCTGGTTCTTTTGTTTGATAGGTTTGGGCATAAAACATCTCTGCCACTCGGGGCAAGTGGCTATCAAGTTTACAAGAGAATTGGGGACTTCATAATGACCAGGTCCGATACAGACAAAACCTGGTTCTTGGTCTTGAGGAGTGTAGAGGTGAACAATAAATTTTATCGGCATATGACTGAAGGTCCATTCCATTGGAAATTCTTGTTGATGAGCTGCCTGAACCATTGTTTGACCAGGGCTGTATCGATAAACCTCCAGTGAAACGTAGGAGATATTTCCGCGGGATTGAGCCTCTTGAACCCATGCGTGCTTTCCTGAGCTATGCTGAAAGACAGAGAGAACACGGCCCAGATAGAAGTACTTAACCGTGTGTGATCCGGAGTCGGTCAGTATGTATAAATACACCCAGGCATTTCAAGGTCAGCGCTTACGTCTTGCTTTATCACTAAAACCCATTTGTTTTTTGAAAGCGGATTTTCAACAGTTATTGCACCTATCCTAGCCACTTGGTTGTTTTTTTTGGCTCGGTACAATCGGCTCCTGATATACGTTCGATTTGTGTACCAGGAGCATCCAGTGCCTCTAGATTCTTCTCTGGGGGATCGTCTGTATCCTTGTGCAACTTACGTTTTCCGAGGGTTTTCCAGTGATTTTGACGGCTTTCACCGTACTCGGGGTCCTCATGAGATCGCCAGTAGAATGAGACAGCTTTGCTGTACTGACTTGGTGAAAGTATCTCGCTGCCAGTGTCAGGATCGTATTGAGGAACAGATAGGTCTTTTGATGTGGTACGTGGTCGCTCCGGACCGTGATGCTTTTGAACCTGGCTGTCATGAGCATGCCTTTTGGAAGCCATATCAACGATGTTCAAGATTCCATCTGGTGTCAAAGAGGCTTCTGAAATAGTTGTAGATTTCGCACTTTTGTTGGGTAGCTGGTTCGGATCTGGCTGCTGTACCATCGAGGTGAATGAAGCTCCAAACGCTAGATCTTCCAACTCCGATGTTAATTTAGACATTACCACATCGGCTTCTTGATGTTGACTCGTCAATCCAGCCGCAGTTTCTAATGCCTCTTCAGGAGTGACTGTGGCTGAGTTGAAAGGATACTCCAAGTAGGAGCGCTTGTGTATTGATATAGACACATCAGCATGTTGCTCTTCTAAGGTCTGCTCGCCTGTCGGCTCCTGAACTGAGACATCCGGATTATTGGTAGCCATACCGGCAAAAGCTGCAAGTTCCTCTGCCAAAGATTCTGCAACCTCCAGTAGGTCACGTATTTTGTTGTCACTAGGGTACTGACTGAGGATGTGAGTATGATCTTTTGTGCTGTCGTGCGAAAAATCATATTCATAGCCTATGTAATTTCAGATAAGCATAATATCCGCTTTGCAAAGACTTGTGAAGACAAACTCACCTGCATGTAAATTCTCATTTCTGGGCAAAGTGATATGCCCACTCATAATACTCTTTATAACTGCAAATATTTTTGGCATCATTTGTCTCGCATCCAGTACTGTGAAGGTAGGTGAAATGACCCGCATCCAAACCAAAGATATGCTCACAGCATTCGGTTCCATGCTTCCAAGGCATAAGCGGGTGGGTAGGGTAACGTTCGCGGTGAGAAATGATGAGTCCCAAGAGACTCTCGCCAAGCTGCTCAAAGATTTGGATGCTTTGATGTGATATGCAGTTTGAAGCCAAATTCATCAAGCTTCCAGGTTCCATTGAACGTTTAAGGAGATAAGCCTTCCACTTGCGGACAAAGAAGACTGCTGTATAACTTGAGATAATCCTATCTTGGTGTGGCATGCTCTGGTTCAACCATGAGTCAACAAGCTCACCAAAGATGTAGAGATATAAGACTAGACCAATGCAATCTGGTTCCGCGCAAGCAGCCTTGAAAGTGTGCTCGCTGAAGGTTTGGTAAGCACGGCCGTCATCTTGCTTGTCAGTGTTCAGTATATCCTTGTACCCAAGTGGACACTCAGCAGTTTTAAGTAAGGAAATCATCTGGTCGAGGTGGACATTGAACCATCCAAAAGCTAAGAAACGTGCACCAGAAAGTAGTTGATTGGAAGCCGTCTTCCGGGCGTGCTTGGGATCTTGTACTGCCACAATTGGTCTTTTAGAGGCACCTAGAAGCGGAACACGTATGTCAACCTTGAGGTTTGGAGCCGAAAACTCAAGATAATCGTTTGCCGAGTCAGCAAGTAGCTGTTGTGCAAGTAGTTCAGATGCAGCGCCATCAGACCCCAAAGAGATGAGAGGAATTCCAACTGATTTGAGCAGATCAATGAATTCAAGGTGCTGGTCTTTGATTTCTTCAGCAGACTCGTTCTCATGGCTAGATATCAAAGCTACAACGAAGGTAGGGACGTTTGGCAGAGGGACCTGTGTATACGCTCGAATCTACAAAAAAAACTCATGTTGATCAATTTTGATTCAAAGAGGTGGAGCTAGGATACTGAAAAGCACAAATGAACGAGCTCTGACCTTTTTACACAGGCGATCACCCTCAACCGCATCTTTGACCAATTGCTTCAGGTGTTCAATGTCAGAGAATTCAACATCACCACCTTCGAGACCAACTAAGCACCCTTGATTGTACCGAAGAGCTTTTACACATACTGTCTGGTCTGTGCCAGCCGCAACGGGTCCTTTGTATCCGCATCGCTTAAGCCAAGAAACGACTGGAAGAACGTTTTCGACGTGAAACTTGTCAAGCATCCGAGCACCGATCCACTGGCGTACTGATCGGGAGCTACGAGGCGATCGGCCACAGAGGTTTGCACGAAAGAGTTCAACTGCACCTTTCGAGTAAGCTCCAGCTGTCGTCAACATGTTATCAAGGTACTCGTTAAACGGCATTCCGCGTTTGCTCAGGTTTTTAGCTTCCCGCTCTGCCCGAATTCCAACACCCTCTGCTACCCCTCTAAGCACAGGTAGATTTTTGAACAGTCCAGCCCGGGCATGTACACCAAACATCGTCCAAAATTCAAGATCGCCAGCTCGGGTTGAACGTTCAAGTGACTGAAATAACATCCTCAGTTCAGTATACCGCAAAAGCAAGTCATGAAATGGACCCCCATTCATAAAGATTTTTGCAACAAATCTCAGACTATCATCTGTTGCGTAGCCTCGAGTGATAGCTTTGAGAAATGAAGGGACTTTCTTCAGCTCCAAGCATGGCTTGCAGACTTCGACAGCCTTGGGATCAAGAGTTGCAACCCTTTGGGTACAGTTGGTAGAGTGGATGGAACCCTTGCTTCCGTCGCGTCTGATGATCCATGACGACAGCGAGAAAAGTTCTTCGTGTAGCTGTTGTTTCTGACTATCTGACAAGGAGCTCTCTAGAGAGGTGCCGAACAACTTGAGGCATACAGTAAACCTGGGTGGATATCCATGATAGGCCGTGCAAGAATGCTCAATACATATAGATATAGGCTGTTGATTCAGTCGCTTCCATGTCTCATCGGTCAGTCCCGCGCATCGGACGTGAACAGCCTGCGGCTGATCGTTCGAACCGTTCAAGTCTTTTGGTCGATCTACTGCCCTGCGGAGGCTCGCTGTTGCCTCCTTACAGCTCACTATGTGAAATTAAAGACCCATCAAAGGTTCAGTACTTGCTGAAAGAAAGGTTCACCGCCGCCTTCAACAACCAAGACCTACATGTATTCCAATGCGCCTCAGCGACTTGGATACTGCCCCGTACCATCTTTACTTCCTTGCCGCAGTGGCATTTTAACCTTGTATCATCTCCGTCCTTTTGAAAAATACACTGTGGGCAGCTCTGGCCATCGTCCGTTTTCAAAGGGCAGTTTTTACGCCTTTTTGATTCTTTGTCAAAAGCTCGCTTAGCAGACAATTTCGCTTTGGCGGTACGCAAAACCGGCGAGGTTGAGGTAGGAGATTTGTCCATTGAATATATTGATATGACAGGACATGAGCTGATAAGAGAGTTAGGGAATTTGACAACGGAGGACTAAAATCGACTCAAACAAGTTTAATCACTCGAATCACTCTTTATGCTTCTTCACGCTGTCTATATGAAGCTTTGTCCTGGCCATCTTTTACGATCTTGCAATAAAGTTCGTGACATGTCACAATATGTGAGCACCTGTCAAAGGATGGAAACAATGGTGATATACGAAGGCAAAAACCGGCAGAAATCATAACTGAAGTGTAATCCCATGAAGCGGATTTCCGCGGGAGCTCAAAAGTCAATTTTTTTGTTGACTACCCCTTATAGAGGCATTCCGGGGTCCTCTCTGACCTCAAAGGCCAAGTCCTTCTCAACTCAGAATCCGTTGTCATTCAAAATATCTCAATGAGATGGATGTCTGTCCAATACTTCAACACAATGATATTCTTTGTCACACATACACCATTTCTGCCAGTTAAAATTGAGATAATATTGTGGAGTTAGTGAATAGTCTTGATGTGCTGTAAGATAGGCTTGAGGGTATACTAAAGTTTCATTGATTGAAGGTATCACACAAAGAGTGTACAAAAAGTTAGACTCACTCTCAATTTTATTTGGAATTTACATAGTTACACAGTTGGGATCTACTCCACTATACCTTATCTCTTCAGTATTGAAATTAGAAGCACTTTGTGGAAAAAGCAAAAAATGTTGTTGACTGCAAGGGAAGATAGATCTTCTTTATAATCCATCAAATTCCACCTCAGTACACAATTAGAAACTACATGATTTTCTTGTTTTATTTTGCCATACTCCATAAAGTATCATTGGCCACAGGAGATGATTCAAGTAGCCTTGTAAAAGCATCAAGCTGTGGGGCTTGAAGATGATATTGTGACATACAAATGGATTCACAAATTCTATTCCAGAAGCAGAACAAATGCCACCTTGCTTTTGTCACTTGGGAATCACTTTGGATCTCTTTGGATTGAGATGTTAGCAGAAAAAACCCATGGGAAATTCAAGGTTATCACTTTTGGCATAGACACCCAGAAATCAAGTGGGCCTGGCAAGAGATTTGCAGAAAAATGAAAGCCACCTATGCTACTACTAGCTCCCACTTGACCAAGGTTGAGAGCTCTGCTATATGTGTGCTTTAGTGATTTTGAGGAACTTTCATCTACAGGAGTTCTCAGAGGCAGGATATGGTAGGTCAAGCTATTGATTCCACCAGGCAAGTTGTTAAAGACCTCCTTTCACCATGTCCATGTGGTGTTTGCTGGTCAACGAGCGCACACTGGAGGAATTTTGTCGGAAACACCCAAAACCGCACTCGAATCAACTTGCACAGGTTGAGGCTGATGCTGCTCAAGCTGCAATGTCAAAGATAAAGCCAGTAAAATTTACCTCTCGAGTGGCCATCCAGAATTCCGGGGTCAAGTATTCAAATGGTGTTGCCTCTACATGTGAAGATGCTTTGGCTCTTGCTGGATTCAACCGATGAACTTTTGACTGGACTAGCTCCCTGAAGACCGAGTGGAATGAAGCCATGTCAACAATCTTACTTCAGGAGTGGGCAAAATGTTATAAACGTGGTGATGCTGATGAGTACTTAATCCTAGATTCTCAGGTGACTTCAGAAAACAAGTTTCAAATATTCAAGAGATGGTATTCCTATAAACGTCGGGAATATGTTTCTGGAGAGAATGCGCCTGATACTCCGGAATTCTCAAGAAAAATTAACAACAAACAAGCACAATCAAGAGAGAAAACTGCTCGAAAGCAGTCAAGAGCAACAGTGAGTAGAATCACATCCATACTGTGTTTGTACTATTGATTGATCTGATTGCAAAAATGATTTCACCTTCTTGAGTCGCAGCCATACGCAATGCATGCATGAAGTCTCATTTTCCACATGAAAACAACCTTCAAATGATTTTGTCAAACCCAATTGTTCATTCAGAAGACGAGGTTGAGGACGGAAAACGTGTCCGTGTACCTCAGGTTTGGCAATCAGCTGACCTGGATGTTTTCTTTGACGAGCTTGATACAACACATGTAGATTCTCAACTTGATGCTCGAGGATGGACAGCTGCAACAAAAGCACTTGATTGTGGTTTGCGCCGTCAGTTAACACCAGCTGAGCGGCTTTATTGTCATCCTCCACGACACTTCCCAAAGTCCTTGGTGGATGAAGATTACAAACAAAATCAACTCAATGAGTTAAAGCGCCAAGGACTAAAGCTTTCAAACACTGCAGTGTTTGATCTGAAGCCATTTATTAACAAGCTCAGGACCTTACGGAAGTAGTTTATTCCTAGATGTGTTGCAAAGGTCCTTTTCTTCCATGAGATTCAATTTTCTTTTTCCTTGTAAATAATTCGTCATAATGAGCTCTGCTTGAGAATTTTTCATGATTCACAATTACATAGTCAGTTGGGTTCAAAAAACGGATGTGTGTGTGTGGAGTGATGGGTCTCACTTTATATCAGAAGGTTGTGTGTGCTTTGAAACAGCTCACCCTTGGAATTCCAGCCAATGCAACGGATGACTACCAGGATTGTGCCAAAACTGGCAGATCCAGCAGTACAAAACACTCTTCAGGATACTCTCCAGCTGAGAAATTCCAATGCTCATCAAGAGCTACAGGGCAATCTCACAATGAAACTTTAGCTGAGGGAAGCGGGTGAATGAATTAGTGACATTAAAAATTAATGCTACATTTGCTACCATGTCAACAACTGCAAACAACTACTATACATTAAAAACATTTACTATAAAAAATTTGAGTTTACATATCAGATCTGTTGGATGAATGAGATTTGTGCATATATTCTTGAAATGAATATGAGGAATTTGATTGATTTTTGAGCTATTCTTATCTAAATGTTTGTTTTGTTTGATGATCAAGATCTGTATCTACTTTGTATGAGTATAAACACATGTTGGGTGATCAAGATTTGTATTGGTTTTCAATGAATACACCGGTGAATGAATATGAGATATTGAAATATTGAAATATTATCTATAAGCTATTGATAACGCTGAGCAACTTCCTCTTTCAACCCTTGTAGTATTCTCTTTGAAATCTCATTGGGACAATCCTCTTCTTTGGCCCGAGCAATCTCAAGATCTTTACTGTTGAGCTTGCTTTTCATCAAATTGGTTGCAATTCAATTAGATTCTTCACTAGCATCTGTTCGTCGGCTTGCCACTGCTGTAAATGATTTGATAGCCTCAATTATTTCAGCGTCAGTTTTTTTTGATTCAAGACGCTGCTTCTTTGCAGCCTTTCCACCAATCGGACGCTCGCCACTATCATCAGGTGGAGCACGATTGTTGGATCGTGTGGCTGCAGTTGAATCAACTCCTGTCGCATCTGAAGGGAGAAGGAGTTCCGGAGGGGGTGCTGGAGTGGGATGATCACGTGGATTGATAAGTCAAGTATCCCATTTGGGTTTGTACTGAAGTTTTTGCCAAGCAGAGAGATGTTTGAAAGGCCATTTCTCTTGATTTTTGGCTTGGTAGATCTTCATCGCATTGCCTATCCAGGTATCGGGTGGTGTTCCAGACGGTGGATCATGCTCCAGACGAGCCTATATACCTGAGAACTTTTGGGTTGCTGGATTCAAAGTGTGTGGTTACCGAGCGAGAATTGCAATGCACCAAAACATCCTCAAACGAAGCATCGCCTGACAGATTGTTTGAGTATTCCGGTCGAGTACTAGTCACCAGCCAAGAAATCGTGATTTGTTTGACCTTGTGTTCAGTCCATTTGTTGCCTTGTTTAGAAGTGGCTGTTGAAGGGGCAGAGGCCCGCATTCATAGAGAAATTGCGAGTTGTTCGAGCTTGGGTTCAGTCCATTTGTTGCCTGGTTTAGAAGTGGCTGTTGAAGGGGCAGAGGCCCGCATTCGTAGGATTTGGGTAAGAAGGCCTGCTCTTGATGAGTTTGCATGAGTTGGTTGTGGTGGTTGAGGTCGTTTGAGGTTGCTAAACGGCACAGTACTGCTCAGACAAGGACTCAGAGCAGCTGTGGTTCATAAAGTGCGGCTAAGCCCGGTCCCGCCTAAGCCAAGTTCAACCGGTGAGACCAAGCCCTCTGCCTGCTGAGGAAATTTGTGAGCCTATTGCCAGGGAACTCGCAAGCATTACTCCATCCAGTCACACGCTCACGTGTTGGGAGTGGGCTCCACAGACCAGGTGATAGCAACATTCTGGATACAAAAACAACAAGACTTTGGAGCCCCTTCTGGATTTCCTTGAGTAATCACACAAGCTAGGCAAGTGCTTGGAATGATCACCCTATGGTCAGAATCTTGATGCACTCTTGCAATTTCACTTATTTCAATTTCGTTGGAGACATAAAAGTAAAGGAATTTGACAAAGGCTGGATGACAGAACACCTTTCAACAAGGTTGAAGACAAAAGTATTCTCAGGTGTGTGTTGACAAGACAGCTCTGAGTATGGTGAAGACAATTAGAGCTTGAAGCTCGCAAACCTTTTAACAAGTTTAAAGGCAAAAATATTCTCATTTGTGTGTTGACAAGACAGCACTGAGTATGGTGAAGACAATTAGAGCTTAAGGCTCATACAACTGGTAACGAAAGGAGTTAAACAATAAAACCATAGATATTTTGTTCCAATTTGAAAGATATGAGGAACAAGCAAAACAAGGGAATCACAGCAGAAGAAGAACACAATACAAACCTTTTAACAAGGTTAAAGGTAAATGCATTCTCAGTTGTGTGTTGACAAGACAGCACTGAGTACGGTGGAGGCAATTAGAGTTTGAAGCTCACAAATCTGACAACACAAGGAGTTAAAGAATAAAACTAATGAGAAGAGAGAAATGTAGTAAAGTGAAACATAACCAAAATAGACACATTAATCTAGTCACACAACAATTGATAATGAGAAAAATAAATACCTTTAGATAGTGTGTTCCAATTTGCAAGATATGAGGAGCAAGAGATCCAAAGGACAACAGAGGCTTGATACATACAGGAAGACAAAAGAACAAAGAAAACCCCTGAATTAAAAATTCTCACTATGATTTTTACACCCCCTTGCTTCTACTTATCATGATTCAAAACTCCTCTCTGGTTCATCTTCACACCCATTTCAATACCATAAGATGAGCTAGTTAAACAACACTTACACACACATCACCCATGACTGGTCATGGTTGTCTTGACCAACAAACAATCATTTCCAACACAAAGAAACTCATGTTGTCAGTTTGAGTCAATAAAAGAGTACCCTTTTAAGAGACTGAAGCTGAATATGCTTACCAGTTTGTATTTTATAAGTAGGTGGCTTTGTTTCAATGAGATGAAATTATCTCTTCTATTGATATGAATTTGATCCAATGCTTGTTAGTAACTGTTGAATGTCCTCTTGGGATCTGATACAAGCAAAAAGGTACTCACTGAGCGCTTTTTTCTCTTGGCTATCAGATTGGAATAACACCATCAGGTCACGTTAACTTGAGCAGTTTCTGGTGAGAAATCACATTCTGAAAGATTTGAATTGTCTATTTGGTGGTGCATATTTCATTTTTGCATTTAAAAATGTACAGAATGTGATATCTGGTTGGAAATTCCTTGAGTGAATGCACCCTCACACTGCCTGCATAGTTGCCTTGGCAACAAACATCCGAGGAGTCCTCATATGCCCCCCGAGGAAAAGGGCACCCAAGGAATGCCTCCGAGGCAAAATTTGGACGTTGCTGTTGCCTCGGATCCTTGGATAGAGCTTCCCTTGAGGTCAAAATCTGAGGTCTCCTTGGATTTTCACATCGGAGGGTTGTTTCAGTGTTGAGAGTCAATTAAAACTGTGCTATTTCATTTAAAACTCATGCTTCTTGGTCCTTTGAAATTCAATTAAGATAATTTTCTCTTTTGATACTTGTCAGTACTGAATTCAACAGAGTTCTTCTTTCTGATTGTCTTGTTTGGGGAGGGCAGTCTTTAGAAATCTTCTACTAGTCTCTTATTGGTAGATGACCTTCCTTCCCTTTCCTCAACCTCTCTTGTTAGAGGTCTACTAGTTTAGTCTGTACTTGAGTGTACCACATGAATAACACAATATCAATTCTCTTTGCCACTCTCAGTAAAGATTGCACACAACAGAAGTGTACTCCTCACAGTCCAAAAGAGGGCCAAGAGTCTTTTTACCCATTGGGTCAGGTCTTTTGCAAGCAAGAGTCAAGCCAATTCTAGTTGAGTGATAGGTCCATGTAGGACTGATTCTAGATACACTCTGGAGCTTGTTGGTTGATTCCAATTCAGGAGAAGTCACTGGATAGGATTCTGATCCTTTGGTAGCTTCTCTGTTACTCGTCTTGTGAAGTGCTGGTGCCACAATATTGAAATTTAATATGAGCTGATCATGTCTCCTGAAAATGCCGTGGGCACATCAAGGTGACAGTGGGAGATTAAAGTTTTGATTCAGTAGTGATTATATTGATAGGATAAGGATAAAAAACACTCATAAACCACAAGACATAATGTCAATTGGGGTGATTTCAAGTCCTAACATGTTTTAACCAATGATCACACCATCCAGTTCCATGTGATAGGGTTTCAGTCCCATATTTGCACACACATATAAAGATGTCTCTCCCCCTTGGTGCCAGTGACAACATCAGATAACTCATCATATTCAACAATATTCATGACAGCTTACAACCAAGGAAACCTAGGGTCCTGGAGGCCATGGAGCTCTCTTCTTGTACTATTTCTGACATTCTTGTCTCTCAAGTTATGCAAAGGGCTTCAATCAGAAAAGGAAATATGGGGTAGTCCAAAATCTACATCAGAATATAGCTCCTGTCTGGAAGTGGATTATCCTCCAGATTATGATCCTCCAGAAGAATTCCACTCAGACTCATGTGATCTTGCTCAAGTTCCAGAATTCAATGGAAGTCTACACATGCGCACATCCATTCAAAACGCACAAATTGATGATGTCCTGAGAGAAGCAACATCAGTACAAGTAGATAGTGGATTGAAACAGATAGCAGCTTCAGCTCAATACCAATCAAGAAAAAGGAAGAACCAAATTCACAACATTGTGGAGTACAGTGATGGAAACATACTTAAGACAACAGATATGGAAGCTTCTTCACCCTCAAATCTCAATTTACAAGAATGTATGAAAAAGGTCTCAAGGCCAAGAATCCATTCACAATCTCATTGGAAAGTCAGCAGGAGTCCCAGGGCAAATAACAAATTTTTCCTGTTTCAGAAGATTGGAACCATCAATGCAAATCTCTCTCCAACACTTTGCTACAAGATATTTGAGTCTTTCCTTGAGATATACAAGGCTTTGGAGCTCAAATGTGGAAATAATCCTGAAGCAATCAAAGCTGCAATCCAGGCAGTGAAGAATGCAAGCTATGGGGTTGTTATGGTTTTTCTTGGTCTTATAAGGGTCTTTGAGGCTGAAGGCAGCAGGAAGAACAATCTTGAATATTTCTTGAATGATGGCTGGGATTATGTTGAAAATTTCTTTCAGAACTGGAAGAATGCAGAACTCAAAGATTTTGCATTGAGGGAACATACTAAATTTGTATCACAAAATGCATCCAATCCTTATTTCTACCTGAGGTATTTGAAGGGAATTGATAATCCTAAGAAAGTGTCTTTCTTGCTGGTTTATACACTTGCCTTGGATTGGTCACAAAAGAGAGGATCACCTGTCATACCTGTAGATGGAATATCTCAGCATATACAAAGACTTGTGGATGTATATGAAGCTGATTCAAACTCAATTCAAGGTGGTCTTTATGGAAGGATAGGTATCAGGAACCATGCATTCTGGGGAGTAGAACAGTTTTCAAGACAATATTGGTATTCATATGGAGATACCACCAAATCACCACAAGATGTCTTGTTATTGAGTTCAAATGCTGCACAGTTTCATGCCCCCATTGGCAGAGAAATGTGCAGAGCTGTTCATATCTTCTTTGAAGACCTGATCAGGGATTTGAATCAGAAATACTTGACAATGAATGGACATCCCCATCTAAAATATGTACCACCTGAAGTGGTCCAAGATATGAACATCATAACAAAATCTGTCAGCATGGCAGAGTACAAAGTTACTGTTGTGGTACTCGGCATGATCAGGATTCTGAACAAAGAACACTTTACTGATTCCCAACTTGAGAGATTGATAAACCATGCATGGACCTTTCTCAAGAAGCAGTTTTCTGAATGGAAGTTGTTAGATTTTTGTACAAAAGATTCTCAACACCTCTTCAACTATGATTCTGTGCATCTTCAGTACGGCACCCAAGTTGATAGTCCTGAAGCTCTTTTTCTTGGGCTTGGTGGGTTCAAATGCAAGAATTACTTTCCAAAGCGGTGTATTGCTTATTTGTTTAATTTGTGGAGGAATTTAGTAACTCAAAGTGTGCCCGGTTCACAGGAATACATAGAAACTCCAGCTGCAATTCAAGACATCCCTTCAGGAAGCATAGAAAAATGGAACTTATTGCTTAGAAGTCATAATCACATTTATCAATCAATTGGCATGATTTCACTTCATAAAACAGATGGAGACACCTGAGCTTCTGAAGGTCCAAATTGTCCATGGGACTGCCATCAGTCAAAGTGTCATCATATTTCACTTGAGAGGATACAGAATATTATATATGCATACATCAAGCCTTTTACTTAATTGTCACTCAGTAATGATGTGTTTTGACTGAATGTGTGCAACTGAATCATAATTTATGTCAAGACTGTAGCTTCAACTATCTTAAAACACCTGGAGTCTGCATTTCCACAGGACAAGCCACAACACATCATTTCAGTTGGGGGGTGGAGACAGAATGCATTTTACCAGTGCCAATTTTCTGAGAGAAGGCACACAAGACACTTGTTGAAGAAGTATTAGAGCTATGCAATACATTGTCTTTCATTAAAGAATTTTTTCCCTGTCTGGTATCATACTTTTCCTCATTATCTTGTCCTTTCATTGGATGAATCCTGATAACTTTATATTCCCCTGGATTTAAATGAATATGTGAGGTTTCCACCCTCACCAAGACTATGTCTGTCAGTTAAAGCACCTGATCATTTCAATGGAGCAACAAACCAGTTGATATGTAAAGGTTCACAACTAGAGAAACCTGGGATATGACCAGAGCTGGAAGATATTATTGCTTGTTGTGACATATGATCAGGTCCTCAGCAGTGGATCACAGGAAAGAAGATGTTGCTCTGGTGTTTTACTGTACATCTTGACAGCATCACATTTCCTTGGAGCATGGTGTTGTTTGTAGTCACTCACAGTATGTCTTCATTGCTTGTGGTTGAGTTTCCAATGCATCATATGGCTATGCTTTTCCACATGGTTGGAGTTTATCCAACCTCTGCCAATTCCCATAAATCTTCTGAGTTTGTGTTGACTGAGCACAAAAAAGCTGTCACTTGCCTATCCTTTTGTGCCCATCTCAAGCAGGAGCCACAATCCCCTTCAGAGATCAAACAGTTCATATGGTAGTCATGCTTGGATGGAATGTGTAGGTGTCTTGACAGTTTCAAAATTGTGTTACAAGGGACCTTCTTATGGCCCTAGACTAAATTACTGTTGCTGTCTCTTGCCTATATCTTGCTAGTCTACTCACTTTATTCAGAATTCAAAAACACGAGGCAATCAGATTTGCCCAGTGACTCAATGGATGGTCCACAGAAGAGACCACCAGACTGTCACCCATTTGGAGATGAATGGCCAACTGAATGTCGGTCAAAGCAAATCAATAATACGACGGCTGAATATTACTTCACTGAGTATGTGTGGTATATGTCATCAACTACAACATCCTTCAAAAGCAAAACACTGGTGATACAATACCCACCTAAAGATACTCAATTCAATATCATTTATCTTGTTCACCATTAAGGTTCATAGCTATAGGCGATCCTGGACGCGAAGCACCCTCTCATCGTAGAGTTTAACCTTGGCCTGATCACTACCCGAGCAAATCTGAATCGCTAACCAAATAATACAGGCTGTCATGCCGATCCCACAACTGGCAACCAATTGTTTTTCTCCTTGTTTGACTGCTTCCCAGCGCTCAGCTGAACCAAAAGTGGATATGAAGACTTCTTCCAGCTTCTTGGGTGATAAAAAGGTGCGGTAACCTTCTTTGTGTGTAGCCAAGAGTTCTGAGAATGGTAGAGAGAGTGAACCTGGAATGTGCCCACTCGATAAACTGGCCCTCGGCTCAGGTGCTGTACCATCAAACCTGTGATGTGAGCAGGCCGTACCACCGAATAGAATCAACTTCTTTAATTGGTGCAAAGTTCAATCATGGGGCGGATGATTGAGTCCACTGACCTTGGGCGGGGTCGAGCATCGAGGATTTCCATGCGTTGATCTGTGATGTTAGTAATGATATCGTTGTAACTGGTCACATATTGTTTCCCTTCATAATCCTCATGACTTGCTATAAGTTGATAATCTGATTTATTAACCGGACTTGGAGGCCCAGAGTCTGTTGGTAAGCCTTCAGCGATCCAACGTGGAAGGCCACCGTCAAGAACTGCAATCGATGGATGGTGAAATGACTTTTACGAGATGAAAATATCAACTTGTCACCTCAATGATCGAGTAATTCTCCCCAATCTAAGTGCCCGAGCAGCGAACTCATTCTACGTACGTGTAGGAGCCAGGCTGCGCGCGGCGCGGAAAATATGCCCAGAGAATCATAGAAGACTACAGTATCGGAAACGGATATTCCCAGATCGTTCATAGCCACTCGAAAGGTATCAAGATTGGGTCTCATGTGAGGTAAACCACCGGCATAAGTGAGATCGGCAATTTTGTCATGATCGAAGAACACAGCATTAGGTAGTCGACGTCCTTTTTCGAATTCAGCTAAAAGAGAACGATTCGTGTTTGGCATATGCCAGGATGCATCCACCACCTTGAACTGGTGATCGGGTTTCTCGATTGCTTTTAGCAATTGCCTTGGGGTCATAAGTTTAGGAACAACGCGAGATGAAAAGTTCTGTTTGATGAAACACATGCCAAGTCGAGGGATCATCTTGAGAATGCACCTGAGTAATTTGGAGAAATTATGAAAACCAAGATTAATAGAACCAGAACGAAGAAAACAATAGCGGAGTTAGACAAAGCCCCAGTAAAAGACTGAAGTGTCCCAAAGGCCCCGCACACCCTAGCTTGCTGCTTAACACAAGCCCCACCGACTAAGAGCATCCACTATCGTTACAGTAAAAGTTCAGTAAATTTTACAGTACCAATTTCAAAGTACAGTAAAATTAGGTACAGAAAGGTGGACATCCACTATCGTTTCAGTATATACCATTCTGTACGGTACGTACCGTACAGAATAGACCCTGTCCCACAATCGTGCTCTCCGTAAAAAAACTGCAAATCTCAATCAAGTTGGACTTTTTGGGGTTGCTCATGAGTTGACATCTCAGTTTGAGAACAAAAAATAGTTTGGAGAATCATCGATTCAGAAACAACTGATCTAACAGACGTTTTGAAACAAACGATTCAAAAAACGATTTGAAAACGAGCAATATGAGAAAAAAGATTTGAAAGCAAACGATTCAAAAAAGCTGATTTGAAAACAGATGATTTGAGAACAGGGAGACTTGGTGACAGTGGTCAGCAGTAACAATGTGTGATAGGTATGCTGGGAATCAGGATGAATGGCAAGTTTGGTGTATGTAGGTGGATCGAGAGTAGAATCAAAGGCAGAGGTGTAGTCAAACTTTGACTTTTGGGAGTGGTGATGTGATGTGCGCCTCGGTAAAGTCCAGTACTTTTCCAGATACCGATTTGGTAGAGGTCCAGTATATTTGCTGGACCCCTACCGATTTTCCACCGATTCTGTTGGTACAGATCTGTATTTTGACCACGATTGGGAATTTCGAGGCTCGGTACGGTAAATTTCAGTAAAATTTACCGTACCGAGGCCATTTACAGAGATGATAGTGGATGCTCTAATACAGCTGTTTCAACAAAGATTGATTTTTTTTGAAAATCTCGCCAATGTGCAAAACCCGGGTTTTGTCCTGTTTTGTCCCTCATCCGATTTTGTCTCTCCGCTAATTGGAAGAATACAGAAAAGAATAAACCTGTAAGTCAAATTTTGTCTCTGGTTTTACCTGCTGCGGAGACAACTTTCTCCAAAAAAAGTTGTCAACCTTTCTTGAAACGGCTGTAACAGATGACAGATGCTCAGTGTCAGTGACCATGGTCTGACTATTGGGGTTGAGATATAAAGATTGCCTGCACATCAAGACACACTCAGCGTTCATCAAGAATGAGAAAGAGTTGGATACTTCTTTTGAAGGGAAAGCATACGCTTTGTGCCTTTTCCAAGACCTTTCTGGGATCCCTTTAATCCAACCCTCATTGCCAACCCTGCTTATTGATTCTTGACCATACCAGATTATTGATAACCATAAGTGACTCTACAAATCAATCAAGAAATCTGATAAGAAATCTTTAGATTTCCACCCAACATCCCTCAATTTTGAAAAGCTATCATCCCCCAAAATGGGGACTTATTCAAGCTTTAGGCAAACCTCCTTGACTGGGGATTCAAAAAAAGGTACATAAGACATGTTCAAGGTTTTTTTCCTCAAAAAACACTTGTATTATATGTAAGGTCTACATTCCTCAAACGTAATAGGTGCCTTCAAAATAGGGAAAAGTTGAAATGTTGAACAGAAAAATTGGGAACCGTGTAATTACAATACAAGCGATACAACGCTGTAGTGAAATCATAGTTTTTCATTACACGCCTTTTTACTGCTTCAAAACTGTGAAGCCCTATGAGGGAGGCCCCCTCCAAATACAAAGTCTAACTTTGTGATTGCACTACAGCGTTGTATTGCTTGTATTGTAATTACACGGTTCCCAATTTTTCTGTTCAACTTTTCAACTTTTCCCTAGTTTGAAGGCACCTAATCATATGATGAATCCTGAAAATTTATTACCCAAGTTTGATTGCATTCAGACAAATCCTGAGTAATGATTTTTGCCTTAGTCATTGTCTTCCCCCTCTGACTTCCCTGCCACATTGTTTTTTTAGCCAGCACCATGTCTGTATCCTTATATATGCTGTACAAATATGAATCTGTCAATTTTCAGAGAGTTTGCCAGAAGGTTCCACAGAACAACAGATACCCGAATTTTCTTTCTGTTGTTCTGTAGCCAAATTTCAAAACCTTCTGCAGCTTCTGCAGCCCTTTCTCCACATCCCAATCAAATTCCGCACTCATGGATGAACAAACCACTGTAGCTACTCCCACCTCGAGCCAACCAAGTTCCCCTCAAGAAATATCAACACCATTTCTAACCCTCTTAACTTTTCAAGTCCATCCTTCGTCCCTTCAGGCTCTCCAAATCAACTCGGTGTCACCAAATTTCCCCTCAGGAGTCTATCCCGCGTCTCTCTTGCAACCGGCCGGCATTGGATCTTCGTTTGCCTTGATGGCCTCCGTGTCTCAACCAACCAACCTGTCACTACAAAACAATCAAAAAAATCAAAGGCTGCTGCTAACAGTAAAAAGAAACAAAAGTCTCAGTCGTCATCAACTCAAAAAGCAACATCCAGCAAGATACCAAAAGCGAAATCAGCACATTTTGTTGAGCACCCTTTGTGAATAATTGTTTGCTTATAGGATTGGTGGGATTCATTGTCAGCAGCAGGGGTCAACTGATCAGTGTCAATATCCCAGTTGACAAGGCAAAGACACCCCTGCTGTGGAGAGCTCTTCCAAGGGGCTTTCAAGTGTCTGTCAAAAGTCCTTTGTGTGTGCATGTCAATATGCTACATGAATCCAGACACAGTGCAGGTAATGTATGAAGTGTAGATTGTTTCCTTGGAAAGATGAGGCCAGGCAAATTTTCAGACAATAATGGGGGCTTTCATGTCAGTTACCTCTATCTGTGGATACTATTTTGGAAGTTCCTACATCCTGCTTGCTACAAGGAGAACACTGATATAAATTTTGCTTGAGAAAATGTCTTGGCTGGGCAGTTGAAATGTTTGTCTTGTCATTGTCAGGCTCTTTTCTGGAAGCTTGTTTAAGAAACTTCAATCTTTGGGGTATGATGTTGATTTGCATTGTGAACTTTAACTCAATCAAATCTTGGGCTTTCAGAACAATCTTATACATACCATTCTGAGCTCGCATGGTAAATTTCAAGGTTTTAGATGTCATCCTGAGGTCCTATACTCTGGACTTTGATTGAACTTGACCACTCCAAAATGCGGGTAGAGTTCATCAAAGAGGTTACATACATATGTATAAATATTTTGCAACAAGAATTGACAATTGAGTTGATGATACAACAATTTAGTTGACACAAAATGTGATTGGAATTCAAACAGATTGAAAAATTTACTGAAGAATTTTTGTCAAATAATATTTACCTAATGAACTGACTTGATCCTGATCATCCACTGATAAAACTTCATATTTTATCACTTGCTGATCTGGATCCTTCAATGATTTCAAAGTAAACTTTTCCACTTTACAGATTCGAAAAAAAGAATGCACGATCAAGATTAGCTTTTTGTAAACAAAACCAAGAAAAGAGATAAACAGAGAGCGATTGAAAAATTGGGACGAACTGTAATGATCAATATTCCAAATCGAATCAGAAAAGTGATTAAAAACTTTAAAGATTGGAGTTTCTTGATGAATTAAATTGTCTTGAAATTGATCAAGACTTTCTAAATAAATCAAAATCGGTGAGGTTTGGGTTTTTGAAATGTTTTCTTGAGTTGAAGAAATTAAACTCAATACTTGAGTTAAACTTGATAGATTTGATTCAGGTGATCTGATCTCCGCAAAAAGCAAGATTCATTAATCTTTTGGAAGTATTTTGATTTTGTTTCTTTTCAATGAGACTTACATATAAAAGCTCGGGTTTAGAATGATGATGGATAAAAGTTTAGGATTCGTCGAAGCGTCATTTGATGAAAGTTTAGATATCCTATTAAGAAGGTCGATTAACTGAGATAATTGATCACAGAAACTGATACCATAAAATCAATTCCATGAGTTAATTTTACTATTTTTCTTCGAAACTTTGCAATCACATCCTTGAGTCTTTTTATGTAAAATCATTCACCAGAATTGGACATTTCCAAGCAAGAGAGTAAGCTGAGGATCCAAATTGGACAGATGAGCATCTGCTTCTAGATTTATTTGCTGATTGAAATCGGCTTGAGATTTAGGTATGATGATGATGATATATTCATCATGAGCGGATCGATGGTTTAATAATAAATTCAATGAGATATGAAATGCGAATGAGGATTGTAAATGGGTTGAAATGATTGAGATCGAATTGGGTTGAGTTTGTTTGTCTGATTTTAGCTCATAAGTTAAGCATTGATGAATGGGATGTGAGTTGAAGTGATCTGGCATTAAAGGTTTTGAGGTTAACTTCTCGTTCTTGATGTTCTCTTTGTGGTAGGTGAGGGTGGTTGTGCGGTGTCATTCTCAAATTTGGCGGAAACTATTGAAATTATGGGTTATGAGAAAGGTAAATCACGTGACTGAAACACGACACCTTGATTAGGAAAAAACTTGGCAGAACATCCAAACTTCAAAGAAGCACGAACTACTACAAGGAAAGTTAGGCAAGTTAACAGCTCAAGACAAGGAACATAGAAAGAAAGAAAAAAGACGCGAAACAAAGGAAGAGTCGACTGCTGAAAAATGAGTCAAGATAAACGAATCATAGAAATTATCAAAACCCCATTAAACTTATCAAAGAAATTCACGAAAACTCGGCATCAAGCACGAGAGCATCTCACCTTACAATCTCAAACTCATTCAAAGAAGTATTTTCAAATCAAGAATCAATTTATAAAGTAAGTCATTCAAGTTTCATTATCCATGCAATCTGAGGAACATTGAACTGATTTTGAAATTAGATACCATCCATCACAAACCCATCAACTAGTCCAAGTTCATTGCCTAAATCCACTTTAGTGAGGTTCAGATGTATGATTCAAGATACCGGTTTAGGGAAATAAATTTATTCAAGTCAAAACTTAACATCCATTTATCAAGAATCTCATCATGAAGAATTCGATCCAACTTTGAATTCAACTGAATTTCAACTTCAACTTCAAGAACATGAATTGATTTATTCAGTAGGAATTCCTGGTGAATCTGATTGGTTAAAACGAAAGTTAGACGGACCAATCGATAAAGGAATGGAATTCAATTTAATGAACTTAATGGATTTATCTTCCTCGTCTGAAGCCGACTTCCATAAGAATGAAGATCGATCTAAACTTCCATCAACACGTGACAAGTTTGCCTTGAAAGGTCAACAACATTTAGGAGTCTTGTTGAAAGTTTATGACGACGATCAAAAAATTGAAATCGATTCAATCAAAACTCATTCTGCCATTGAAGTTGTCGGAATTTTGGATTGGATCGAGTCAGTATTCTTTGAATTCTCTGAAAGACTTTCTTTTTTCATTCTGAACTTTGAGATGCCTCTATGGTTGAATGCGATCTTGATATTTCACTTTGCCTCGATTTAGGTTCAACTCGATTCAAGAAGAAGATTTTATTCCCAAACAAAAAGCAGACGACATTCAGGCCAAAAAGGATTTAATACCCTGCATCCATGTCATTCTTTATCATTCAATACCTAATCTTGTCATGTCGGACCCATAACCTCGAACCCGATCGAAGAATGCGAAAAAATTAGGAGTCGTTTGATAAGATCTATCGCTTACAAAGCTTTCAATAATGATGAACTTGCGGCAGAATATTATTTGTGTTCAATTATCTCAAACGCGTAAGCCTAATTTTCTAAAAGAAACGCAAATGAATTTTTATCGATCCAAAAGCTAACGGGTTTGTGTTTCTCTAGACCAAGTGATGCAAAAATTTCAGTTCCAAACGAAACTTTACAGTTGAATCTAGGTCTAGAAGACTTCTTCGCCGTCACCGGACTGGTTGATTGCTTTGTTGTCCAAACTTTTGAGAAGAACAGTAACCGTTCCATTTGATATCCCTACCTTGAATTCGAATCGGCTATTTCCCATGTCAAATGAAGATCAGTTTGTTCCAGGTTCATTACAACTCACTTCAACAACACAAGTTATTTTGAACTCGATGAATATGAACGAAGGAACACTCAATTCATTAGGAGTCATGAATATAGGATGTTTGAAATTTTTGATAGAAGATCGAACTTTACTTTATCAATTTCCTTTCAATCAATTCTTTCTCAATCTTTCACTTGGATTTATTGTTCTAAGCTTTGAATCTAAGAGCTTTTTGGATCGATTTTGGAATTCGCCGGTGGTTATTGAAAAATGGATTTGTTGAAGAACCTGATGAATTTGGATTCCAACTTTGGAGAGAATATATTCAAAACTCGATTCAAAACTTGAGATCCATCAAAATCTCAGATGAATTATCATCGGTAAGTTTCCATCTTTCTCAAGACAACAAATTGAGTTGGTAACATCTCTAACACTTCGCTTCGAACTCTTTTTTTACGTTTCAGAAAATTCAAGAAAGTTTTGTAAATATCAGAAAATGTGCAAATGATTTAACAGAAGCCAATGTAAGATTAAGTTTAAATGAATTTTCAAGTCGATTGCAATTATCAAAATTAATTGGGACTCAACTTAATACAAAAGATTCAAATTGGACAAATTGGGAATATGCATGTAAATTAGAAAAAGTGAGAAAAATCAGATCTTCAAATCATTAGTTTCTTATTGTGATTTGTATATTTTTGTGGAAGGTGTGGTGGGATGGGGGTTTCAGGTGAGTTGAACAATATGTGGGCAGATATCTTCCGATGTGGAATTCATTTGAATGTATTTTAAAATTGTTTTCCCATGTGAAGATAGCACTCAGGTGACACCGATCCTCCATCACATAAGAGATGATATGTCCCTCATCAATATCAATCAAGATGTTCACAAAAAGAGTCATTTTCAGGGAGTTCCTCTCAGGGACAATCCTTTTTGCTCCCCTAGCTTGATCAAACATAACATTGAATTGCCAGTGAATGGGGAGCCTCAATATATGTTTTTTCCAAATTGGGCTTTCCGTGTCTGTTGTCTGACAGGGAGCTCTTTAAAATGGGCATGACTTCAAATCCAGACAAAAATCTTGGAATATACTAGGAGTGATGCCATCGTCTGATGCAGCTATGATGGATCCCAGGCTAGCTTTCCCCGAAAACGCCCTATAAACAAATCATAAACATCATCAATGGTTGATAAATTTCTCAACCTACCGAAACAATCTCATTTCAAACTGGATTCAATTTCAAGCCAATCAAGCCAAGGACATATACAAGATGAAAGTACTTTTTCGCAATCGTAGTGCGTTTCAGAGCAAAAAGTTCGGCCGAGCTGTGGCACATTGGGTATCTTCTTTTAAAGCTAGAAGAAGCCTGTCATGATAGCGATCTCTCACCTCCTGAGATTTCATGCATTTGTCTCCTCTCACGATTCAAATTCTGCTGACCGGAATGACAACGCTTTATCCCCCGAAGTGGATCGATAACTGAAACACTTCATGAGAGCCTGTCGTCCCTTTTGGGTCAGCGTCGTAAGGGTTTCAGCAAGCAAAGGGGCTTCAAGATCCATACCTTCAAGAGGGTGTCCAAGAAACATTGAGGACTTCGTGTGCCTTCTGGATTATTCAAGACCTCAACATCAGAGTAAAACACCCAAACCCGGAAAATCTTCGCCGTGTAGGGGATCTAGATCCTATCGGCTTTCCTTCCTTTCTACAATTAACGTCTCAATCTCACAAGGCGTGCGACAGACCACGAGTCTCTAACATTCGCAATCCGCTTTTGCTTTGAAAAGCTCTTTCATTATCATTCAATCCTCACTCGCTACAAATCTACAAATCTTCAAACTTTCGATTAGTTTACCGCGATGATCAAGACGGAAGTCTTGAAGCTCTTGAGCATTTACAACCTGTTACTTTTTTCTAAATTTCATTCCTCCATCTCACCTTCACTAACTGGAGTGATTGATTTCGCTCACGAGTCCGCTACAGGAATCACTGACTCGCATGATGCTGGAGCTGTTAAATCTACAATAGAATTAACCAGTGAAAGAATACCTCATTCTCAACCTCAACCATGCCGTAGAAACTTGGGTGGTTGCTTTGGTGGCTTATTTAGAGGTTCTGGAACGACCGCAAGGACTTCACAAGCTGGTATCAGAGGAGGTGAAACTGCCGAAGGATCTAGAGCTACAGACACTATTGCAAGAACGAAATCCTGGACATTCAAAATTTCATCAAACTTTCGTCGAGTTCAATCCAAACTGCTCTTTAGTTTTTTCCCTAAAACTAGAGAAAATTGGAATCTTGGTAAACACGCTCCCTTTCTTCAAAAAACCTGAAATCATGGATTGACTTAACTCCTTCCTCTCCTCACAATCTCAGTTCATGCGAGCTATGAAGAGATCCTTGCTAGTGCTATCAGATCGAGATCTGGCTGGGGGGATGAAGGAAGCTTGGCCGCAAGCCTCGCTGATTTGAGAACCGCTCGACGTCTATCAACAGAGGGCCTTGGATTCAATCCATACGTGAGACAATATATCTCGAAGACGGAGATCCCGAAGCTGCACCAAGATCTGGTGAAGTCGCTCGATACGGTATTCGAAAGTCTCCTGCGAGATCAAGGTGGAAGACCAGACAACATGCCATCAAAAGTAGCGATCATTAACAATCTTTTTAAAGCTGAACTTCAAGACCCGGAACTTGCACCGCTTCTCGAACCTTTTCAAAGTCGATTGAATCGTTTGAATGCAGGGCACCCAACGGAGTCTACCGACCTTCCGAGGACTTTATCTTCTGCTGAACTTCCACTCAAGCCATCTTTTTCCAATTTGAAGCAACTCAAAGCAGAGCCCACGCAGGCACAGGCAATAGATAGGTTTTGGAAAAAGATGAGTTGTGAGTTTCTTTGTAGAATTGTCTACAATGCATCCTTGATCCAATCCTTCAACAATGGATCCTAGGGCAATGAGAAACTAACCGCAATCTCTTCACTCTAAAAACACGCCCACAGTTCAATTCGATGCCGAACGGAATCATGTTGAATATCTTAGAAAAATACATAGGCCTAGGCTTACAGAATGGCGTAATCTACGGGATCTCACTCGAGATTTTGAGAGTACTACCTCCTCTTCAGAATGGTCAGCGCGAACTTTCCACCCAGAAAAATTCACCATACCGAATTACCAGAAATTAAGAAGAATAGGTACAGCTCGCAGAGCCTTGATCAAAGAAGCTGCTCGTGGTTCGAAAGCTAGATACTATGCAGAAAAAGGACTCACAGCTGACGAAATCTTGATCCGGCGTAAACTTGAACTTGAGACTTTATTGATCGAAAGTTTAGGAGAACATCACGACGAAGCAACAGAGATGGTACAAGATCTTATTACTAGGGCGCGGAGTACTACAGCACAGCCTTATCTCCATTACATCTATAACTACAATTCTCCCGCAATGAGATTCGAGACAAATCCATCATTCACATTGAATTGGCAAAGGTTTACACAACAACTACCTTTCACAAGAGGACGTGGAGAGACGCGGTCAGGCACGCCGGCGACGGCGCCAACGACTCCTCCACGTGAACTAGACTACAGTCGTTTTTCCGGTCCGATCGACATCGAAGATGGCCAAAATGTGGCATTTCCCGATGCATCTTTTGTGGGAGGAAGTGCCGTTTTCGATTACGTCGATCCTAGTGCTCAAAGGGAATTTGTTCAAAACGCATTACTAAATAGGCTTCATGGAAATTGATGATATTATGTTTGATACTGATCTGGATTCATTCACGTCCTCCTTTTGAAAACGTCAAGGGTTTGATGGAAATCCGCTCTTTAAAATTGCACACAATTCTTCAGAAACCACAAGCTTGTATTTGATTGGATCTCAAAAAGAACAAATCTGGTTGATTTTTATTCATAAAAATATCATGTGCTAGTCTTTTCCACACCACTTTCATTTTTTACTGTTACAGTGTCTGATCAACATTCATTTTTTTCTATTGTCTCTTATTTACTTTTTCGAATTGAATCACATACCGATCTCCAATTGTAACAATCACAGAGCGAACATTGTCGTAGATTTCGTTGAATCTCACATTGTCAAGATGTCAGTGTTGATGCAGTAGAGTCTAGTACTTTGTGCAGTGTTTCCAATGTTCAAGTCGAATTATCAAAGGATTCCAGTATCGGCACCCCCCTCTCTTGAGGTCATAGTCATTTTAACCTCGATCTTTTCAAGCCAGGCGTAACAGGCATCGCCCACTTGGCACAGCCATGTCGTTTCAATGTGAGCCAGTACTAATAGTAATCGTCACTGCATTGTAACACTCGCTTGCCAGCGGTTGTTAAGCCTGAGCCACCGCAACGCGAAATTAGTAAGCTTAACTGATCCCCTCTTGCGCATTCGTAAGCATAGGAAATTAGGTTACAGCTTCATGCCTCATGAAGTACATTAGGAACTGCTTCATGAGAGCCCCTTTCGCTGGATGGCTGTCTCGAGAATTCTAGGAAGTCTTTTAGTTACCTTCATGATGCATCGAAGACTTCTTGTGGCTCTGAAGCATTTGAGATATCAACTGACCAAGTTCAGAGCAAAGCTGTGATGGTGATCCTTGTATTTTAAGTTCGGGTCGGGTCTATAAGCGTGTGGCGCGTTCCTGGTGTAGTTTTATGATCTTTTCTTCCTCCTTTCCTTAAACGATTTCTTTACGCTTCATCATTCTCTTTTGACATACATAGGATGTTGTTCCCTGATGTTCACGTTGAAGTAGGCCTAGTTTTTCCAATCTGTCTTAGCTCTGGATACTCATCGCGTCCTCTCGTGCCATCCATGGTGTTGGTCCTTATGTAGGATCTTCCACCTACCTGGACAAGCTCTGATACATTGTTCTACGACACATTATGAAACATAACGCGTATCCAAGAAGGAATCAGATAGAAGACTATGTATACCCACGTAAAACTTGAACGGTCGGTCCCAGACTCTCACCAATTCCTTACGCTTGGTAAAGCCAACCCAATCTTCAGATAGCTTCAGATTCATTGTCGTTCATCAACTTCAACCCCGTTCGCTCTTCAAAAATCTTCGAACCTTCGATCAGTTTACCCATATGATCAAGACTTCAGTTTTAAAGCTCTTCAGCATCTACAACCTACTACTTCTTTCCAAATTTGATGCCTCCATTTCACCTTCACCACTTGGAATTACCGATTTAGCTCACGAGTCCGCTGAAGGGATTACCAACGCGCATGATGCTGGAGCTGTTGGAGCTACAATAGAAGTTGCAGGTGAAAGGTCACCTCATTCTCAACTTCGACCATGTCACAGAAGCCTGGCAGGTTGCTTTCCTGGCTTCCTTAGAGAACCCACGACGAGCGCAGGGACTCGAGCTGGCATCAGAGGAGGCGAGACCGCTGAAGTAACTAGAGGCGCAGAAACTCTCGCAAGACCCAGAGCTTGGAGCTTTTCAATTGCATCGCAGTTTCGTCGAGTTCAGTCCAAAGTGCTCTTTGCTTTTTTCCCTAGAACTAGGGAAAACTGGAATCTGGGTAAATACGCATCCTGTTCTCGAGAGAACAACCTGTATATCTTTGCCTTTATGATTGATTGACTTGACGCCTTCCTCCCCTTACAACATCAGTTCATGCAACCTATGAAGAAATCCTTGCCAGTGCTATCAGATCGAAATCTGGCTGGGGAGATGATGGAGCTTTGGCCGCCAACCTCGCTGATCTAAGAACTGCTCGGAGGCAATCAACAACTGGTCTTGGATTGAATTCAGACGTAATAAAATACATCTTGAAGATCGAGATCCCAAATCTACACCAAGGTCTCGTGAAGTCACTCGATAATGTCTTGAAGAATCTTCTGCAAGATGGCGGGGGAAGAGGAGGAGCTAGCGCCAATGTGGGATCTAAAGTAGCAATCATCAACAAATTTTTCAAAGCTGAACTTCAAGATCCGGGACTTGCACCTTATCTTGGAACCAATACCGGAATCGCTCCGCTCCGCTCTCAAATCGGACAAGTTTTTGCAGCGGAGCGGAGCCTCCGCTCTGACTGGCACCGCTCCGCTATCGCTATATTTTTGAAAAATATTCTTTGTCAAAGAGCGGAGCGATTACATTGCTATAAATCGCTCCGCTCCTCGCTATATAGCGCGGTCAAACGGCAGGAAAGCAAAAAAAAATATTTCGAATCTACGTGTACTTGCTTGAGCTATAGGCCTGGGCTAAGTATGAGAATAGTTCTAAAGTCTGTATAAAATGAAATAGAACAACCAAAAAGAAAAAATGAGAAAAATAAAGGGAAAATAAAACTTTCAAGTAATATATTTGATTTGATTCAACAAGATGAAGGTAATCCTATAAGACTAGCGTTTCTTTTTAGTTGTTCTTTGTATGTACTCTTGAAGGGCTTTTGCAGCAGCTGCAAAAGGTCCATTAGGAATCATGCCTTCCTTCAACCATGCCTGCGATCCGACCAGACGCTCCATTGTCTTTGGGAGCATGCTACCTCTTGATGGGGCACATACGTCGGCAGCAGCGGAAAAGGTCTGCTCGCAAGCACAGGAAGTGGCTGATACAGAGAGGTAGTCACGGGCGAGTTTTGCGAGCATCGGGAAATGTTGTTGATGCACCTGCAATCAAAGAAAAAGCACAGTTAGGTGGGTCAGGTGACATGGATAAGAAAGAAACAATGCATACCTTCCACCATTGGAGGGGGGTTTGGTCTGGAGTAATTCGGTATCGCCCTTGAAGATACTCGTCCAGTTCCGAGGTTGAAACTTGACGATCATCGGTTGACCCTCCAAAGACATCAAACTTGTCAGGGTCCACAAGCTTGCCAATATCTTGGGCTGGTGGGGTTGGCTGAATCTCTTTGCTTTCTGCCAAAAGATTCTCATATTCAGCTTCTAAGATGGCTTGAGCACTAGCTTCATGTTCTGGATAGTGCAAATTGAAGAATTTTCCTTGGAATTGGGGATTGAGTATTGTTGCAAGAGCTATGGTGTGGCAGTTGGCAGCCTCAGTTCGATATTCAGTGAGGTATCGTATCATTGTGTCAATCGCCAGGTTAAGACTTGTAAAATTCGTGTTTTCAACCTTATGTTGCTGAAGCTTGTTGATGACGCGCTTGTATTCGGCCAAGAGGATGCACCCCGTAGGACCATTGCCCTCAACTCAAGCAGTGGCATCCACAAATGTCTAACAATTGAAAGGAAGATCATGATCAGAAATTGAAACATGAAAGAAATAGGAAAGATGATAGTCGTACCTTTAAGACTTTATTGACTAACTCCACGGCATGCCACTTGGATGGCGAGATCATCACTCCCTTGAAAAGGCGAGCGTTACGATCGGCTGCTAGCATTGAGTTTATGACCTGCCAAGCCCAAAGACATGAACAGGATACACGAAAGAGATTGAAATCAATAATAGACAAAGCAAATTTGACTTACCTCCTGAGCCTCACAGGCAACCCTCCGACTTTCATAATGACTGTTCCAATGGGTCTTGCAAGGACGTCAAAGCATCTGACCCTTGTAACCCATACGCTCAGCGCGTACCTTGAAATCTTGGCGTCGGGCTGCACTACTGGCAATTTGTCCTGAGACAGTATCAATCTATGTGCAAAGAGACACAGCAAGAAGAATGTCAGCATCTTCAATTACAAATCCAGATGGAGCGGTTCTACATACCTTTGCTAGAGCCACAGCAACAACATCGTCCGCTGCACAAGCTCGGTCTGCACCGACACCTTCATCAACATCCTCGTCGTCGACTCCATCAGGTTTGTCAGGTAAGCCGTCTGAATCTTCAGACCCATCTGAATCGTGATACTCAACAGGATCCTCGCCATCGTTGACCTCAACACCGGGCACCGGGAGCGGAATGTTATGAGGAGTCGTTGGTTTGGACTTGGCAACCTTCTGACCAAGGCGTTTGAGACCATGTCCGACCACAAGGTTCAACTTGTGTGCGTAACATCGCACATGTTGAGTTGAGCTATCCCACGTGACAGGCTCAGCAGCTTTTGAGAACATCGATTGCATTTCGGTGGCCATTGTGGCATTGTTTCCTCCGCTGTCGGTAGTCTGCGCGACCATGTGAGGAAGGAAAGAAAATCAATAAAGAGAAGGATAGATTGAGAACAAAAAGGTTGAAACAAAAGAAAAAGTGAAAGTAAAAAAGTAAAAATTTCTGCTTATCTTCTTATGTAGGCCATGTCGAATCAGGAATTTGCCAATAGGCCTAGCCAGGAGAGCTCTGTAATGGCGCCAAGACACCATCTTGAGGGTAAGATGTGTTGATTTATACTCCCAGTTTTCGTCGATATAATTCGCTGTTGCTCCCACAAAGGCATGCCGATTCCCTTTGGTTGTCCAAACATCATGGACCAAACAAAACTTACCTTCATTTTCCTATCAATATGAAAAGAAAAGACAAGTCAAACATAGTTAGTAATCAAAATATGGTCGAATGATTGAAAACATTCTGTACTTACCTTCAAACAACCCTGGGTCAGCAACGTTCTCTGTAACGTTGCTTAGCGTTGCATAGCGGTTTTTTTGCCCCAGCAGCGTCACACAAAGCGCTCAAATGTGTAGCGTGTGGGACGCAGCGCAGCCAGCATTATGATTTTGGCTTTTTTTTTTGCCCGCTATGTTACAGCAACTGTACCGGATCTGTCTGTTACAGTTGCGTGTAACGGTGTTTTTGGCAGGCACCCCTTTGTTTCTCCTCGATCTGGCCAAGAACACCACCATCGACCTCCCGATCCGGCAAGAACAACCATCTAGCGCCTCTCAATGTGGACCATTGCATCAACCAACGAGGCCAGGGATGGATCCGAAGTAAGATTCAGATCGCAACCTTCCCAATCTGGCTTGCCAATCGCTCAAGATTCTCAATGTGGAGGCGGAGGTGGAAAAGCGTCAAGACTAGACAAAGCCAGGGAGCTTTTCACAAGTCTCAAGTGAGTCTTTATATTTCTCCTTCCCTCAGTTGGCTCCCTCTGAATCATACATTTGACCGTTCATTTTAATCACTTTACAACTTCACTTCTTTTCTTCATTTTCCCTATAGTTTGCATCTTTATCTTGTGTTATCTCAACAACTTTCGAGCTCGGCTTTTAATACTGGTGGTGGCTGTGAAGAAGTATGTTTTATCAATTCATCATAACCATTGCTATCCATTTCTTTCTTCTTGATCATCAATCAACTGTTGCATCAGGTATCATCGCTCTTAGCCGGATCTATGAGAATGATACCTGCTACATGAAGTCACAGGCACCCGGATGTGCCTGTGACTCCATGAAGCAACAGATTGTTGATCATCTCAAGTTCGAATGCCCATTCTAACTGATGCTATATACCTTTCATTTTGAACATACATTAGTTTTCATCATCGGTCATCTTTCATAGTCCAACACCCATCATGCCTTCATTACAACCTACCCCACAACGTCCAATTCGCGAACGCAGACCAGTTCTCACCCCAGGCATGGTCAGCCCAAGCCCAGACTCTCGCCGTCGTATCTCAATCGAAAGCAATGGATCAATCTCCCAATTCAACCAACCCAAGAAAAGATCAAACACCGTCTTGCAAGATACTGATGACGACGAAGTAGTCATATTAGGAAAAACCCAGAAGAAAACCAAAACCACGAAAACATCCAACAAAGAGAAAGGTAAGGGTAAAGGTTTGGCTCAGCCTCCAGCTTCGAGTTCGACCGAGGTAAGCTGTGATATATCATCATTTTTCTTGGTGTTTTCTTAAACTGATGATACAAACCCATATCCTTGTATAGGCAGTATCAAAGAATGTCACCAAGACAATACTCCGGGCTGATTTGGACAACGAAGATCGATCGGGTCCTAAACGGCGCAAGGCTGAAGGTGTTGATGACGAGAATGCTCGACTATTAGCTTATTATCATCCACCGATACACGGACCCAGGGATGTGAGTACATCATCTACATTATCATGCCATCTCTTTACTCTTCTACTACCCCTCTACTTGCATTTCTCACTACTTCTTTCCTTCCAACTCTCAATCATAGAACCACACCAAGCCACCTCTTGCCTATGCTTGCCGTTTCTGCGTCAAAAGGGGCAAAACAAATCCTGTTCGAGTTAGTTATAGCAATATGACCGGGAATCTCAAAGCCCATCAAGATGGTTCCAATCAAGACGGTCGATCCGATGTTGGCTGTGACGGTCGTAATAGAGCACGCGAGACACATCCCGAGTTACAAATTCCCCCATCGGTTGCAGAGCAACGCAAGAAGGCTGGAGGAAGTCTTGACGCTTTTGTCACTGTCACCCCAGCTATTCCGTTCAACAACACAACATTCAACCAGATGGCCTGTGCTTGGCTCATCCGGCAGGCTCAACCGTGGAACCGAGTCAAGGACCCCATTCTTCGAGGAATGGTACAGTACCTTAGGAAGGAGGCTAGTTTGTTTGGACGTCGCTGGGTTGCTGATGAGGCAAAGAGTATGAATTGGGGTTTGAAAACTTCAGTATTTTCTGAGCTGAAAGTTAGTCTTTTACTTTATTATGTACACATTACATATACTGATTGGATTATTACCACAACCAATCAACAGGGTCTCAAATCACGCTTCAACCTGGTCCATGACGGTTGGACAACCAAAGGAAATCGCCATGCGTTTATTGGTGCTTCGGTAACTTTTGTCGACGACAGCTGGACCTATCGTGTTAGACATTTGAGTCTTAAAGTTATTCAATGGCATCATCACGGTACGTGGCTTGCGGAACCAATGGTCCATCTTTTAGTGAAACATAGTTTGTTTCAAAAGATCAGTTGTTTCTCTTCTTGGATTTTCATTCTATTCCTCTTTTTTTGGATCCCTCATCTAATTTCGCCTCCAATTCTTTTTGCTGACATTTTTTTCTTTGATGTCTCACATGTTGTGCCAGACCACAGATTCTGGGTCGAATAATAAGACAATGGCCGCGGAAATGCACCGACAATTCCTCGAACAGCCTGACACTGATGGCTATAATTGGAATCCTAACTCTATGCACATCTTCTGTTTTTGCCATAAGTTAGCATTGATAGTCAATGCTGGATTGGCCGAGCTGGGTGTTAAAGCTCCTCCCCCCATAAAGGTAAAGTCTGCTGCTCGGGGAAATTTTCCAAATGTAGGTAGTATTATTGAAGAGGATGAAGACGAGTGTAGCAATGAGGAAATTTTACCTAGAAGAACATCTTCTAAAGAATCCACCTCTCGAACTCTCGACAACGAAGACAGTGAAACCGAACATGATCCTCAGGAGCTTCAAGAGGATATTGTACCTGCACTTGATCTGGACGATGAGGGAGAGTGGGATAATGCTGATGCTGAAGATGAAGCCTGTCCCCAGCTTTCTTTGGAAAAGGAAGTGGCACCGACTCACCGAAGGGAAGCGAACAACACAGATTTCATTCTGAGAAAGGTCAGCACTAAAGTAGCAATCTATCTATTCGTCTTAGCTGTACTAATAGTTCCCTATATTCTTATGTTTGTCAAAGTAGGTTGACTTCTTGACTCGTCGCATAACTCGTTCAGCAGCTTGGCGAAAAGAATTTGAGCGAGTAAGCAAATCCAAAGGCTTTAAAGGTTCTTTGATTGCTGGTTATGGCATACGCTGGAACATTAAGTATGAAAGCCGACACAAAGCGTGGCTTGCGAGAGAGGTAAGATGGCTGTCCCTTCTCACTTGTGATTTCATGATTGCTGATGGTACCTCAATCTCTAGGTAATCGATCAGCTTTGCAAAGATGACTTGGACGTTGTTCATGCAAAAAATCGACCTCCCCGTAAGAACGGTAAGCCATATGGATACTTTCACGAGATGGAGATGACGTCGCATGATTGGGCCCAAGTACATAAGGTCAACAATGAGCTTGAGGTAAGTGTTACACATCCAAACTATTCATGAACTTGACTCTGATAATCTTCTACCCCTTCCTGTATATCCGCCATCCGTCCATCCACTAACCCAGCCGTTCTTGAAGATGACTCTCAAGATGGAGGGTGACGGGCCAACTGGGTGCATGGTCATCCCACAGTATGTTGAGCTGCGAAATACACTCGACCGGAAGATCAATCGATTGTCAGCTTCCGATGCAATGTATCCTATGCTTGCAAAGATGCAAGAGAAAACTGAAGAATACCTCAACGAAGCGTTATCTTGCCAGACCCTGGTCATGGCCACTGTATTGCATCCATTTTTCCGGCTTAAATTCTTCAAGAAGTGGTTTGGCAACAGTTCTAGTGTCACCATCAAGGCTGAATCCGATTTGCGATCGCTGTTTCGGGACTATGAGCAAGCCGCACCTGACAAGACCCCGATTCCAGCTCGAACCTCACAGAAATCTGCCGATACTGCAGGGTCTTCACCAAAGCCTGCCATCTTTGCTCAGGACAGCGAAGAAGAGTCTGACACTGAAGATGTCTTGGACACCCAAATTGACGACTACCTTCGCATGGAGCATAAGATGAGTGCTTCTGAGTTCGATATCACTGATCCTCATGCAGCTCTTCAGTGGTGGCGGGTAAGTTTACAATCTTGTACTATTACAGAACTCAAATTTGACATAGGTTACGTTTTAAATAGGTCCATGAAAAGCGATTTCGAATTCTAGCCATGATGGCACGTGACTTTTTAGCTTCGACTGCATCATCTTGCGCTGCCGAGCGAATCTTTTCTTGTGCTAAGGATGTGTGCACAGCTTGCAGAGGTAGCTTACTGCCTCGTACAATTGAAATATTGGTATCTAGTCGACTATGGTTGAGGGAGGGTGTGGACCTAGGGGAGAATTTTACTGATCTGGTGGCTGCTTTCAAGAAACTCAATGTTCAGATGGATTAGATTCTGATTGGAGCCTTGTCTCACTTTGCTTTCTATTCAAAGTTTTACCTTTCAATTCTTTTCATTTATTTCAAAAACCTTTTTGTTATAATCGTTTCTAGTTTATCTCCTTCTTTCCTCACCTTCAACTCTTGTTTCACTTTCTAGTCACTCGTTTGAGAGCGCCTTACTTGCTTTGCAACCTTGGCTCATGTTTTGTTTATTTTTTTCTGCTCTACATCAATTTCACACTTGTTGCGTAACGGTTGCGTATGTTACGTTGCGCCATCAGTGCTACGTCACAAGAAATACAAATTTGGCATTTTTTTATCTCGCTACGTTCCGCACAGGTAACATGAAATCATTTTTCCTGTCATCAACGCAACTTAAAAATGGCTTGTTGCGCGACGTTGCGTTGCTGACCCAGGGTTGCTTCAAAGTGTTAATCGCCTTGTTGTGCAGACCAGCAAAAAGGTCTACAGACTGTTGGGCAGCCCACGTCGATGATCGAACCACAGCCCCACGGTTGCTTGAATCAAAAGCTGCACGGAGTGCAGCATCTTGAAATCTAGCCCATGGGAGTGCATGTCGTACAACCCACAGCACTAAGATCATGTTTAAGAGGTCGGCTGTGAACTTGGGTCCACTAAAATATGTTGTTAAGGTGGACTTTTTGTCTTTTTTCTCGGCTTCGAGCTTTTCTTTGTAGGCGAGAGGGAGAACCATACCAGCTGCTATCGCCTTGTGTCTTTGCGTGCAAACCGGACGTGATGCGCTTCCATCTCGATGACACCATAGGCTCCAATAAGTAGTTGGTCCCGTTTTGTATGTATTCTTACAAAATTTACATCTGAAGGATCGACCCTACATGAGAAGAGATAAAACATGAATTAGTACACACATCATGTAAAAGAACATGGAAAAGAATGTTATGGTCAAAAGAAAATCACTTACTTTTGGAGTTGTCTTAGGTGCATCATAGTACTCGCAAAGGTACTCCACATCAGCAGATCGTTTTTCATTATAACCGAGTTCCCTTTGTTCATCCTCAACAATCTCGATATCAGAGACTTGATCCACATCCATACCCAAAGGTATTTCATAATCCTACATCAGATAAGGAATGATTAAATCAAATGTGTAGTCCGACTATATATAAGATAATATGAACTCACATTGTCTTTAGATCTCTTGACAGATGGACCGGCACTACTTGTGCTTCATGCAGGAGATCAAGATCAAGCACGTTTGCTGCTTGAAGAAAGGGTCTAGGGAAAGATAGGAAATCAAAAAACAAGTAACAGTCAGCTATGTTGGCAGATATCAGAAAGAGAGAGAAAAGAAAGGGCAAACAACTAACCTTTCCCTTTGCAGTTGACTTCGGTTTTGCTGCTGGTTTTGTTTGTTTCTTTATAGAATCCGGGGGTCGAGGTGATGCAGATCGATGAGAAAGTGGTCCAGCCTCAGAATCATCTTCGTCTGGCAACGACAAAGTGACAGCTGCTCGGGAATCTCGGGGTGGAACAACAAAGCCTTGTTGTTTGCGAGAAGGACTTGGTGGCCGGAGTTGTCGAGTTGATGATGAACAACCCGGAACGAGAAGGCTTTGTGATGATGAGGTTTGCGATGATTTCCTAGAAAGACCCATTCTGAAAAGGCAGCAAAAACGAAGGGATAAGAGAGAGGTCTTAGCAAATAATACTATAAGATAGGTGTGGCAGTGGAGTGTTGAAGATGGATTAAAGTGATCAATACAATACACTCACCTTAAGATCATGAATAAAACCAGTCAAACATGTGAACCACAATCCAGCCAGATGAAGAAATTGAGCCAGGGATCTTGCTCCATCGTGTCAAGGGGTGTATTGGTGGCGTTGTCCATCTGGTGGTCACGGTGAAAATGCCGAAAAGGGAAGGTGTTATAATCGATTCGAGGTGGTATATCAATTGGCGCTGTGGGTACAGGGTTACTGGGTTTCCTCTGCTATAGAGCGGATGAAACTCGGCCCCGGAAGAATACGGAGCGGAAGCTCCGCTATAAAAATTCATCCTACCCGTGAGCGGAGCGCAAGCTCCGCTCTTTAGAGCGGGTATATAGCGGACGGGCCGGACCGCTCCGCTATTGCTCCGCAACCACTTTTTCATGCGGAGCGGTTCTGGTATTGTTGGAACTCTGAAAGGTCAATTGGATAAACTAAATGCATTACATCCTTCATCAGATTCTACCGCCGTTCCAGAGACACTATCTTCTGCTCAACTTCCACTCAAACCATCCTTTTCAAATTTGAAGAAACTGATACCACAGCCAGAAGAGGCTCCATCAAGACGGAATTTTTGGGAAAAGATGAGCTGTGAGTTTTCTGTATAAATGTTTAGAATTCACTTGTGAACATGTATCCTAGAGGTTGGCCGACTGAATGCAATCTCCTTTCTCTTCCAAACAAACCCACAGTTCAATTTGATGCTGAGAGGAATCATCTGACTTATGTTGCAAGGATAGATAGGCCTATACTCCCAGAATGGAGTCCGGTACAACAACACACTTCTCAATTTGAACAAACTACCTCAGCTGAAGCATGGGTAGAAAATGTTTTTCACCCAGACAAATTCACCATATCAAATTACAAAAAATTGAAAGAGATAGGCGCAGCTCGTAGAGCTTTGATTCAAAAAGCTACCCTTGCTTCCCAGGCTTCATACTACCCTGCAGGAGGAGTGAGTGATCTCAAAATTTCCTGGAGGCGTAAGATTGAACTCGAAACTCTATTTATCCAAAGTCTTGGAGAACGTTCAGATGAAGTCAGGGAGATAGTGCAAGGTTTTGTTGATGGGTTGGATACTGCTGCTCCACATTTTCTTGTATTCATCGATAACTTCAATTCTCCGACAATGAATCTAGGTACAAATTCAGATGTTGCAATGTTTCACTTGAGGGAGCAAGTACAATTGCCTAGAAGAGTCAGACCTACAGCAACCCCGCCAGGTACTTCACCACCATCCCATACTCAACTCGATCACGAGACCCATCAACACCCAACCACTCTCGCAGATGTCCAAAATGTGTTCTTCCATGATGTATTTTTTCGAGAAGGTGATCAATTTGGTCACTATTCTCCTGACTCTCACAGGAAATTTGTTGAAAGTTCATTATTAAGAAGGATTCAGGCATCTCACTGATCAACTGCTTGCACTCCTTTGGGTTTTTTTAATTATCCTTTTTGAAAAAAGTCTATGGAGAGTATAGATGATTTGTTTGATGAGAATTGACTTTGTAGAGCTAGATCTGATTTGTTTAAACTTACTGGTATGTACTTGAGTGAACACATGAAAGAGAAGAAATCCATTTAAGTATACAGTCATGACATATCCTTTCCCAGTCTTTTCATTCAAAACCATGTACCTGGTTTCTTCTTCCTTTCAATCTCTGAGCATCAGTCTTTTTTTCTATTACCTCTCCAACTACTTGAGTGACACATTTAATCCCACATTGTCAACATGTCAATTTTAGCAAATGAATCAAAAATGCCTAGTAGTTCAGGTGCAGTAATTTGAATATGTAATAGGTAAGAGCTTCATCAAGTTTCAAAGTGTCATGTTCACTCTGATAACTTTGTTCCAGATCAATGTTGAATGTGTTGATAGATATACCTGGCTGTGTCAATTCAACATAGATCATGAAAGTATATTGATACAGTCAAAGCACGTTAAGATTCAAAAGTTGATGAGCTTTTGAGAAGTATCTGGAATTCAGAGCAGAAGATATTGTCAAGCCTGTCATAAAAACCACAGAAATATAACATCAGATTCATGGTGTCTGTGTCAATGTCATGGTCAATTGGAATTTCTGAATATTGGGACTTACATGGTCCCAAAAACCTACAGGCCAATTTCCAGGATACTTAATCATAAGATACCAGGCTGCTTCATTGCCCAAAGGTCAAGCTAGAAGTCCTCCACAGATTGTTGGATAGGTAATCATCAACTATATTTGTTCTTTGGAATCTGTTTGACTGATTTTTGTAGTTGAGGTTGTCTACGTTTGAAATGAATTTGCTTTTGTTTTGAAGAGTTAGATACATGGGAAGAGGCTTTAGCAAACCAGGTAAAGGAGGGTAAAGTTAGAATTAAGTGGAGAAATCTTGTTTTTTTCTTACAGGCACTTGAGGTAAAGAGCAGCCACAAATATAGAGGTGCTTTGTCAGAGCCAATCCATTTCTCTTATAACATCATATTATTATTTCAACAATAACGAATTGTAACTTTACCTTGCCTAAGTTATACTTAGGTGAGGTAAAGTAATTACAACGGGAGGTAGGCCTCGTAAAGGGAGAGTTCTCATTTCGAACTACTCTCTTTACGCCTGATCGCGTCAGAGGACTGCGAGAGACTTCCTCCTGAGAGACCTCTTTTGAGTAGAGGTCTCAGGTTGTTTTTAGAAGAGAGGTTTCTAGTAACCTCTCTGACTTGGTTGTCTGATTTGTTCGTTGGGGAAAGGCAGTGATCCCTGTTTCTCTGGGCTGGCGACAGGCCTGAGCCTAGCGGGCTTTCCCCCATCCTGTCGCTTGATTTGGTCGGTCCTGCTACTCTGGCGTTTGTTCATCTTATAATGATGAATTACACATTGAATCTGTAGAGCTTGAGAGGGTAGGCACGGAAATACTGAGGTGAAATTTAGAGGAAGTAGATCTCATACAAATAGAAATGAATAAGCGAATCTAGGATGACGTTGCGTGTGAGGCGGAGGACGTGGCTTTCCCTTTCAAGGTATTTCGTTTGACCCATTCGGCTGGGGGGTCATCGTCAACGAAAGGGTGTTTCTCCCAAGTGAAGACGGATAAGTCATAGACTGTCTTGAAGCACGGGATAGTGTCTTCTGAAACTTGTAAAGCGCGTTTGGCTGCTGCCCAGTCTTGATCGTTCCACGTCCGTTGGTACAAGGAGTGGCACGATGATTTCCATCTCCCGAGCTCCTTAATTGAGTCTGTTGACACACCTGCTCTTGTTAGCAGGGTTGCGCCTCCAATCCGAAATGAGTGTCCTGTCATCCTGGAGGAGGCACCCCAGGCTCGGGACATGGCCTTTAGCATCGCCTGTCGAGTGATTCCCTTTAGTCCAGTCGTGTCTCGTGACAAGAATAAGCGTGGGTCACTGTCCTCCCAGAATAGTGAGTCGCTGAGGTTACGGAGTGCTTCTACTGGGCATAAAACGCCACCCGTTGCTCGTAGATTGATGTACTGTACTTCACCCGGGGCTGCTGTCTTGGCCTCGCGGATGCCTATCACGGCTATCGTGGTCCCTTCAGACTTGTGGAAGGTAAGGTCTGCTCGCAGGATGGAACTAAGGTCGTATTTGCTGTACGTGGTGTTCTTGTATACTAATTCTCCTAGTCGAGCAAGACCCCAATACGCCACGAGGGCCAACACAGTCAGTCCTAGAGGGTTGGGTTCGTGTTCGGCGATGTCTCCGACTAGTATGATGAGAGCTTTTGGTGTTACTGGTTCGCGGTTTGCTTTGATAATTGGGGTTCGTGCCTCTAGTCTTTCGGAGGCTCTAAGTATGGATTTGAGTCGAGTAAGTTGGATGTCTGGGAAGTAATGGCCGTGAAACGCGTGCCAAGTGCGTAGTGCCGTCAAATACTTCCGGATGGTCTTCACTTTAATTGGTTTGTTGGCGTTATAACCATCAGTGTTCTCTCCTGCCCACACTATGAACCGTTCAACTACGTAGTCTACTGCTGGAAAGGTCTGAAGGTTCTTCTCCTTCGTGAACTTCTTAAATTTGGAAACTCCCGACGCATAGGATTTGATGGTCGTTCTGTTCCAAGCTGCACGTAGCATATGGCGCTGTGCCCTATTCAGCCTGAGAGGTGACTCGTCGTCGATTCTAATAAAAGGCGTTATGTCCTTCATGTCCTATCAGGTCATTGGGTAGGTTCAGTAATGGGACGGGTAAATGTTTCCGTGACGTGATGTACGTCTGTTTGTTCGATGAAGTACTCACCGTGGGCTGGACAAAGTAGTTCTAGGATTTGGAAAGCTTCTGACCCGTATGATGGACTTGTTAAGGGGTTGCGCGTTGTAGAGCTGTAATGGTTAGAGTTGTAATGGTGCTTTAGGTTGAAAGGTTGAAAAGGGGATGTCTGGAAAAAAGGATCGTTTTGTGAAAATTTTCTTGGTCTCGAAGGTATTGTGTGGGAAAGGATTGTGGAAGGTCGTTCGTATTAGAGAACTTTGGTCCAGTCTCGGCTGAGTTACTTTTACTCCGCTTGCGGTTCTGACAGTTTGGGAAGGGCGTGAGAATAATTCTCGTTAGGTAAACTGCTCGACACTTAGGTAAACTTTGACATCATCGTCGCGTCATAAACTCACTTCCTCTGGGAATTGTCTGGTCTCTCGTTATGTCTTCCAACCATCGAGTGAGGTCATGAGGGACTTCTATGTGTACTTGGCGATACCAGTCCTTACCGGATGGTAGGCCTCTTGAAAGTAGGTCTGCCGCGTTGTCAGCGGAGCAAACGCGTCTCTGTTCGAGTTGGCAGTCTGAGGAGAAAAGTTGTTCAGATATACACTTCCACTCCTCATTCACCCAGTAGTCCCGTGACCTTTCCTTCCTGAGAACTCCCTCTGTTGTTGTGTTGTCCGTAAGGACGAGAAATCTCTCACCTTGAGTATCCCTCAGCTTTTTTACTATCAAGAAACCTAGCCGTATTGCTACGGTTTCTAGCCAGGCTATGCCACGTTTTGGTTTCCCTGGTGGAAACTCCCAACCTTCCTTCAGTTGGAACTGACCCCACGATTTCCCTACGATGACTCCTATCCCGAAGGATGTTGACGCATCTCCAACCCAGCCTATGTTGTTTATGAGTCGTGTTTTCATCAACCGCCGTCTAGGGATTTCTGATAGGGCTTTGGACCAAACATTCATGTTGTCTCGAACTTCTTTTGGCATTTTCCTCTTTGCTGATAAGTTGTGCCATTCCATCAGCCACCGAAAGTTATTCGTGAGGAAACATCGTAGTTGAGGTGCAATATAAGCTACATGGTTCAGTCTTCCGTTCATCTTCTGAACTTCTTTGTGAGAGAAATCGATCTTTTTCCGGAATTCTTCTAGTTGAGCTTGTCTCTTCTCCAATTTCCCTGGAGGTAATTCAACAGTTTTGTTCGTCGTGTTCCACAAGAATCCGATATATTTTTGTTCGTTTCCAAAATGTGAGAACTTTGTCTCGTTAGTTTTAACTCCTAAGTTAGAGCTGTAACTGACTATCTCATCCATATTTGTCAGTTTGTCTTTCCGTTTGATTAGTAGGTTATCATCAACCCATCTAAATGCTTCTTCTAACTCGAATTCAGCCTTCACTAGTTCTTTCCAGGCGTCGGCTGGTCCGCCAAAGCTTCCACAGCCTGCGACTCCCCCAAACGATATAAACATATCTAAGTAAAGAAGTCCTTCGAAATCACACAGTAATAGAAAGGGCCATTGATCAGGTCTCGTCGGTATTTGGCGATAGGCCTTAAGCCAATCGAATAAGGCTATCAGTAGTTCGTGTTCGGAATTAGCTATGAAGGTGTAGACTTTGTAGAAATTGTCCCAGGTGGTTCGAAAGTCCTCTTTGTTGACGAAGGAGTTCACGCTTGGTATCTTCGGGTTATTTTTCGGGAAAGATAAATCGTTGATGGGTCTGAATGACCCATCTCCATTTGTCACTGCTCCCATGGGGCTTGATCGAAAGAATGAATAGTGTTCGTGAACTTCTTCTTTTGTTAAAGGGCCTATCATTCGTCCTGCTTTAACTTCTTCTTCTAAATTATCCTGTATTTTCTCTTTTGCTAGAAGCGCTGAATTATGATTGGAGGGGCAAAAGTGATTCAATCCTTCTATTGTATGACTCGGGATCCCCTGGTCGAAACCTGATTGAAAGCCTTCTAACACGAAGTTATAATCTGGGAGTAGGTTGTGTTTCTTCAGTTCTCTTTTCCATATGTCTATTTTCATGTCACACTTGGCCTTTGTTGGCCATTCTATCTTCTTCACTTCTTTCTCCTTTTTCTGGGTGTCGTGGCTTGTTCCTGTCTCTTTATTGACATCCAGTGTCTCGCTTTGATTTCGTTCTATTCGCTCTATTGGGAATCTCCTTTATGGAACAACAGGTGTGCGACGTATATTAATTTCAAATTTGGTTTAGACAAACAAGATCAACAATAGTGAAAAGAGGAAGGGAAATTCAGACAATTAAAGGTTTTGAGTGTTAACTGGTACATTAGTGGTATTGGAAAGGAGGATGAAATTTAAGGATTACAAATGTATCCCTTCTATACGATGTGATAGAGATGGGAAGGGAACATCGCTGGTTGACTCTGGTCTCTAAATCGTAACAGACTTGCTTACGTTTCCTGCTGACCCTGTCTTCCGTTTCCACCTCTGTTACCTCTCCAAGACCCTCTCCCTCCTCTAGCCGAGAATTTCGTGCTACTCGTAGAGGGGTTCATCGGGAGGGTGTTCGTGTGGGATGTGTTGTTTGCCGATCCTTGGGATTGGAAACCCATGTGGATCGATGGAAGGGGAGCCTGTTGAAGGTTGTTGAAAGGTTGATATTGGTTTGGATGAAACGTGTTGTAGGTTGACGAACTGCCTTGTTGATAAGGATATTGATTATAGTTCTGTGTCCTAGGGGGTCTTTGCGCTCTACGACGACCTCTGAAAGCTTGTTCTCTTGAACTAGACGCTATAGGTTGAGTGTTTGTAGAGTTCATATTTGGTTGATGTTGTGCCGAGTAGCCTATTGGTTGACCGGTCTCAGGGTGTTTAAACTCTAGTTTACCTCCTTTTGCGTAGGGGTTTGCTTCACCCCCGTTTGTTTCGCCAAAATTCAGAGATTTGTCCTTAGCCTTCTCTTTGTACTTCTTCATGAAGGTACCGATATCTTTTATCGGATGTCTGTCCTCTCTTTCTACGAAGACACTTTTACGACAAAGTATGTCGTATCGTAAAGCGGTCATCCAACACTCAGTTGAACGTCTAATGCAAAGTGGTCAAGTTAGTACGTTATCTCGTTGCTTGTAGATACATTTGGATCTCTTACTTCACTTGTTTGACATTCTTTATGTGGTAGTTTATCCTTTCGGCCACTTCTGGGTGTTTGTGCATCATCAAGTATCTTTTAAAGAGGCTGATATTCTCAGTCCATTCTCCGTAGCTCATTTTGTACTCAGATGGTGCATCTAGGCCTTTATTCTTGGTCGTTTTGGAGGATGATGAATGGTGTTGTTTGTCGTACTCTTCACTGTCTGCTAGAGCGAAGGATTGGTCGAAAACCGTAAGTGGTATAGAAGAGTGCAGTTTCTTCATCTGCTTGCGCCAGAAAGGTTGAAGTTGAACTAAGTTAGAGTTGGGGATGACTCCTATCTCGACTTGTATGCCTTTGCGTCTCTTCTTTTTCTTTGACGATTGCTGATCTTTCTTCTTCCCTTTATCGTGTTTTGCCGTTTTCTTCCCTTTTCCACGTTTCTCGAGTCTTCTCAATTCTCTTTTCGCTTCTTTCAGTTGTTTCTGTGCCTTAGCTATTCGCTTCCGTTTCCTGTCTAATGTCATAACCGAGTCAGGTCAGAAGGTAGTCTTATGAAAGTAGTCTTATTATATGTGAATTTAAGGGGAAGTACTAGAGTATTTAGGATGAGCATCTCGTTTCCTGTGCTCTGTCTTGGCAGTAGAGTTATTGACTCTCTTCTCTCTTATGAGAGGTGCTCGAAAATGGGAGCTGACGTTCTTCTCTCCTCTGAGAGGCGCTCTAACATGGGAGCTGACGTCTCTATCTTCTCTCCTCTGAGAGGCGCTCTAACATGGGAGCTGACGTCTCTATCTTCTCTCCTCTGAGAGGCGCTCTAACATGGGACCTGATGAGGGAGGTATTTAGGTATCACAGGGGGGAAAATAGAAGCTCACATAGATGTGAGCAGATAAAGTTTGGAGGTTTCTCCAAGATTGTTTCCAGTTTGTTTCCAATTTTCTTCCAATTTTCCTCCAGTTTTCTTTCAGCTCATCATCTGATCAAATGGTCAGCATGGCCTGAGCAGATGAGTTAGGCCTTCCTCAGGCTTTATCCCTTAGCCAAGAAGCCTGAGGGAGGGCTAGCTCATCTGCTCAGGTCATGTTGGGCCCTCCAATGCTCAGCCTGCACAGTCAAGTGACCAAATGCGACTGAGTGGTGAGAGACCCAACCAAACGCAAAAAACACAATGGGAACCATCCCTTCGGATGCTTCTGATCCCAGGAATGCCACTGAGGACTAGGTGAGCAGCTGTGCTGAACTGAGCAGCCCCTCAGCTAATACTCGGTGACATCCTTTGAATGCTTCTGATCCCAGGAATGCCACTGAGGACAAGGTGAGCAGCTGTGCTGAACTGAGCAGCCCCTCAGGCTCAGCTCATACTCAGTGACATCCTTTGGATACTTCTGATCCCAGGAATGCCACTGAGGACTAGGTGAGCAGCTGTGCTGAACTGAGCAGCCCCTCAGCCAATACTCAGTGAAATCCTTTGGATACTTCCAATCCCGGGAATGCCACTTAGGACTAGCTGAGTGGCCCCTCAGCCAATACTCAGTGACATCCTTTGGACCCTTCTGAAGGTGATTCTGAGTATACAGTGACGTGTCAGCTGGGTCCTGAGCACTCATCCATGCTCAAGAAAGGCTCACCCAAGATTAAGATGAGCATGCTTTAGCAAACTCAAGCAATACCTAAGTATTACAGGCTGAGCATGTTGGCACCACCAAAATGGTGAATTGAAAGAATCTGAAGGAAATTGAAACATTTTTGGAGTCATCAGGAAGGTACCCTCTGCTCACATCTATGTGAGCTTTTATTTTTCCCCCTGTGTATTGAACGTGTATGGGGTTTATTAAGCGAATTGATTGGTATCGGAAGGAAATCGGTAGAAAGGATATGGATATGGAAATGGAATGTGGGGTAGATGGACATGGAATGTGGGAAGGAGTGAGAAGACGAGGTAATATCTGGGAAGTGTAGTTTACCTTTCTTTGACTTCTCCTCTGAAGTTTCAGATTCTGAACCTGAACTGGGTCCGCTTTCGCTTTCTCTGCTAGAATCCGATGTTGAATCTTCACTAGATGATAGTTGGTCCTTGTTTGAGGATCCTAATGATGCTGATGATGCTAATCTGCTCGATAAGCTTCCGTCTGATGAGTCATCGCTAGAGTTCGGCTGTTTGATGTTGGGTTCGTCGTTAGGTTCATCGCTGCCTGACTCTTCATCCAGGAAATCGTTTTCTGGGTCATCACTGTCAGATGAGGAGTCTTCATACTCTGATCGAGGTGCTCGTATCGGGCCGACTGGGTAGGGGATAGGGACATGACCGATGTAGTTCTTCGTGATCTTCGGTGGAGCTTCTTGGGTGTGTTTATCTGAGTTAGGAAGGAGTGGTTCGTCTACTGCTGTTTCTCCTTTGTCTCTACTTCGATCCTCGTTTCTTTCTTCGACTTCTAGATCGTCCATGTTATCCTTTCCTTGGATCTTGCTAGTTGACTGTAGTGGTCTATTACAGGCGTTAGAGTTCGATGTGTTCGTGGTGGTGGTCTGTGTCAGAGGTTGTATTTCTAAACCTTGAATACGTCGACTGGCTCTAATTGCCTTTGCTTTAGCCGTTTCAGCTTTAGACATCTAGTAGATAGTTCGAAGGGACAAATTTTCTATAATTGTAGGGGTTTGTAGTATATAATCGTATAAGGTTTGTAGAGTATGATTTGTAGTATAAGGTAGGGTTCTTATGGATTCAAAACTTAGAAAGAGTAGAGTATCGAAAAAGAAAGTAAGGTTAGCTATCAAAAGTCGAAATAATAATGTATCTCAGGAGAGAGAGTATCGTGTATGTGTAGAAGGGGAAAAGGGAGTGAAGGAGCTACTGGATGAGATCACAGAGAAGAGGGGCAATCCGAGCTACGGGTATATACCTTTCCTAGGGATATACACCAGGGGGTAATGGTCCTCGGCCTCGGCCGGTTCCTGTGACGATTTCAAAGTTTTCGTCACAAGAACTCCCCAGGAAGGTGTGGAACCGGTTTCGCCGAAACCGTTTCGGACACCGTTCCACAACCGCTTATGGAACGACCTGCATCTCGCAACCGTTTGAGAACGGCTGCAGAGGTGGTGGTGAAGCGGTTTGTTTGACACCGATTGCAATCGGTGTCAAACTGTCAATATATGAACAGTGACCGTATGAAAACGGTCACTGTGCTCGCTCGAACGTGCAACCGGGGCCACGGTGGCACGTTCACTGTTCCTTCAAGATGATGATGTGCACAGCTCATCTCCACACGTATCATGTGACTATGATACGTGTGGAGATGAGCTGTGCACATCATGAATGCTAAGCTCAAACATTTGAGAGGTAATGTAATGTGTAATTGTTGGTTGCCATCGCCGGAGCACATGATGCCACACACGTTCCGGCGATGGAGATGCACCTCTAACTTGTTTTATCAGTGTGGAGGGAGATTACACATTACACAGCCTGGTAAAGGATTATAAAAAGGCTGGATCCCCACTCCTGTTGGGTATTCATCACACAGTTTACACATCATCTCTTACGCACATTAAATTTTTTCTTGGAAATTTGTTATTTTCTGTTTGTTTGCAGCTACAGAGCTTTTGGTGCAGATCAGCAAATCTCATTGTCTATCTATTCATCTTGGGTGTTTCTGGAGTCATCAGCAACACGTTTCTTCTTGGTTTCTGAATTGTGCCTGCTACTTGCTCATATTGAGATTCCTGGTTTGTTCAGAAGGTTGAAATTTTCCATGGAGGATAATCCTGAATCATGTGAGTCCTGAACTGATGTTGCCAAATCCTTTGGGAGGTGCTGTTGACCTTGATCTATTAGTCTTTTATGTGCATCATACAGGGGCACATGGGGTCCCTAGGTATGGGTGCAAGCTGTGTGGGAACCGGGCAATGAGTGAGATCAACGCACACATGAAGTCTGCTTCTCACCTAAAAAAGGTGGCAATGCGCAAGGCGCTGATGGAAAAAAGAGGGCATCATTCTCAGCATGTCCTGCAAGAGCCACATCAACCCTCCGAACAAGGTGGAACTTCTGCTTCAGGCCAAATATCAAATGCTGCAACTCAGATGTCCCCAACTCAAGATGATTATGCTCTAAACTCAGTGCAAAGGAACTCAACAGCACCCTTATTGGGCCATAGACAAACACATTCATATGTCAACATCACCCCCCCAGTTCATGATCTTTTGCATTCAGGTGATCACAATATGCAACACACACATTCACCTGCCCACACTTCTGGTCTTGGGAAGCAAAGTGCCTTGCCACCACCCATATTTGGCCAGAGACAAAGACATTCATCTGTCAACATGACACCCCCGGTTCACAATCGTTCACATTTAATTCTATCAAGAGTGATCATCGAAGGATCAGCTTAGCCAAAGTTTGCATCGAAAAGATGCAACCAAGTCATACATAACATGAGATTCACTTACAGGAGGTGAAACCAGGAGAGTCTTAGGTGGATCAATCATAGTGACATTGATCCCAGCGCGTTTCAAAGGATTCATCCTAACCTCGTCTAAAAACAAGACCCAAGCCGCATCGCACCATACGAGGCGATTAAAATCCCACGAATAATCGGGGTGGCCGTCAATATACGCACGAATGGTGACCAAACCTTTCTCCATTGTGTTATCCAACAACACACTGTTTCGGTTTCCAAATTGATTGGGGTCAATTTCATCCGCGAGATTGAAAAGCATATTTTTCAAGTGCTCCAAAGATGGTTTGAAATCCTCAAAGGCCTGCTCGGTGATGGGAAGTGCGAAGCGAACGATTTCCGGTAGCCCAGGTCCAAGAGCGGGCTTCGATTCGAGGTACTGAGAGTCCTGAGGATTCTTTTTGTGTGAGTACAGATGGTACTCCAACCTAATCTTTCTTTCATTCTTCGCGGCGTTCGTTTTGACCAATGGTTCGACCGAAGATTCAGGGATGTACGAACCGCCATCTTCAGGAGGCTGGCTTTCAGGCAACTCGGCAGCGGAAGAAGACCCGGTGGGACCTTGACTGTTCCGACGATCAGGGCTGAAACCATCCAACAGAGTCAGTTTGGAAAACACCTCGAACGCACGTAAGTCCAGAATTACTTACGTTCGCTTGATACGATTAAAATACTCATAACAGGCCTCTGTCCTAGCGTTCGGACTAGTCGAACGGGTGTTGACCATCTTGAAAAAAGTACCGGTATGAAGAAAATATAACAATAAGGAGACAAGATTCCAAACTCGATAAGGACAAAGACCCGGTTGACCTGGAAGGACAAGAAATTTTGCTAAGTTTTTTTTCAATTGCGAGACGAAAGAACCCAGCATTTCCACTCACAGATCTGTCACCAGCTGTCACGGCTTTCGAACCGGCTTGTTCAAAGACCAACTTCGAAGCTGCAAATGGGGTGCTCACTGCTGACCTTTTGGCTTCTTTGTGTTTCTTTCTGCTTTTCGCCTCCAGAAACCCCAAGTCAGCATGATGCGACCATCCCAATTTCAATCGCCTGCTTCTTCTAACTATGATCGGCTTACCTTGAACGCCAATCCACGAGTGCGCCGGGCCTCCAATGCTTTTGGCTTGGATTATGAAGCACCTCAACAAACCCCGCCGAACCTTCGAAATACAAACTTCCAGATGATGGGCAACCACAATTTCAGCGGAGAGCAAGAGCCGAACTATTGCGAGGTGTTAGAAGACTCACCTCACAGCACCCCAACTATCTCGCAAGGCCCAGGTGCACAAGCAGGCCGAAATGATATGGACTTTGTCGATGTAGACAGAGTGTCCGAGACGATTTCCAGGATCGGAGAAACTTTTGGTCTAAGTACAGCAGATAAGTTAGAGGTCCAAAAGATATACGAGGTAAGAATCAAACAAAGATTCGATATCATATCATAAGTAATTGAAAGTATATGATACTTATCATATACTTTCTGTGTTTTAGCAACCAAACAACTTTGCACGTGAGGTAGCAAAGGTGTGTTTTTTCCGATCTCAGCTCGCGAGACTTGAAGACACAATATTAGAAAGAAACATGACATCGACCACTACTGGACCCCAAGCAATTCCACCTGATCATCGAGAGGCCAAGTGGCAAGGAACCAATAGTGTCCGAGTAAGTCACAGTTTAACTTTATTACAATCATCATGATATCTTACCCATGATTTGAAGCTTTTCATCCGCAATAAAATCAAAGATGCCCTCCTAAGTAGTTCCATACAAGCATATGCATCCAACTTTACCACCACCAATGATCCGATTCTTGATTCTCTTGAGAACCACATTGTGGTAAGTCAGGCAATCCATTTACTATTACCCAACATGAGCTTCTCCGCCAATGATCACCAATTTCAGGAGATTATCAAGAAAGAGGTGACCAAGGTCCCAAATTATAACCTCCCTGAAGGATTTCGAGAAGAAGATCCATCTGCCGACACCGCTGTGCGAAAGGTCATTAAGGAAATCGCCAAGTCGGAGCGCTGTAGATTTCGAGAACATGTGAGTCATTTACAAATCAAATAAACAGTATTTTGATAACTCACATCACATGTACCAAACAGCTTCTGAACAACATCATTAACCCACCTATGAATTCCAAGGTTATGAAGATTTTCGACTTATTATATGACCTCGTCCTGAAAAGACCTCGGAATTACAAGAAAACCCCCACAGACGTCTGGACCAACACCTCGGTTCCAGACAAAGCTAGGATCACGCTTTTGGTGAGCTATCTGAAGTTTGTGTCATTACAGAGCGCCGCACTCATTACGCACTCATTACAATCAATCGAATGTAGCGGCTTGAAGCAACCCTTCACGTTCTTCAACCAAAGGACGCTACGCAACCTCTTAAAGGCCCCTCTAAACAGAAATCGGAACGATCCATGTGGGAGAAAGTCGACGAGCGTCTTACCTGGATCCGGGGACTTAGTCCTGACCACCAAAAGTTGTGAGTTCTTTACTTACCTTCCCTTACTCACCTTCCTCAAACCAAACCGACCTTTTGTATTTACAGGTTTTACCACTGGATCGTCCAATACGACGCGAAGATTTTCACCGGGGCAGAGACTTTCCAACAAATTAAAGAGCGTGTGCGAGGACACATACATATACTCAATCCCGAAGAATTCGCCAAATGGATCATAGAAGGATGTAATTGATTGAAATCAATGATACATACATATCCTTTCAGTAATGTTATCAGTTGTTTAGCACCAAACATGTCTTTCTCATATCACGTTGGATGATAATTATATAATTATCCAGTTTATCTTTTTAGTCAAATCTTTTTCAAATAAACTTTGTTTCCAACCAATCTACATACGTGAGCTGTTGTTAGATATCTAACAATCCATAAGAAGACCAATGTACATTTGTACTCGTCTTTCTTCTGATCTCTGATTGATGACTATGCCACTTGTCTATTTTCTCGATCTTATCCTCTTATTGTTTTGCGCGATTTATCCATAGTCTTTTGTTCGTTCATTTCCAAAAGAAATTCAGAATAGTGATATAGGAATGAAATTGAAATCCGAATACATTCAATCTTTAAAGCCACTATTCGATTTTCGAAAACAATATATACATTTTAATAAGGCCTCTCCGTATCATGGGGCTTTATTAACTGCCCACTTCTACAGTCACAGCCTATCATCACAATCAACAGACAGGTGAACCGATGAAACCCACCGGCTATCGTCTTCCTAACCCTACCCCCAAAACGTTCCTGGAACGGCATCGGGGACCGGAGGGAGCGGTGCCGACAGATTTTCCAAAGCCGTTCCAGCACCGTACCAGGCCGTTCCAGGGACCGAGTTTAGGAGTCACCAAGCTGGTTTGCCATCACCGCCGAAAACGGTGATGGGAACCGCTTTCGTGCGGTCCCATCTGAGATCGTTTCAGAAACGACCCAAATGGTTTAAAACCGTGACGGCAAGAAAACGGGTTCGAAAACCGTTTTCTTGCCGTAGGTTTACCCCCTGGTGTAGTCATAGTAGTGAGTGTGACTGAATTTCTAAAAATACGATTTGTAAGAGTCTGTTACAAGTTGTATTTTTAGAAATTTAAAGGTTTTGAAAATTTAAAATTTAAATCGATACTTTGTCACACACAGCCAGCACGCCAAATCTTGTTTTGACTACGGAGGCCCTTCACATCTTCAAACCTTTTCTATATAAACATCACCTTCATCTTACAACAACATATCATTCAATCCTCCTCAATCAAACAATATCACCTCAAATGGCATCTGGCCTACCGAACGATCGTCGTACTTCGGCTATCCCTACTTCAGGTCGAACTACTCCTATCATTCAAGCTGGTCGGATCACTCCTTCTCTCGTCGGTCATCCTTCTCAACGCTCTTCTACCCCTTCTGGTATTCCATCTCGTTCTACACCCTCTTCAGTCACTTCTCTTAGACCGTCAGGTTCAGCAACCGGTCGTCGTGAAACTATCGGTCTCGCCTCACCTTTGTATCAATCTCAACCCATCGTCACCTTCAATCCACTCTCTCAATCTGCTTCAAGCTCTTCAGCTCAATCTACAAGAATAGGTTTACCCTCTCCCAGTCCTACTCTTCAACAGACCAACTTCTCTTCTCTTCAACCCATCTGGTCTCCCACTGAATCCTCTGCGAATTCTTCACAAGCCTCTTCAAATTCTACTACTGTCCAAGTTGTTTTGAGAATTCGTCCTTCTGCATTCGATAGTAATGTTCCAACTCGCTTTCAGCGTACTGTCTTGAGCGCGGTCAGTCTTTCATCCTCTGTATACCTCCCGATCTGAATTCTAACGCTCCTTTTCATCATACAGCTCAATTCAAGTACGGTTGCTATAGAAAATCCTGTTCAATCCACCTCTACAGCTTCATCATCTACACCCAATGCCAGTCAAGGTCACAAGGCGATCCAACGTTTCACATTTGATCGTGTCTATTCTCCTGAAGAAGGCCAGGAATCCATTTGGGGATCAGTAGAATCCTTGGTCTCACGCTTCCTTGAGGGTTATAATGTAACTGTTTTAGCCTATGGTCAAACATCATCCGGAAAGTCATACACGATGGGAACAGACCGTCTCTCTCCATCCGACCTCACTGATTTTGAAGCGGACGATACCCTCGAATTGTCATCTGAACGCATAGGAATCATTCCTAGGGCTGTTCATAATATCTTCCATCGGATTCGTCAACTTCCACCTTCATCTAACCAGACCACGATCAAGACCAGTTATGTGGAAATCTATAATGAGGATCTTATCGACCTCGTGGCCTCTTCCTCCTCACAGTCCACACAACTTCCTCAGGTTACCATTAGGGAAGATAAAGATGGCAAAATTATTTGGTCAGGTCTTAAGGAGATGAAGGTCTCAAATGCTAGTGACGTATTGGACCTCTTGCAACGTGGTAGTTCGGCTCGTCAGACCAATTCTACTGAAATGAATGCACAATCTTCTCGATCACATGCCATCTTCAGTCTCAGTCTCACTCAAAAGAAACCTAGTGGTGGCAACAGTTTATCCGCTTCCCTTAATCATTCTGGACGGCGTAGTCAGGTCTCTAGTCCCACTCCTGGTAGTCGGGCCGAACCTTCTGTCTCATCCCTCGACTCAGAATGGGTTACCGTCACCAGCAAGTTCCATTTTGTCGATCTTGCTGGGAGCGAACGTCTCAAACGTACGTCTGCTGTGGGTGAAAGGGTCAAGGAAGGTATTTCCATCAATGTGAGTTATCATGACTTTCCCTTTTATTTCGATTGCTATTTTCCACAATATAGTATCAAGAAGGATCCTATAGTTGTTTTCATGGGGAATGTTGTGTCATCTCGACTCAAATTGCGACCAATTTGCATTGCTTTCTTCCCTTGGAAAATCTTCCCACGCGGATTTCTCACTTAAATTTTCCGGAGTCATGTATTCCCAATTTTCCCCAATGCTGCTCTACTCTATTACCACGGTACTGACCTCATTAATCTTCTTTTATTCTACCGATCATTCTATCCGATGCCTTCTGGTGACTCACTCGATCGCCATTACCCTCCTTCACCAAACACGCATATCTCACTTTTCAGTCAGGTCTACATGCTTTAGGCAACGTCATCTCGGCACTCGGAGATCCTTCAAAAGCCAAAACTACTACTCATATTCCTTATCGTGATAGTAAACTTACGCGACTCCTTCAAGACAGTCTCGGAGGCAACGCTCATACCCTCATGATCGCATGCGTATCACCCATTGAGTACAATGTACGTCGTTTCCTTAAAGCTCATCTATCTAATTTCCAGTATCTTCTCCTTTCGATTCCATACCCTGTTTCTTGCCGGTCTTCTTGGATTGACTTCACAATGGTGCCAAACAAGTCATAGAGATTTCAGGTTTTGTTAAAATATCAGTAACTCTTCTCTGATCGTTACGATTTGCCCGGCCTGATCTTTACACCTGCGTAACATCTTCCTCATGCGCCGGTTCCGTTCATGTCATTTCTTGTTACATCGCTGCTTGTACTGTGCCACAATCGCAAGTCTGTCTTTGAATGTGACTTGAGATCATAGCTCTTCATCCCCCATAACCGCTTCCGCACCCGTATACCAATATACACATCGTTGAACTTGTAGGACTGTAAGCTGACTTTCCGATCTTTCCTTTGACCGAATGACGTCGATCCATCTCAGCTCAATGAAACGCTGAACACTGTCAAGTATGCCAACCGAGCTCGGAATATCAAGAACCGAGCTGAAGTAAACGCTATCGAAGCAGGCTGGGAGGATGTTGAATATCTGCAAGCGACCGTCATCAAACTCAGGAAAGAGCTTGCGAATCTTAAGAACGGTCTTGGAATCACTGACATATCAGGACAGGCTCGTACCCTCGGCGCCATCGATGAAGAAGCTGATGAACGTGCCCCACGCTTTCTTGAGCTTCAGGGTCATCTAAGCGAGCTGCAAGCAAAGTATGCCAAAACAATAGCGGATCTGGCACAGGCCCAGAATAACCTCAGTCTCTTGGAAGGCTCCAGTAGGTCAATCAGTCAGTCAGACTTTGAAGGCATGATTCAACCTGTTGTAGAGGAGTACGAAAAATCAATCACTGCACTCGAATCACAACTCGCCCTGACGAAGGCGGCATTAGTTCATTCGGAACAATCTATGAAGGAACTGGATGACAAGCTAATGCACGAACAAATGATCAACGAATCAAATTCAAATGTGATCAGTGACTTGAAAACCAGAGTGGGTCGATTGATCGAACGCGAGGCGACCAATGAAGTCTATATCAAAGACTTGGAAGAAAAACTTCGGTTTATGTCGGATTCGGACGAGACATCCTCCGGGATGGTCACTGAGCTGAAAAAGGAGATCATCAAATTGAAGGAAACTGAAGCTAAATCGGAAAAGTATATCAAAGATCTCGAATTGAAATTCTCAAAGGATGAAGAAGCTCATTCTACCTTGAAGGCTCGGGTCGATCAATTTGAGGCTCAACTGGCTCGCAAAGAGGAAGTGATCGAGGAGCTTCAGCTAAAGTATAACGCTCTTAGTGCTGGGGCGATTGAAGATAATACGGGTCTCTCTGACCAGCAAAAAACTCTCATAGCTGAATTGGACGAGCGAGAAGAAAAGTTGAGAGTTTTAGAAGGTGTGTGTCTAGTTTTTAGAATTTGCCATTTCATCGCTTACACTTATACATACTTTCCCTTCTTTCAATCTTGATCATCTATTATTTTCTTCAGCTGCACTTAAGGAGTTTCAAGATCAAAAACAACAGATTGAACAACAGAAAGCACAATTGGAATCCGCACCTGCAGCAAGTACTGATACGACTCCTCAGGCTTCTTCGGCGCCCACTGCGTCCGTGCCTGTCGCAACTTTGTCTGCTAAAGCGACTCAGCCGGCCAGCTTACCAGATAAGGCTGCTCCCCATCGTTCTGTTTCACCCGGCAGCTTCACTCCTCCTGCCACCCCTGCATCTTTCTCTGCTATCGCCTCCTCTTCTCGATATCCGACTCCAGCAAAAGGCCCGGCTTACGACGATGATATGAAGAAGCGATTCCGTGAACTGCAAGAGCGATACGAACTAACAGTCAGCGAATTAGATCAAGTTCAGACTAAATACAACAACTCATTGAAAGAACTTGACGACCTATCAGCTCAACTTGATGAATCTCGACTCATGCAGCCTACACCTACTTATCATATCAGTCGAACGTCGTCAACCTCCTTGGCTGGTTCAACAACTGAACAATCACCCTTACCATCACCCATACCTTCCTCACCGGGAAATCATCACCGGTTTCCTAATAACAATGCCCTACCTGTCAAGGGATTCGGTACACCTGTGAACAAAACGTCCCAATCCAGGTCGTCTTCTCCCCACGATGAGGATTTGCAAGAATCGCTACAATCTCCTGACCTTTCGATGAATTCTCCTCAACAACTTTCCGGAAGTGAGACACCCGTCCGTACGTTGAGTCTAGGGTCTATTGCGGTAGTCGGTGGCGGTGTTGGACCAAGGACATATCGTTCAACTCAATTCACCAATGGTACCTCTGCACGCTACATGGCTCGTCAAAGCTCTAGCTCAGGCAGTATTACTGGCAATAACTCTCACCATGTGATGCAGACTTCCCAATCACTACATGGTCGCTCCTTATCACTCTCGCTATCTCAAGACATATCAAAAGTCATCGTCGCGGGTAATCGAGCTACTCTTCTCGTGGCCACCTCTCCGCATTCACCACGACCGATCTCACCTCAGACAGGTCGGGTCATGTTGGGCGGAAGCGAAACTCCACACCTTGGTAGAAGCTATGAGAGTCTCGAAAAAGAAGTAATTCAACTCCAAGAAGTCTTGAAGGATCGCGAAGAAGAAATTCGGACATTAGAGCAGTCCATCCGAGACCTTCATCGTCAGAGTGAATCTCTCAATAACGCTCGTCTGCTGGGGTTGATGGATGAAACAAAGCGGACCGATGAAACTATCTCAACTCTTGATCAGCGAGAAAGTACGGCGAGTCCAACTTCAGATGGAATGACCAAAGAATCACACGAAGGAAAGGATAGCAGCTCGAGTGATCCCCATCCGTCTTCGGCTGATACACTCAATCGGATCAAGGAGAGCTTTTATGGCCGATCTGGTTCGATAGACAGTTATGGCACTGATAAACGAGATTCATTATTACCTGTGGATTCGTGCGATACTAGTATGACTGATAACAATTCGAAAAACATCCAACGACTTGATGATTTGATGAGATCGATGGCTCAAAAAGAATCAGCTCATTTAGAACTGATTGAGACTTTGAGGGATCAACTTGGAGTGAGTCAGAAAGCACACGACGAGTTGGTCAAACTCTCTCGAGATCAAGTTGCAAATATGTCAAGTGAAATCGAAGGACTCAGAGGTAAATTGGGAGAACAAGACGGTTTGGAAGCACAGCTGAATGAGATGGAGCAAGGCTTGATGGCCAAAGAGAAAGAGTTGGAGGTAGTGAAGGATGAAGTGAAACGAGTGATGTTAGAGACCGAGACTAACCTGGTGAACCGACATGAGATCGAGTTGGAATCATTGAGGGCAAGTCAATTGAGCGAAATTGAGCGATTGAAAGGCGAACACAAGGATCTTCTTGAGCGATTAGTTGAGGCGTCGGAAGTCAAGCTGAGAGCGAAGGAGCAAGAGCTGAAAGACTTGGAATCGAAATGGGAAACTCGCTTGAAGGAAGAACTCGAGTTACAGGCTTCAGCTCACCAGACATCCTTGGAGGAAGTACGTTTGGTTAGTGTGCGGGAGGGATTGGAAGAGATGAAACAGAAACATGATGCTGAATTGGCGGAGATAGTTGTGCAAGTGGAAGCCAAGGAAGTGAGACTGTCGGCCTTGTTGACGGAGCTAGAGGCAAAGGAATCTGGACTGAAAGCCATGGAGAGTGACCATTCAAGCAAGATTCAGGAATTACAACTCAAATTGGAACAAGCGATGAGTTCGAATCCTGATCAGCTGAAATCATTGGAGGCTGAGATTGAGGGGAGACTAAGGGGCGAGATTGAAAAGATGAAAGCGTCACATGCACAGGAATTGGCTCAACATTTTGCTGAAGTAGAGGAGAGTCGATCACGTTTGGCAGAGGAGCAGTCTCAAACCATTGAAGAGTTGGAAGTAGCACATGAACAACAGATTGAAGAGATCCGAGCTGAACATGAAGAGATTCTGGTGGCATCACTTACTGAACTGGATGCGCGCCGGACGCGAAAGTTTGAAGCCAATTTAGCTGCTCTACAGGCTCAACATGAATCCGAGTTGCAATCAATCCAATCACAACAAAACCGCCAAGCGGATGAGAATGAGACTCGGTCAGGATCAGGATCAGTACGTATGATTTCGTTTTTTTAGATTGATTTATAATACTTGGCTAATGGAACACTTGACGGCACGCGCAACAGGATATGAAGATTGAACAGCTACGACTGGAATATGAGGAACAAATCGAAAGACTTAAACTTGAACACCAAACTACTTTTACATTCGAGCTCAAAAATGCGAGAGAAGCGGATCAGAAGCGGATAGAACAGCTTTCAACAGAGGTGAGAGCATTGAAGGAAGCAGGATCAAATCCTAGCGAAGCTGAGACCGAACTACAAGAAGCGCTTGATGCACTCTCCACACTTGATAAGGCCTTACTTGAATCACAAGTCGAACGAGAAAGGCTGATGAAGGATTTGAAAGCGAGCATTGTGGCGAAGGAACAAGCTCAATCGGAACTTGGTTCGATGAAGGTAGAACGAGATCAGATGGCAGAAGAGAGGGATCGATTAGCGGCGATGAAAGGAAGAATGATGAGTGATGAGTTTGAAGGGATGACGAAATCTCGAATAGGAGGTGGAAGCGTTCTTAGATCCGATTCACCTTCCTTGGTCATGCAACGCAATCCACACTTGATGATGGCACAAAACAAAGCTCCACCTACACCACCACCTACGATGCCACCACCACCATTACCTACGACTTTACCACCGTTACCGAGCAATGGTAGACCGGCAGAACGATCAAGTAACACATCTAGTCAGTTGAGTCGAACTAATAGTAATAGTGGACGTGAGTCACCATCGACGAGTGTTGGAACCAATAGTTTAGTCGAATCTGTTAGTATGGATCCTAGAGTGTTGAAAAAGATTGAAGATCAAGAAAATGCTGTAAGTTTGATGATTGAATCTGTTCCCTTCTGAAGAGAGCAAGAGAGACCAAAGAGATTGATTTTATTTTTTTATTTTTTCTAGATTGCTAAGCTTTCAAAACAATTATCACATTGTGAAGTAGATCTTAAATCAAATATTGATTTAGTTGCCAATCGTAAGTGTCTTTTTTTATAAAATTTCTTCTCATAAAGTCTAAATGAGATTTTTTTGACATTTCTCAATAAATCTCTTCAATCGATATCTATATATAACAGTGGAATCCGCCTTAAATGATACCGAAAGGAATTTAAGAAAATCACGATTACAGATGAATGAATTAGTCAAAGAACGAGATAAATTGAATTCGATGAATGATCAATTAAAACAAGAATTAAATCGAGCGAATTTAGAAGTGGAGAATGTAAGGAATAATGTGATGGCAGAGAAAGTGGAATTTGAGAATCGATTGGGTGAAGAACGTAGAGCTAAAGAAAGTGCTAAGAAGTTATTGGAAGCTAGAATGGAAGAAATGCAGAATAGTAGGATGACGAGAAAGAGTAAATTTAAGTAAGTCTTGACTTTGGCTTTGGTTGTTTTTTTTTTGGCAAAATACGGCTTTTATTGATTCTTGGGTTTCGTGTGTTTTTTTTTTTTGGTTTTTTTAGTTGCTTTTAAGCAAGCTGAGCTTGAATGATTCTCGATTTTTTGTTTTTCTTCTTTCGTCCTTGTTTGATCTTATGATTTTATGTGTCTCTGTGTGTGTGTGTGTGATTTTGTTCATTGACTCTTTTTCTTTAATAGATTTATAAATCATGATACAATATCTTTAAACTCTTTTTTTCTTATCTTTGCTCTCTGTCTCTCTGTCTCTCTCTCTGTCTCTCTCTCTCTCTCTCTTCGTCTTACTACAATTCAGAAACCTTTTCTTTGCTGCATCTTGTGTTCTTTAATTCAACGTTTTCATGTGTTTTTTTTTATTCTAAATCAAGTTAAGAAAGTGATTTTGGTTTGTGTGTGTTTGTGTGTCATTGAACTTTGGTTATTGTCGTTTTGGATTGTTGATTATATATGTAATCATCAATTCTGTTGTGTTTTTTGTTGGTTATGGTTGGATATACAATTTTTTTTATTTTCGAAATCTTTCTTTCTTTTTTTTTCTCGAAATCTTTTGATCATGTTTTTCTTTTCTTAAGGGGTTTCTTTTTTCACGGTTTTTTTTTATGATTTTTGATTTTATATAATATCATATGAATGGATTGAATTTTTTTATATTTATATGTTATGAGAAAAAAAAATGAAAATGGTTAAAAAAAAATTATAGGTTTGTAGGTTTATGGATTGGTTAGGTGTTGATTTTGATATTATTAAGGAAAATGGATTTGTTGTGTGGATCATAAGATAATTGGGATATCGTAAAAGAATATGATTGTTTTTTTTATTTGTTAACTTATAAGGAAAGGTTTGATTGTCAGATAAGATCAAAGAGTTTGATAAGCTTATTCTTAAATCTATTGTAAATCTCATTGAACAAGTCAAGTGATCTCATGAATCATGATAGATTTCTACACTTTACTTTACTTTTCACTTTATTGAATCTTTTAAAGTAATCAACTAAGAAATTGAACTCCTTGTTGCAATATATAAAGTGTGGTGAATATCTAGAGATATATTGCACCATATGAAGAAATTTAGAGTGAATGATTGAACTTATTTGAAGAGATTAAAGTTTTGAATTACAGAGGGAAAGGAAAATAGCTGTGACAGGTTATACATATGTATTCGGTACAGTATCGTCAAGAATTAGAATACTCATTGGCATTTTACATAAGCGTGAAGGAAGTATCTCATTCTGAACACCATCGATTTCAAGTTTCCATTGAAGACGGCACTTTCGATCGAAAAGATACTTATATCTTTCTGGTTGGAGAATGTAAACAAACTTAAACTAACCAATCAACACTCAAAGAAAATCAAGATGAGTTCTTCAAAAACCATTCCAAATCAAAATCAAACTGATCATCATCAACCATCAAACTCATCAAACCACAATCAATATCCACCACAACCACAACCACAACCATCATCTGAAGTATCATTTCAAGATTATAGTACATTTCATAATCAAGTACAACAGTCTAGAACTAATTCAAATTACTTGGATTCTTACTTAGATTCAACTACTACTTCAAACACCATCAATCAAACTTTCAAACCATTTCAATTTCAATCTCAATCTTCAACTGAACCACTCATCTTTGATCCACTTACCTTTGATCAACTTTCTACTTTGTTTCCTAATTTCAATTCTTCATCTTCATCTTCAAGTCAAACTTCAAACTTACAATCTACTCTCTCTGACTCTCATCAATTCTCGACTGATCAACAACAATTATCTATCAATCCTCATTTGTTATCTCCTAAACTCATCACAAATCAATCAGATCATTATTCAAATCAAACTTATCCTTCTTCTAATCTAATTCAATCTAATCATCAATCTAGATCTCCTTCTGATTCTAATCATCATCAAAATCAATCTTCATCACTTCAAATTCCAAACAAGAATCAAACTCATAGTCCTCTTCTTCAATCATCACCTGAACCACCACCACCACCACCACATTTGATTCAATCAAGAAAACCTTTGAATGATGGATTACCAGATCCAAAACGAAAACGAACCGAAGAAAGTTCAAAACCCAATTCGATCATAACAGATGGATCATACAATCGATTTCTTGAACCATCACCTATGATCTCATCCACTTCATCTCATCAACATTCTAATCCTAATCCTAATCAGATGGACTTTAGAAATCAAGAATGTAGTACTCCAAAGGTGAATTCATTAGGATTTGAATCCAACTCGATTCATCAGAACCAAACACCTTCAGAACAAGCAGGATCGAATCTATCTCTTCATCAGTATAGGTCTCAGTTTCATTATCAACACACATCAGATCATGAAACACCTAATCAAAGTAGACAGTACAGATCATCTATAGATCAAAGCTCATCACCTAATCTGAAAGCTAATTCATCAAGCCAATCAATCCAAGTTCATCATCCACATCATCATCTAACACACGATTTCACCAAACGAAAAGATTGGGCCAAGAAAGTGATGGAAGATGTGATGGATTTATGTTTGTTGATCGGATCTACTGACCAACGTATCAAGTTTGTTAGCTCAAGTTTAAATCAACTTACAGGGTATCAACAGGAAGATTGGATGGAAAGTTGGTTGATCGATTGGTGTTTTGATGAAGATGATCGAATCAACTTTTTAAGAGAGATTGAAAACTGTGCTCAGAATGGGAATGGGAATGGGAATGGATCGGGAAAAGAGATTGGGTTTTATTGTAGGATTAGAAAGAAGGATGGAAGTTGTTTGATTTTGGAGATTTGGTGAGATTTTTTTCTTTGATTTCTGATTTCTTATAAAATGGGATTCAAGATTAAAAGGATTTGGTTCTTTTTGATTTTTCTTTTCTTAAGTGGTCATCCTGTTTTATTTGAAAATCAAATCGATCAAACTAATTTAATTTTCATAAGTGGTCGAAAGTATCCAAGTTCATCAAGTCAATTAAGTGATCGAATCTTTGATTTACGATTAGAAAACCCAAGATTATTAACCGATTTAAAAGTCATCTTAACACACATGATCATCAAGATCAAGGATTAATGTGCAGTAAGATGATGATGATG